ACAGTAATTACGTGTGACCTGTATGTTGCCCGAAGGTGTGAGTTCCCCACATCGACATCGGACCCCTCCACGCCACAAGGCAGTGTTCAGTCCATGTGTTGTTTCACGGGGCAGGGGGTCCGCTTAGGGAGTCGGCTTCCTTTGTAGTGTACTTGCTGGCCAGTGTGTGTAGGATGGAGTGACCACGATGGAGATACAGCACAAGATAATGTCCATATCTTACTAAATCATACGCTTACATGTTTTAAACAGGTTACAATTTATATGAACTTTAATCACATCGACATTTTTTTCAATTATGGGGGGAAAAGTCAATGAATACAAATAATCTTTGCTTTGTCAAATTTTCTGAACTGTTTGTATAACAACCTGGATGAATACTATGCCATATGTCCCTGATTTAATTAGTTATAGTGATTAATATAAGCTGACAACTTCATTCGCAGTTGTTGTAAATTAAATAAAGTTTATATTTTACATTCAATTAGTTATGAACGGCCTACTGTTTATTATCTACATACCGGCATGTAGGTTGAGTAACCAAGATTTTAATAGTTTGTAAACCCTGATTTCAGAAATTAAACTGCATAATTTTGTTGCTGAAATCACTCGTTGTCACTATAAGAAATGTGTTAATTGTTCATAAGAGTATGTGACTTTATGAAGCGCCGTTTTACTATAGTAACCAATAAATGATTAAACAGTACCTAATATGTACCTGCCATTGGAAGCAGTAGTATGTTGGTAAAAGAGTTATATAAAATAATATGATTCATTCATTAACTTATTCATATCTATTATTTATGATACTAGTATAATTACGATTACCTATTAAATATACATGCACGTGATCCTTATTATGGAAAATGATTACTTAATTCAGTTATAACTGTATAATCTAGTTATGATTTTCAGTGTCTCCTTGGTTATAATATCACGGGATATATTTCGATACACAAAGTGTTTATTTCCGTAATAGTTTAATGAGGGTTTTGCAGGAAAAGTGGTAGATAACAATATTTCTGCAGAGTAAAGTTTATAACTGAAGAAGTCGTCCAATATTAGGACTAAATTTATAAACATGTATATTTTTTCCTGTTAATTGTGCAGTTGCTTTGAATAACATATGATGGGCCTGCAGCATGTTGTGCAAAGACGAAGAAATGAGCATGGTCATTTTACAGCAAAAAATACCCAAATGTTGCCTTTAGTCTCTTTTCATCAACGACAATCACGGTTCTATTCAGTATCATTGGTTTACAAGCACAACTTACGTAAAATTACTTTGATGGACTTATACAGTTAACGTAGAATTTGATGATTTGAAGGAGCAACTTATTTTTTTAAAAAAGTATCAGATTCTGAAGGTTAAGCATTTCATATATTTCTAATTTTGATGAGGCCTTTAGCAACCTGTAATTTGCCGAACTTTGTATGCCGAACTCCTGCTAGAAGTGATTTGATTGGTCCGTCAATATTTCCCGCACTCCGTCAACACCCAAGCTCTGCTTGGCCTATCTGACAGGACGAATACCGTTCAGTAAACAAATGTTGAAACCTGAACTCGGCAAAGTGAACAGTTGACTGAGAGGAACACTATTTTGACGGTAAATATCAATAAAATACATTTGATATTTTGTCAATATTTTTGTTTAATACTAGGATAAATATAGAAGGGGACATGGCCACTTGTTTTCGCTGGAGCAGGAAAAAATAACCTGATTTGTTTGTCAACAACACCACTTTGATCTTCGAAATAGATTTTGAAGAATTTCGTCACAGTGATAAGTCTTTACATTCCTATGGATCGATATAACAAATCATGAATGAAGTCAAAGATAATGTTCTATTTAGTATGAATGAATACTGATTATGATAGTGTTGTTGGTCGCGATTTGGTAAAGTTGTTTTTCATCAAGTCGGCATGCAGCTGCAGACGTGGGCTGAGGTATACTATTTCTCTGAAAGCATAATTGAAGGTGTAGGTTAAGCAAATGTTAATGTCTTTTCTATGAAGTGCATGCAATTTTGTCGAATTGTGTTGTGTTATTCCAATGAATGACATTTTGATTTACATTTTCAAAGTGGAACAATTACATTAACAAGGTAATTAAATTTAGACTTCTCATAATGGACATGAAAAATCACAAGATGGAGATCGATTTTTTTGTAAAATTTCATTGAAGACCGTAGCATTACCGAAATTGGGATTGAGTTTAAAACTGAGAAAGGGGATATCCAAACATGTTAAAGAAGTTGGGAAAAAACATGGGTAATAACTCTCAATGATATCAATTCACAAAAATCCAGAGGAAAAAACTGCTTCAAATTCTTTGTGTATAAAAGTATATCAAGGTTTAAATAGATTAGTTGAAAAAAAACAAGAAGTTATCACAGGAAAAAGATAAAAGTGTTGTAAAAGACTAAAGTTACTCTGCCAGAAATCATCAAATTAAAATGGTTTCAGGAAAACAGCTTTATCATGCTTATTATGTCAATAAGATGTCACAAGGAATAAATTATAATGTTTGACTTTTAAAAAAAAAAATGAAGAAAAAATGATAATACAACGATTGTCAAGTTTATTATTTTAATAATCATTCTTGTAAACATGGATTGAAGATACCCCTGCAAGTCTGATTTCATATGCACCATAGTATCACACAGTCAAAAAACAGTTTTACACTTGTTTGGTCATTGATCAAGGTTGAACATCAAGGTTTCACTTGACTATTTTTTAGATAAAAAATATGTACACAAGATATCTAAAGAACCTCTGAATAGTTTTATTTTATATTCATATATTGTTATGCCATCAAGTTTACCTAAGTAGATTTTGATAGTCATTAGTCAAGGTTGAAAATCAATGTCACTCTTGACCACTTATTAAATAAAATGCTTGTGGTCAAGATGTCTTTTGAACCCCTGAATAGATTCAGTTTATATTCATACCTCAACATTGTGCCACAAATATCACCATATACTACTTTAGAAATGAAAAAACTTGTTTATAAGTTGTGAATCCCAGTAGCATTAAGAGGGCTACTTGGATAAAAGTGGTAAAATGGAATTCTTTGAAAAAGAAAAGGACTGGAACTGCTGAAAAGTGTTAAAAAGACTTAATTGGTAATAAAAAGAACAGGGTATGGTTGATATATAACAATATTTTGTTAACCCAATTCAGCCCCATTCCCAATACAAAAAAATAATACCCAATTTTTACCTAAAATCCCCAATTTGAAAATGTGAAAATAAATATTTGTATTAATGAGTGTTAAAGACAGTGATTTGAGTTGTGTAAAGGGCATGTCTGCGCATGTCAGACCTACATAGAAAGTATCCTGTTTTTTTCCCCCGTAATTTAATTTTCATCATATGTCTAAAGTTACTACATCAGTGAAGCATGAGCGCTTAGGACTAGGAAGCCAACAGTAAAGCATTTAAGTGATCAAACAACATGTTTAAACAACACAAAATATGTCAGTTCATACACTGGGTGATCTTGTAGCTTTAAGTAAGGCATAACAAGGTGTTAAATTGGCCCAAGTTGAACTAAAAGTTCTTCTGAATTTCCTCTTTATATATACCAAGGATGGTCTGCTGTATTATGCCTTTGCCACATGGCTAATTCTGATGACTTAAGATTATGATATATGACAAAGTTTGTGTAAAAAAATTACACTGACCCTTATTCAAGTTCACTAGGGTCAAATTAGTTGAATCCTTATTCTGAATTATTAAAAGGCACCGAAGTAAGATATTTGGCTGAAATGTTTTTAGTACAAGTCTTGACAATGTTTTTGAAAAGAAATGACCTTGACCTATATTCAAGGCCATAGTAATTGAATTTGTTAGCACTTTAAAAAACTTATTTTGATTAACCAAAAAGCACAGAGGCGTTGTATTTGGCTGGTAGGTTCTAAGAATTACTCCCCACAAATACTTTGAAAGGTCATTGACCTATATTTTGACCTTTGACCCCTTCAAAGGAAAGTTTGTTTGGATTCTATCTTTTAAACATCTAGTCATGGAAACTTGATGCTTAGGACATGGGTTAACCTTGGTAAGACAACTTGTTATGTATAAAAAGTAGGCTACTCTGACCTAGTTATATTTGACTTTCAACCTATAGCTACAGCAAAACAGAATTGTCCAGGCTCTATCTCTTACATCACTTGTCACTTGAACTTCATATCTCTTACATCACTTATCACTTGAACTTCATATTTGAAATACAGGTTCGTGATAGTGAATAGCTCTTGTGTATGAAAAGTAGATCACCCTGTCCCACATTTCAACCTTCGACATACTTAAAAAGTTTCTCCTGACTCCTGTCTCCTACACAACTCTTCAATGGAATTTCATACTTGGGGTATGGGTGTATTCTGGTGAGACAGTTTGTCATGTATCAAAAGTAGGTTACTTCGGACTACATTTCGACCTTTGACCTAAAGGAAAGAAAAATTTTGACCTGACTTTATCTCCTATAATACTTGTTACTGGAACTTCATACTTGGATTATGGGTTTGCTTCAGTGAGAAGTAAGTTACTGTGACCAACTGTTTTCTTTCGACTTGCATCAAAGGAAATGTTTGTCATGATTTTATCTCCTACACTGCTAATCTTGAATGTCATACTTTTGGTTTGGTTTTACCTGTGTAGGTCAGTGTGTCTGAAGGAGAGTATACTTTGCCAAAATGTCTTGTTTTGATTTGTTTTATTATGAATGAACTAAATGTCAAAGATGTGATTTGCTTTGGTATCAATTTTCTGAAGTTTGTGTAGATAATGGTGCTTAATGCATTTCTCCTCTCCTCCTTCAGTTTTGGCGATGAAGAAGTAAAGTATCTGAATCTAAAAGAAATCCATAGAGAAAATGTTAAAAATTTTCAGGGTTTTTTCTTGTCTGTGATGTTTAGTTTGAAAGCTTCAAATATAGTACACATTGATATGAGAATTATTTTTGCTTTCTGCTTTCAGGATTGTCCCCCACTGGAACCATGACTCATCCACCTAAGAAGAAGCTTTCATTGTCAGAAAGGTTTGGGACCATTGGACCTTTAGCTGACTATCGCAATAAGGCTCAGAAAAATTCAGAAATGGTCAGCAAGCTACAGCTGCAAATTACAGAGGTAGTGAGGAAACGCTCGGAGGGGTATGACAGAGAGTCACAAGCAAAAATGATAAGTAAGGAAATTTCTGATGTGCAACAAAGGTTTGATGATGCTCCTGTTGCCTGTCAAAAGTTCACACCATTTAAAGTTGAACTTAGAGTAAACATTGATAAAAAGCATGCTGAGCCCCAAAAGGGCAGTAAGATGAATGAAAAGGCATATTACAATGAAAATTTGGATACTCCCTTTAAAAGTCAACCGAATAAGACAAGTCCAAGCAAGGGGAATGAGAGTATAGCCAGCCATGTCTCTGTATTGGAACACCATACTCAAAATGATTCAGTGTCAAATGGCACTGCAGCAATTATGGCTGTCACAGAAAATGAATCTAAGATGAAGATCAATTTGCAGAAATCCTTAATCCCATGTACAAAGACTGAAAAAGATGTGAATATCCAGCCTTTACCTGAATTAAACCAGGACGCTTTATCATCTGAAACACATCAACCTTGTGACGTGAAAGTAAACTCAAATAACGCTTGGCTTCAAGGAAATTCTACACACCATTCACCACAAAACGCAGCTGTCAATCTGATATCAGTTGAGGAACAGCAAAAACAGAACCAAAATAGAACCCAGTGCATCAGAAAGACTCCTCAGTTAGGGAAAGACTGCTGTGATGTAGGAAACTATACAGAACCCAAAAATATGACAAAAGAACCATTTAACAAAGCAATCAGTGCAAAACCCATGCTTAGCTTCAATAATGGATATGGTGGAATGAACATGGCAAATCCAAATTCAATGAGAATTCCTCAGTCAGGGAAAGAGAGCTGTAATGAAGGGAACTATACTGAACCCAAAAATATGGCAAAAGAACCATTTAACAAAGCAATCGGTGCAAAACCCATGCCTAGTTTCAATAATGGGTATGTTGGAATGAACATTGCAAGTCCAAATTCAATGAGAAGGCAAGGTTCCAATACCAGTCCAAATTACAGCAAGGGGAAATATGCAAAGAAGACAAGTCCAATTTTCAAGCATGGAAAAGGTTCTAGTACATGTCCAAACTTTAACAAGGGAAAAGATTCTAATTACAAATCAATTAAAAAATACAATAAGGGTGAAAAATCAAAGACAAGTCCAAATTTTAACCAGGGGAAAGGTTTCAAGGCAGGTCCAAACTTTGACAAGGGGAAAGGATCAAAGACAAGTCCAAATCTTAACCAGGGAAAAGGTTTCAAGGCAGGTCCAAACTTTAACAAGGGGAAAGGATCAAAGACAAGTCCAAATTTTAACCAGGGGAAAGGTTTCAACTCAGGTCCAAACTTTGACAAGGGGAAAGGATCAAAGACCAGTCCAAATTTCAACAAAGGAAAAGGTTATAATTCAACTGCATCATTCAACAATGACAAAAGTAACAATACTAGTCCAATTTTCAACAGTGAAAAAAGGTCTAATACAAGTCCAAAATTTGACCAAGGGTTATTCTTGCAAAGCAGGCAAAATGTCCGTGAAAGACAAGACTGTAAAACAAGTCTATTTTACAGCTGGAAACCAGATTCTCAGACTGCTCCAAACTTCATTAAGGGACAAGACTTCAAGACCAGTCCTAACTACAGCCATATCCACAGTATTGAGACCAATACAAATGTGAGTATATGTTCTGAGTCAAGTCCTAATCTGAACAAAGGACAAGGATTTCAGACTAGTTTAAACTTTGATAAGAAAACAGGATTCCAAACTAGCCCAAATTTCAAACAGAATACTTTAAATTCAATTGGATGCAACACTTTCGGACTAAGTAATCAACTGCCTGGTGGGACTAATTTTCGGCAATATTATGGAGCAAATACTTTCTCCAGTGATGACCCTTGCACAGTTTATGACACTCGGGATAAATTCTACAATTATCAGAGAGGAAACCAGTTTTCAAAAGGTCAACAACAAAGAGACAATTTCCACAACGAACCTGGATTTGGAGGACAGCCAATTAATCAGCAAAGTTCATTTTCATCTATTCCTGCAAATCAAAGTATTGTCAACAAGGCAAGACCAAGTAATCAGGACAAAATTTCACAACCTTTTGTCCACTCTCCAAGTAAACAGTTTGACATAACAGGTGGTTTTGGGAAAAGACATGCATCTCCTGTTGCTTCCAATCAGTACATGGCACCGACAAAGAAAAGGATGTTGACCACTGATCCTTTGTATAAAGATGTTCCTTCTGTTCAAAACAGACTTCCATATGTGCAAGATAAGTTACCCAACACACCTATACAGGAAAATCCTTGCGGTGCTGTCTCCCATGGTAAAGTATATAATGGAAATGGCAATTTCCCTTATGGATATTACCCTGGTCATGTTGCAAATACTTCATTTCAAACACCAGTAATGAGTAATTATGGACTGGCTCTCCATGGCCCTTTCACACCAAAGACTCGAAATGCATCATCCCAGAATTGTTCATTAACCCTTGATAGTACTGATAGCAAATGTTACCATTTGAATGACCCTCAGGATTTGTCTCGAACAAAGCAGTACCTTTTCAACAAGATGTTTGATAAAAGTGATGCAGGAGATGGTACGAAAATCACTGAGGATACTGGAATTCCTGGAATGAATATGAAGCCTACTGGCGATGTTGTTAAACCTACTGGATTTTATAAGGAAATACTAAAGGAAAGTAGAGAAACAAGTCAAAATGAGAAGGAAGAAACTGAGCTTGTTTCCACTCTGCTAACACAATGCCAGGCAATGGCTCAAAAGGATGATGACAAACAAGCATTGCATACAATTTTTAACATTATCCACCAAGAAATGGGACATCAATCTTTTTTACCTCCCTCTGAGAAGAATAAGATTTCAAGCACTGCTCATGTACCATCCCAAACAAGAAGCACTTCTGAGGTATCTTGGGGCAGTGATGAACCTAAATTTAGTCCTGCCTCTTCAAGTCCAGATGCTGCTTCTAGACAGAATGGAAATAATCGGTTTGAGGGAAGAACACTTCTCAAAGGAGGAGTAAAGCCACGTCATATACCCAAAACTTTGATTAACAAACAAGATGATGATCCACCAAAGGATCCCAGATCTGTAAAGGATCTTAAAACAAAATCGGCATTAGCAAGAAAAATGAAGGATCTGCCTTTGCCTCCATTTTTCATTGAATTTGTTGCAACCAAGAAATATGACAAGAAAAAAAGTATTGAAACCAAAGTAAATGAAATGTCGAGACAAAATACTGAGAGTGTAAGTGAAGTCAATTTGGCAAATCCATCCACTGGCTTTGAAACCAAAGATACTAAAATTGGGATGGGAAACATTGACGGCTTGAATCCAGGATCAAATACAAGTGTACAGTATCAGCAAACAGCAAATGAGAAGCCAATTGTAGAAACCAAAACAGATGACTGTGGTCTTGATCCTGTGGAAATGGGAAAATCTGATTCGATATCACCCATCTTACCACGTATTACTGTCAGACTAGAGAAAGATGGGATTGTAACTGATAACAATTTGAACACGGAACAGAGTGATAATATTTGTTCTCGAGACCCTCGATTGAGAGCCACAAGCATTTCAAAGAAAAGAGAGGATAAAGCAATAGTTGATTTACCAGTGCTTAAGTATGAGGAATACACAGTTGAAAAACGTAAATCTTCAGATACTGTTTGTAAGAAGGTTGTTAAAGATTCTGAGCCAATACAATTTCAGGATTACAAAGGATGTACTGGGATGAAAGGAAACAAAGATTGCCTTCAGTCTCAACATAAAAACAGCCCACTTTCTTGTGGAGGTACTAATGGAAGGGAGACAAACATTGCCAGAAGTGCTTTTGAGAGAAATTTGCATCACTCAGATTCCAAGAATCCGAAAGAAGAGTTCTCTAGAAAGTTAACTACACAGCAACATAGGTATTCCATGACTGGCAACTCTCCTCCAAAAAGATACAGTCGATTTTCCAGTGAGCGTTCGTTGAGTAGATCTAGAAGTAGTTCTAGGAGCAGAGATGAAGAATGGACAGGAAAGGAAGTCTCTGTTAGAAGGACAAACAGAATTGACTACTCTTGTGCAAATATTTACTTGTCACATTCCTATAAAAGGGACACTGTTGTGTACAACTGTGACAAACAATGTGAGAGTTATGAAAACCAATTCCTAGAGAGGAATGAGCATGACAGGTGGAACAGAGAGAGACATTCTATGTCACCTGGTACTTGCAGGTATTTGAAAAGGAGAGATTTAGAGAGGAAGAGCTCTCCTCCATCTTCTGGGAATAGAAATGTATCCAGAAATAGGTACCAAGGTAGAAGGAATCGGAACTATTCTGAAGGCAGTGATTATCCAGAATTGTGCTTTTCTCCCTTGCGATAAACCCAAGGAGAGCAGTGTAGAATTGATAGTACATGTCCGAAGCAAGACTGTCACATTCATGTATTTTGTGTATGAGAGTGTCATAACAGACAGACTGCTGCATTTGTTTTCCTGAATGGAGAGATTATCCAGAACCTTGATAACTTTTTTTGCACTGAACTCCTACCCTTTTTTTGTGAATACAAGCAGTTTGGTCCATCTGAGATATCTTTGCTTTTTACTGAATATTTGAGATTAAGAACATTTTTTTCTGAAAGATTAATATTTCAATCAATGTCATATGACTTGGTACCTTTCTCATACTTGCTGTGGCATATTGAACAAATGATAAAACATTGTATGATAAATAGAGGGTAATATAAAACAGTAATTTGGATGAAAACTTTCTGATATTGAATATTCCAACATCTTGTTAAGCATCCCATAATGATTCCAATTTCAAATATAAAGGACTACAGCCTGTTTGTTGTATAGTGTTACCATTTAATTTAGTTTTTGTATAAGGTCAGATTAAATAATTTTCACAGCTCTACTGTATCTGATCATGATCATAATTTTTATGGTCTTCAGACAGAAAACAACAAAATATCCAAATATTATTTGATGTTTTCACGAAAAAATATCTTATCCAGTGAGAAAGCAACAATTTTGCTTTCAGTATTTATTCATTCAAATTTGAGCTTTTGTTATTGTTATTTCTTGAAAAGTATTGGATGGACTTTTAGGAATTTCATGTGTAGATCCCCATTGGTCCTTAGTTGTGTCCAATTGATTTACAACTGATCAGGAAACTAAATGACTGACAGGTGACCATCTTTGATTTTGATTAAAAAGTATGTTAGTGCTATTACTGAGGAGCACTGGATAGAACTTTATCAGAATTTGTATGTACCCCAGTATTTTCCCAAATTGGATATGTGGCATTTAAGAATTATTAAAAACAGGAGTGGGTGGAACTTAGTTCTATTTTGTTTTGATCTGTCTTTCCACAAACTTGTCCAGGATCTGTCTCCTTTTCTACTTGTCATTTGAACTACTTACTTGGGGTATGGGATCACCTTGGCATTGTTTCATGTATCAGGTCATAGGCCACTGACCTACATTTCAACCTTTGAAATACATCAAAAAGCCAAAGTTTGTTTGGCATATAATATCGCATTCATAAGGGTACTGTAATTTTCCCAATTGTCTTGTATTGGTTTAATAGTAGCTGTATTGTACATTTCATTTCCTCTCAAAACTGTATTATATCATCAGATGGGATATTTTCAGCATTTTCATATGTAGGTTATCATCTGTCCCTAGTTGTGCCCATTCAATTTTGAGTTTGATCAGTGAATCAAAATGGCTGATAGGCAACCATCTTGGATTTTGACAGGTGTAGTTTGTTATAGCTATTTCTTGAGGGGCACTTGCAAGATCATTTTTCAAACTTTCTGTATAAGTTCCCCATATTCCCAGGTGCCCATTTAATTTTTTTATGCTCAAGAAAACAAAGTGATCAGTCACAGTTTTTTTATTTTGGTATTTGAAGTTTCTTATTGCTATTTCTCTGAAAAATATTTGCTAGGTGGTTCTTAGATTACATATGTAGATAAAATATCAGTCTTCAATATAAATATATATTCAAATCACTGAACAATCCTGGTGAGCAATGCAGGCCCAATGGGGATCTTGTTCACAATATATTAGTGGTGTATCATGTTTGATATCTCTGATGTTTTTCAGCTATTTTAATTTGAATATTTATTGATTATTATATAGTGTGCATGTGTTGTCATTTTGTAATTTTATAATGATCCAAAATTACAGTGATGCTAAAAAATTCTCAAAAATCAAAAAAATGCTTCATATATTATAGATAGTTTATAAGTTATAAAAACTTGGTAGTATTGATGAATGTACTTATGGATATATTGATGATTGTATTGTTTTTTTTTAAGAAAATTTGATTGTTGTTAACTGCTGAAGTTGCCACCTGATGTTTTTTATTTGAAATTCCTTTGTGACTTACCTGTTAGGATTTTGCAGGAGATTCTTTATCATATGTGACCAAAAAAATTCAAAACTGCAACAGTTTTCTTTTCTCATATGTATACACTTGTTCAAGAATTCTTGTGACCATTGCAGACAAGACATCCTGTATCATTCTTAGGTTACTGTAAATCATTTTTATTTTGCATAGGATTTATTTTTACGTTGATACGCGTCAATTACGGTTTCAAGTCACTCACAATATTTGTACAAAACAAGTCTGGACAGCATTCATTTTATTTTGGTTACTGATATGGGAGTCTCACAGAGTTCTTGTCTCTAATAGCTCATCATTTGTGAATTTAAAGTAGTTTCTAGATAGCTTCATGAAATAATTGATCATAAATATGTCTGAAGGGATCAGTCTGCAAAATAAAGAAATCGCAAAATCTAAGTGATTAACAGTAATCCAGGGTTTATTTCCATGGTCTTTGTTGTACATTCAAAGTATAATAGGAGAGTCTAGAAACATTTCTTTATTATATTTTTGTTATCTTTGTTTATAGATATGTAAGTTCTCTGATAAACAACAGGATAGCCATGTATTTATGTATGGTACATACATCTGTATATACTGAAATACCATCTAAATGACTGTTGCAGGGAGTTAATGCCAAAGCAAACATAGATTTGTATCGGATTCCATTACCAAGTTTTTACTTCAGACATCTGTCAAAGCTGATATATAATGTTATGTTCAGATCAAACAAGAAGATTGAAATGCATAAAGAGTATTTTTCTGAATGTTTTGATATTTGAAATTTTCTAAGTTAAAAACCAATGTCAACCCTGCTTGTGTGCTTAATACATACAGCCATTACCAGTCATTTCACATAGTTGCTCAGATTGTTTTAGAAAGCAACATGAAAATAAATCAGAAAAAAATATTTTTCTATTTTAAGAAATGAGAAGACATTGAATTTAAACTTGTGATGTGAGTGTGTTCTGCCAAATACTGTACAGAGAACAATATTTTAAGAGAAACTTTTTAACATTTTAATATTTTATCATGAGAAGTCTTGTATTTTTTTTCAAACAGTTATGTATATGGTATTCAAATTGTTGAACATTGTGTTGGAATAAAACATGAATACATGGTTGATGAATATATTCTAACATTAAGGTTAGGTTTAGTAATCAGATGATATCAGAGGTAGTTAATTTCATTCCAATCACGTTAACTGTTCTAATGTCAGATATATTAATGTAGAGAATATTTTTATGCTGTTGCTGCTTCGTCCGTCCATTTGTCTCTCCGTCATAATTTTGTCCTGAGCATAACAAAAACATTTTATTAAGGCATCAACATAAAACTTCCTATGTAGATAGATCTCAACAAGAAGTGCTGTGCACAAGAACTGTCTCTCTCTTTTGCATAATTTAGGAGTTACTGCCATTCTCACACATAAATTTTGTCCCAATCAGGGAGCATAACCTTCTGACAGCCCTGTCATTGCTGTTTGCTTAAAAATTGGTGTATTTATATAAACTATGGATATACTCCCCCTAGTCATCTGTTCAAGGTTTTTCTTTTCTAACTGTCTGAAACAAGTTCACAAGATTGTGGTATTACTCTCCTGTGGTTAATGCTGAGAGTATAAATTCATACTTATAAAATATTTGAAGAGATATGATTCTTAAAGGTATCGTATTTATTTGAAGATGTGTAATTCAAAGGGCTAAGTACGTTCATGAGGTTTCATTTGTCATGCGATAGTCTGAAACATTGAATACAATTTGGCTGGACCTGACAACATTTTGTGTAAGTATTGAGGAATCAGTTTTGTTGTTATTGATATATTCACTATGTAGTGATACAAAAAATCATGGTAATGGTTGCTGGTTTATATTTTGAACACAAGTTAGTGCCTAGTTAAACATCATGAGAGAGTGGTATGAATATACAAGTTTTTGTGGCTTTTGATAGTTTTGAAGAGATGACAGATACAATTGTTTATGTAAAGTATTGTAAGCAAGTTCAAAATGTGATTGTTCATTTCTTGAAATTCTTTAGTACAAATGACTACTTTTAATTCTACTAATGTTGATTAAACATTTGTTAACATCAGATTGGCTTTTGGAAATCTTTTAATGGTTCAAGCTACTTGACATAATTGGGACATACATTTCCTTTGTTTCATTGGTTCAAGCTACTTGACATAATTGGGACATACATTTCCTTTGTTTCATACTATAATTCATAAAATATTGATTTGATAAAACTGATTGATACCATTAAGATATACTCTCATTTGAAAAAGTTGTACTTTGCATTCTCAGACATTATCTAGTTTAAAAGATGGAACTGTCTGAGACAGTCTATGTGTTGTGTAGCAAAGGAGGTCATCGTAACCTACATTTTGACCTTTGACCTACCTTGAAGAAAATGTCTGTCAAGGTCCCATCTCTGACACTTCTTGTCTCTGGAAATTCATACTTAGGGTATGGGTTCACTTCAGTGAGGCAGAGTGTCTGTGGGAGGTGATGGTTTGATTAATTTTGGTGCACATGATGTACATGGTCTATTTTTAACCCGCTATTATTCAATGTGCAAATCGCTTAAGTCTTTCAGTATTTCCTTAACAGCTCTTGTTATTGCCATTTCTGGAGAAGTACTGGATTGATTTTTAGACATCAAAGATATGCCTTATAAGATACACCTTGAACTATGAAACATACTTTGACACAAATATTCTTTTATTCCCTCACTAAAATTACCCAAATACAATAATATCCCCACTTCATTGAGTGCTTAACAACAGGTTGTTAATTATTTCCTTCAGTTCATGGAAATATTGGTACAATATGATATCAGTATCGTGAATTGGATGGATTAAAATCTTATATCATGACTTAAAACTCTTAAATATTACCTTACATTGGCAAACTTGTATTTATTTCCTGTCTGACAAATCAACACCATCCTCCAGATGAGCTATAAACTAACTGAATCAGATGTCCAGTTAAGCCTGTACTCTTTATGATGGTTGTTTTGATGCACTGTAAAATCTTATGAACATTTTATGACTACCCTTAGAAATAACCAGAATAAATAGACCTTTTAATGAAGTACAAGTAGGAGAGAGTTTATTTTTCATATAATTCATGTGAACTTTGATAAAAAGGTCAAGTTATGATTGAATTAAGGGTCAATGGCCCCCATGTATTCAGTTTTGTGGAATCAAGTCTACATTCTTTTGTCACTCCATATGAATTATCTTGACAATATGGAACTCAAATCAAGATGAAACCATTAACAAATTTCACCACTTGACATGACAGACCAAAATCCAATACAGCTGTACCTATTCTATCCAAAACAACAACTTCTGCAGTCTATGTTTAAGATCATTGGATTTAAAGCTTTTTTTTTCAGCCAAAATATCTCATTTTTAGCTCACCTGGCCCAAAGGGCCAAATGAGCTTATGCCATAGCGCGTCGTCCGTCTGTTTGTCCGTCGTCCATCAACTTTTCATTTAAACAACTTCTTCAGAAATACCGAAAGGCATAGAGTTATCATATTTGGCTGGAAAGTTCCTTCGATGAAGCCAAACAAAGTTTGCAAAAAGAAATGACCTGGACCCATATTCAAGGTCACAGAGGTCAAATGTGTAAGAACCTTTAAACGACTTCTTCCAAAATACCAGAAGGCCTAGAATCATTATATTTGGCTAGAAGGTTCCTTTGATGAAGCCCAACAAAGTTTGCAAAATAAATTACCTTTACTCATATTCAAGGTCACAGAGGTCAAATGTGTTAAAACCTTTAAATGACTTCTTCCAAAATACTGGAAGGCCTAGAATCATTATATTTGGCCAGTATGTTCCTTTTATGAAGTCCAAGAAAGTAAAAGAAATGACCTTGACCCATTGTCAAGGTCACAGGGGTCAACTGAAGAAATTTATATAGATAAATCTCAGCAAACAAAGAACAATACAAAGGAAGCCTGGTTTCTCTACTTATAATATCATTTATTTCATATGAAATGTTTATGAAATAGATTTGCTGTAAGTAAGTCAACAATACAAAACATGTTAAAATTCGTTGGTCTCTGTCAACAACCAATGAATACAAGATTCTGAAAAATATACAAAAAAATAAGAGACTCTGGAATGAATTCAGAAGTAAGTTCAGTAAAGCATAACAATGATACAAGTTCATTTTGTCCAGAAATGTACATCAAATGGTTTGTAATTACCACTGTTACTGTGGATTATATACAAATTCTCTCACCAAGATATACATGTCCAAAATTAATTTTGTTGATTCATCAGCAAGGACCAATTTTTAAACATCTGCTGTACAGATCCTTTTGAATCAGTATTGTGTATGTAAGTAAACTAGACAATCTGTCAACCAATCACATGCTTACCTCATTCCTTGGTGTACATGTAATATGTATTAATAGAATACAAAAGTTTGAATGCAACTGATTGAAGATCACTATTAAAACTGACTTTTTGGTCAAACTTCAAATACTGACATTTTTATTGTATAGTTTAACATCATTATTAACAAGGCAATTAAACAATACTAGAACAATGTTCATCCAATCAACATCAGGACGGTTCAATCAGCATACTTTGTATTGATAACATGTAATATTGATAAAGGAAGATACATTTTCCATTTCCCCCAACCCTAGTAGTACCTAACAATTTAGTTAATTTATTCCTTTCAGGGTTTTTCCCCCAAAAGATGTTTTGATGTTGAGCTACAACTACCCATGCCATGTAAGAATAGTTACAGTGTATACTATTTTGTTTATGTCTACAAAGGAGAGCTACAATAACAGGCACATTATACGTATGTCTGGGGGACATATCTATACATACTGGTACTCATCCAAAATCAGTACAGCATCAAAAATAAAGGTCATTATCATTCATTCAATACATTTATAGAACAATGTAATGTCAGGAAATGATTACAACATGATTCAATTAAAAAGAGAGACACTAAAATATCAAAATATTACATCAACTATTCTCCAAACCAAAGATGTTGGTCTTCATCAGAGCCTGGAAGTATTAAAAAAGTCTTATTTTATCCTTTCAAACAAAAAGTTTGTCTTTTATCTGTAACTTAAAACAACTTTTACTAAGTTTCACCGACTAAATTTGAAATGGGCAAAAAAAAAATTAATGCAACTAATGCAAGGTGACAAAAACCAAAACAATAACGAGCATGCCACCTAGGGACTCCCACAAGATATTGGCACTGCTACCATTTACCTCCTATATGGATTTTTTAAGGATGTTACCCTTTTGTATTATGGAAAAGAAATCAAAAGTACATGGTATAAAATCACGTTTTAACAGATTTAATACAAAATCAATAACGCCCAAAAGTTTAAGGTTAGTACTTCCACAGACATTTTGATATGCAACATGCGTCAGAAGGTAAAAGAAGAGTAATTATTTTGTAGGCATGAGGAAAAAATCCTGACAAACAAAAGAACTTTTGTAAAACTTCTACAATCAAAGGGCGAGGAAAAAAAAAGCGTGGGATGTCGAATAAGATACTGTAACTTGTTAATAACCAGCCATATACTTAATTCTAGCTAAGTATCTTGAGCCATGACAAAACGATATTAAGTAAAACCTCAGGAAGATTTGACAGACAGTACATCTACAGCCTGCCTGGTCCTTCAAATTTTAACGGACGGAATGCTAAATTAATTAAGACTTGTACTAACTAAAGTGAATGCATATCTGATAGGAGGTCTACAAGCATTTTTAGCAAGTGATTAGCCATCCACTTGGTATGTCTGATCTAGAAAATAAACTGTGAGTACGAAATAAAATCTAACAATGTCAAGTTTATCTACAAAATAAATACATGTATCTACACAGAATTCTGGCTTCAATAACACTGAAGTACAAAACAAATTGATTCCAAAAACCTGCTATCAGTCCACTTTCACAAACACCTTTGATCTGGAAAATATCTTTTTTGCCTCGTCTACTTCTGCAAGTTTTTTCTCAATTTCTTGTTTTTGTGAACGTATTCTAAAAGTGTCCATTCTTAAAGGCAATGCCGACATTTCACGCACTAGTTCTTCTTCCTCTGCAAATTAATGAAATAAACTTAGTGTTGATGACTCTTTGTCAAGTTCACAAAAATCGTTATCTCTTACTGTACTGGTTTATATATATATATATTTTTTTTTTCAGATTTCTTAACTAGACAATTTAACAGGTACCTCTACTCAGTAGGACCTAATCCAAATTTATGGAGCAAATATTTCTCTTTAACATCTGAAACATCATGTCTCATTGGTCACTATGACAATAAATCCAATTTTATAAAAGAAAATATCAAATGACCTACTTTTTATCAGCAGATTCAGTGTTGTACGCCTCTCAGTCTCTGGTAACTGTCTATGACCAGGGGGCATTTCTGGGTCTGGTATGTTAGCTATACGATCCTCCTCCTCTTTTTTCCATTGTGTTTTGCGTGATTGAAGGCTGAAGTAGTAAATTACCAGTTATCAGATTTTAAAAAAGCCCACATATTTGAGGATGACTCATTGACTACTGGAAACAACGAAAAAAATTTGGACAGAATGAAAAGTTGCCATAGTTAATATTATAAAAGGATAGGATAAAACTCACAAAGTTTAATTTACAGTGACTTTTTCTAATTATAACTCGAATAAATATTTTTTTTTAAACAAAACATACTATTTAGGAACCTCTCCAAATTTGTGATTCTGTGTAAATTGTTCATCTCTGCTCTTCTTAAGGTCGTCTAATGCTGTGAGGCTTGGACTCCTCACTATAGGAACCCTTTTGGCATTCATACCATTAATTTTTATGAAGTCAAAGTTATTCCTTGTCATCTTGACCTGAGAGAATAAGATGATGGTTAAGTATGTAAAATTCCCAAAATATTTACCATGCAGTTATGATTCAATCTTTGTAATACAGAAAACTAATGTATACCAAGGTAGCTATATGCCTGCATACTTATGTCATTACAATGGCACTTTTAAACAAAAGCATGATTTTTAATGCTTTGTTGTAGTCTATGGATATTGATTAAAAATTGTTTAGTGCAAACTCTGCCATCATCTGTCAATATTTACAAAGCAAATGCTAATGTGTACAATGTCGTACTATCAGGGCTCTCGATCTGTCAGATTTTGGGCTGAATATCCCAATGCAAAATAGTATCTTTTTTTCCCAATTTAGACCCCAAGTTTTCCCAATTCTAAGGAAAACACCATTATTTTCCCAATTCTAAGGGCCCCGGGCCCCAGTCCTAAAATGGGGTGTGAGAGCCCTGACTATACATATAAACCTACATCAACAGCTGAATTAGCACGAGGAACTGTCAGTTTTTCATCAGGTACATTAACTTCTGGAGTGCTAGGACGAGATGGAAACTTAACCGATGGGCCTGACCGAGAATGAGCTCTGGTGAAACAAGCAGAGTGTGGTCTAGGTGCATCTGGTTCACGCTGAAACAAGCAAACGTCATGTGTTATTATTGATAGAATGAATTTTTATTATTTCACCGGTCACACAGGCTGTTTGCTGTACAAATCAACCAGTGATACATTTAGGGAGTCTCCACTCTACACTTGTCACACACACACAAACAAAAACTGGATTTTGGCAAAGAAAATTATACTACATTATTTTTATATTCTAATATCAATGTTTAATTGAACCAAAGATAGGGACACTTCCACCATTTAGTGACTCACTAGGTCTCACAGTATGTGTCATTACATTGTTAAATACAAAAAGTTTGCAAAGGCTTATATAGATGAGGTGTTCCTCCCAATCTCAGATGCCAACTTTTTTATTTTCTATAATATTAGTTGTGGGGGCATAACTTGTGTAACAGTTTTTACAATGGGGATCAAATGCAAGCAATGACCTTTGAAATCTGTCAATGACCACCAAAATCTATTCAGGTGTAGAAGTCCTATGATGTGAATATGAGGTTCATTTCATCTCTTTTACACAAGCTTTCCATTTCAAAAGTCAATAGTAACCTTTCACTTTGACTGGTGACCTCTAATATCAAAACGGGTGTGATATCATATTGTGAATATACACTAAATCTGGTGTTAGGGATGGATTGATACAGTAATTTATGTAGGAATTTTTACTAGTGAGTCAAGAGCACCAATTCAAAACTTTTGATGAGATATAGCTATTAGGTTCTCAAAATCTGAGCGAATCTCACAGGAAAATCAAAACCAATGACTCCAATACTTGAGTTCCAAAAATCACTAGGATGGACACAAAGACAAAGTCATTACTTTATATCCATCCTTTATTAATGGGAAGTGTAATGAGAAAGTATAAAGGGAATTTGAAAATGCAAAGTGCGAGTTTGTAATTATTTTGTATCGGCAAATAACTTAGCATCACTTTCCTAAAGCATACCTAAGTAAATCATATCAATTCCCTGATATCTAGAATCAGATCAATTATGGTAGACACAAAGTATTTATCCTGTAGTAAATTCTTCAAACAGACCAGTTAAATTATCTAAACAATTTGTTTGTAAAAAGGTTCTTATCTTAGGCTTACATACCTCAATGTCACCCTTCACACGGGACTGAATATCACGATATTTATCAGACTTCCACAATGCCTTTACTGGTTTGTTGCTTTCTGCTTCTCGTTCCTTACTTTTTCTTTGTATTTGTCTCATTCGCCGTACATTGTCCATATAATGATTTTTTGATTTTGTATCTGTAACAAATGATTAATAAAAAGCTTGAATCGAAAATACATGTATATAGATAAGTATATTTTTGTGTGCTTTTTCTTCTACCCGGTAGGGGCATGTTATACAGTGATCATGATGGAGGACCCAAATCACATCAATTTCCCAAATCTCATTATTCAATAACTTCAGAGTACATAAACATACCTATGCAAAATATTTGTGTATACCTTATAATACATGGTAAAAACCAAAGAACAGTATCCGTTTACATATAATCATTGTTTTAAAAACAGATCTCAAAAGGATCTTGTTGCCCCTGTTGTGTGATCTTTATTCGTTATTTACAAGTTAGAACTTTTCCCTTGTTTTCTCTTCTTTCCTCTATTTTTGCTCTTAATGAAATTTAATTTTTTGTTTTTCTAACCAGAGCTTATATATGAAATTTCAAAAAGGTCAGTCAAGTACTTATTAAGAAACAGCGATAGCAATCTTTCACTCAAAATCCAAGAGAGTTACTTCAGGAATTTTATTTTCTGATCAGTCCCAAAATTGGATGGGCAAAACAAGGGACCAAGGAAGCCTACATAGGAAATTTGAGAAAGAGCAATCCAGCACATTTCAAGAAAAAGCGATATCAAACTTTTATTGTCAAAAATCAGATAGCCGTCTCTGGGCCATTTTGTTTTTCTAATCAGTCCTAACATAAAATGGGCACAACTAGGGCCCATGGGTAACCTACACAGGGAAGATCAAATCATCAATAATTCTCAAGAAATAGTGATAACAAACTGTCATTGTCAAATTCCAAATAGCTGATTGCCAATCAATCTGTTTTTCTAAGCAGTCCCAAAATCAAATGGGCACAACTAGAGACAAAGGGGAACTGACTTTTGAAATATGAGAAAGATCCATCCAGTACTTATAAAAGGATCTGTGTGTACAACTTCTTTTTTGGCCAAAGAAAGTAAACCTATAACTAGCCAAGGTTTTCTTCTCAGCCTTTCACACTATACATCAAAACAAATTTAAGACCTTTTTATGGATGTTGTCTCAGATGTACTTTTTGACTTATAAACTTTGTGGCAGACAACTTTGACTAACATGACCAGTGCTCGAATCGTAAAAGTGATTTAAACACTTGTTAGATTTTGGTTCTCATTCCAAAATTCAAATTAGAAAAGCTCTCCAACTACCAAGATAATCAGAATCCGACAAAAAAATGCTACCTTTGTAATATTGAAGAGATTTGAATATCATTATAAAGAGCAACACCACAATAACACTGTAAATATTTGCTATTCTTAGGGGGTGTTTGAGCAAAGGTTCTGATGTTAATCAATATCTGCTGATGTCATTTGACCAACTGCCAATAACTAAACAAGTGTATGTGATTATAATATAGTTGAAAATGTACATAACATGTTCCTTCTAAGCTTAAACAACAATAACTGAAATTGTTGAGAAGTATTCAGATTAAAACAACGAAAAAACTTGTTTTGTGTTCAAGCAATGGTAAGGTGAATATTTCAAAATGATTAATAAAAACCTGAGTACACTCATCAAAGTAATTGTTCTGTCTCTTTAAATTGTAAATCATCTTGTTTGATGTAGTTGTGAAACGACGAGGTTTCGAAATGTGCTGGGAATGAAAAGTTTTGGCATTCAGAATCTCTATGTTTTATCTTCTGTGTCCAGTGGTGATTGACTTGTCTAGGTCTGGACATAATGGTGAAAGTAGTGATAATATAATCAATTCCATTCCAAACCTGCTCCATATTTCTTTGTTGAACCGTATCCCTGTCCATTAACAAGCATCATTCCGCCTCCACCATGCATGATGACGCCTTCTGTCAGTTCTTAATTTATAAATAAATGTTTAAGTCTTCTCTGATCATATCACTCTGTCAATCTGTCTGAAATAAATATTACCAAAAACAATAAGCGTGAAAGAATTTAAGAAATCCTTATTGTGATGTATGCTATGTTTATTTGTCCATGAAGAAATCTATTTGTTTACATATCAGTCATCTCGAGTCGGACTGGAGATCACGACTCAAGTCCTAACACATTAACTACATGTGATCATATTTGTTTCTGAAACTTACTGTGAAGAAGCCACTTAGGTTGAAATAAAAAATAATATTGCAATGCAAAGGCTACATGTACGATACGCGCATGTCTTAGTCACAACGAATAGGAATAATAACAAACCGATGTTTTCAGTTCCAAGCGCAACGTCTGCCGTCCTCCATGTTGAATTCTACTTGGTAGTCACGTGATAAGCTAAGTTTTTTCCAAAATTCAATCAAAACACCAATATAAGGCAATATTTTGGTGATTTTTAAAGTATTAGAATGTATGCCATCCATGATGTCATTGCAAAGCAGTAATATATTGTTTTTAATTCAATTCTCGCGGAAACGGGAGGAAGTGTCGTCATGGATACGCAAACATCCGCTATCATGGACGACAGCGAGAAAACTAGTTGGGAAATTTAGCAATCATGTAGCGATGAATGGAATGGCTATTTTTCTTTAACAGCCACTAATGTTTGAGCTGATCAATTTATTCTGACTTACGTTTACTAACCCAGCATAATGTCGAGAGCAGCCGTTTCAAAATCGAGGGCCGACAAGGGTGCAAAGCCCGGACCACCTGCACACACACCTGTGGTAGCCCATGAAATCGTGCCTGGAAAATTTAATGATCAAGACTGGTACGTTCATTTAGAGTGGATATATATACATACACAATATACTGACTATTTATTGTCACTGTTTTCGTTGGATGACGTATAGGAAGGTTTAACGATCCCTCTCTCTTTTTAAGAATAAGACGTATTCTAATTTGTATTTGAAAGGACAAAAATCACATTCATACCTGTGGCTGTACACCAAGTCCGGTGGAGATAATGGGTAACTCCGAAATGTTTATGATAGGTTCCATATACAGTGTATCATTTGCATAGTCTTTCGTTACCAAACACAGGCGAATGAAGGTGTAATTTTTAAACGCTTATTTCAAGCTTAGAGGTTACTTTATAACAACGTCCCTTTTATTCACCAAGGTAACAAGAGTTTTGTCAAAGTTGCCATACATCCTCTCAACGGAAAGGATGCTCATGAATTGACTTGTACGTTGCGTAATGACAAATAACATTTCAGAAACATAGCACCTGTCTGCTACTTAAATCACAGTAGTCTGACATTCTATCAATTATGACGTGTAATAATCCACATAGGAATTCCATGTATTCTAATATTTTTATGATTGTATTCAGAAATTTAAAAAAAAAAAAAGATTATATATTATTTATACAGAATGTCAGAAATTTAGGAGATGCCCTTTAGTACTTAAAAAAGGAATTTCCTCATACGGTGTGTCTATTTTTTCCTATCCCTTTTATATGAACATCTGAAATACCAACCAGATTCCTTCAACTCATTGAAATAGGTCAAGATGAGATAGATCAGATAGTAGAATAATTTCAATGAAAAACCTTAATGTTAATTTTCCCAAACCCCATCAATCTGATACATTATTGCCAAAAATCAAGTAACTGCTTTTACAGGCAATATTTAGATATGGCTATGAGTGTTTATAAAGAAGATCATGTTTTGTTTTTTTGTTTTTTGCAGGACATTTATGGTGGAAAAAGATGGTTCTGAGGAATTTGTAGAGGATATAATTGATGAACTTGTGGATAATACTTTAGATGTTATATATGATAATTATGTTGGTCAACAGTTACTTCCTTTCACAGTCACTATGGCCAAGGATGCAATTTTACAAATAATAGAAGTAAGAATTCAATTTGCATGGGTCAAAGTTACAGAGAAAAAAAGGCAGAATTTAAATTAATGCAAGCTAAGATGACTGTTAGTATGACTGTTGTGTTGTGATTGCAAAAATTTCTTATTCAAAGACATGTTTTAGTCAACCTTCAAGTATTTCCCTTAGAGAGAATGAATCCAGATTTTGTGACTTTTATAAGTTTCATTTTGATACATCACAGTGATAATCTATAGCTAACATGTTGGCAACTTCTGATTAAAAAGTGTAACAATGGTTAATTAGTATATGAACGTTGAAATACAATCCATCTCAATTCTGATATCATTTCTGCTAGTTTTAGTGGATGTAACATGTCTCAGAAGGTACAGAAATGTTGATTTTTTTACAGTGGCAATTTTTATCACGAGACGAAGGTGAGCAAGATGTAGAAACAGATCAAGGATGGATGGAAGATGAAGGTAATTTTGTACTTCAGCATGTAAATACTGTAACATACAAAGGTAAAACACTCTATATGAGGGCTTATTTTACCACATTATTTTTTAATTTTGATATTAGAAATAAGGCAAAATTGTTTTTTGATGTCCCCTTTCTCTATATAAGGAATTTTGAATTCATTGTTTTTTTTATGTTTGGATAACTTATTCTAGAAACATAGATTGAACTTCTTTTATTTCTGATGGACAATTCTTCAAATTTTGCTATGAATTTTATGATTATGAAGAAATTGTGTCCTTTTGGTTATAAAATCAATTTGTTTTATAGAGCCTGATCCTGCTGTAACAGATTGTTGGGCACAGGGTTCTGTACCTAAAGCACTTGTTCCTGAAAAACCAATGACACCTGTTGAAGAAACAATTGAAGAAAATGTGGAAGAAGAGGCTGCAGCAGAGTATGTATATTTCATGTCTTCACAAGAACGAATATAATTCCTGCTGCGCATTAATGTTATTACATTAAATTTAAGTTAACAAAGTTAATTGATATTGATAAAAATGTATTTGTGTTTTCAATTCAGAACTTTTTTCACTTTTTAATTGGACTTTTAATATTATTTGTGAAATATTTTCATGTCAATTACAATACAACATAGATTCTTCATGTAATGACATACACTTCAAGATGAAAAAGGTGAAAGAAAAGGATTCAAGTCAATTGATTTTATACACACAGAGAAGTAGAAGAGGCACAGGTGGAAGAAGAAGAACCTCCAGAGCTGGCTGATAAAGTGTCTGATACAGAGGAGGGGCCAAATCAAGAGGAAGTCCAAAAAACCAAAGAAGAAGAAAAGGTTTGCTTCACCATATCATAACTGGTACAAAATTTAGAGCATTTGTACAAATAGTTGGTAATTTACTTCTCATTATGACAAAGCAGGGGATAGCTACACAAATACATGTTTACAAATTCACTTTGGAACTCTGCCAAATGAATATTGTTTATATTAACTTGCATCCATTTGAATATTTATTTAGAAGAAGAAGAGGACAAAATATAAGCCATACACAGGGCGAGTAAAGGCAGGGAAAGGCTTAAACCAGATGACTGAGTCTTTGGAGCAAACAGAAATGGCTATGATGTATGAGGAGTATGTGAAATCACAGGAGTATGAAGCTGCAGAGAAGGCCAGTGGACTTCTCAACATGCCAGTCTCATGCCACTCCATACTTAAGGTAAATCTGATTATCCTATCTGAATAAAAATGTATATACGACACATATGTTACCAGATTATAGTAACAAGTAAGTTACCACATTATAGTAACAAATAAGTTAACACATTATAGTAACAAGTAAGTTACCACAGTATAGTAACAAGTAAGTTACCACAATAGAGTAGCAAGTAAATTATCACATTATAGTAACAAGTTTACTATCATATTATAGTAACAAGTAAGTTACCACAATATAGTAACAAGTAAGTTACCACAATAGAGTAGCAAGTAAATTATCACATTATAGTAACAAGTTTACTATCATATTATAGTAACAAGTAAGTTACCACATTATAGTTACACGTAAACTACCACAATATAGTAACAAGTAAACTTCCAGACTGTAGTAACAAGTCAATTACCAAACTGTAGTAACAAGTAAAATACAAAATTGTTGTAATTAGTCAACTACTAACTTATGATAACCTGAATAAAGTAAATGAGCAGAGTTAGTGTTAATGTTTAGGGTACATATATATCTTTATTTGTTTTTTTAAGGTATTTTTAAAATAATATTCTTTCATTTCCAGGTCCAAGCTGGTCGGCCACCAGGAAACAAAGATGTCATGTATGATGATATGGGCAATGTTCTGGCGGTGATCAAACTAAATCCTGAAAAACTACCATCTCACAGGTATAACTTGTCATAATATAGACATCTCACAGGTATAACTTGTCATAATATAGACATCTCACAGGTATAACTTGTCATAATATAGATATCACACAGGTATAACTTGTCATAATATAGATATCACACAGGTATAACTTGTCATAATATAGACATCTCATAGGTATAACTTGTCATAATATAGACATCTCACAGGTATAACTTGTCATAATATAGACATCTCATAGGTATAACTTGTCATAATATAGATATCACAAAGGTATAACTTGTCATAATATGGATATCACACAGGTATAACTTGTCATAATATAGACATCTCACAGGTATAACTTGTCATAATATAGACATCTCACAGGTATAACTTGTCATAATATAGACATCTCACAGGTATAACTTGTCATAATATAGACATCTCACAGGTATAACTTGTCATAATATAGATATCACACAGGTATAACTTGTCATAATATAGACATCACACAGGTATAACTTGTCATAATATAGACATCTCACAGGTATAACTTGTCATAATATAGATATCACACAGGTATAACTTGTCATAATATAGATATCTCACAGGTATAACTTGTCATAATATAGACATCTCACAGGTATAACTTGTCATAATATAGACATCTCACAGGTATAACTTGTCATAATATAGACATCTCACAGGAATAACTTGTCATAACATGACATCTCACAGGGATGACTTGTCATAACATGACATCTCATGGGTATAACTACATAGATTTAAAAACAGTCATTACATGTTATGTGGACTTATAAGTAACTCGCATGGCATGCTGTCTCATGGTCATTAATTCTGTGAAGAGTCATGTTAATTTTTTGTACTCACTGTATTTCTCCCTGTCCTTTTGTCTGCCTGCAAACACCTAATTACAAAGTAAATGCCTTTTGTTAAAATTTTGTGTCCAAAGTGTAAGTTTTCTTGCATTTAATATAGGAAAATGATACTTTTGTTTGTATTTTGATCGACTCTGATGTATTTGTATGCTGATCAGTTGTTTTGTGTTCTTTAGAGTGAAGGTGAAATACCAAGTGGTAGATCCTGCTGTGGAGGCTGCCCAGGCTAGACTAGAGGCCATGAGGCATGGTCGGTACATGAGTAGAGCAATCCAGCGTAGACTTAAACGCAACAAAGTCGAGGAAATCAGGCCAGATGAAGGTAACTGTACAAGATGTGCTGGCGAGTGCCATATTTTAAAGAGGAGGATCTTGAATGAGCTTCCATTTCATGGGGTATTTATGAAAATTTTAAAATGGTTTCAATTTAGTGAGCTGTAGCGAACTAGATGGAAACCAATTGAGAAAATTCATAAATATTATATGATTATATAGCTCATTTGATATTCTTTTTATCATATGACACTGTAGACACCATTACCAGCAAAAATCCAGAATGACCAATCCCAAAATTTAGTCCTGCATGCTTTTGTCGCTATTCAGTCAGGATGGTATTAAACGTATTGTTTGTATTGACGTCACAATCAAAGTTGTTCAGGCCTGTCAGAATGTCACAGTGTTGTTACACATCAAAGTTAATGTGATGGTGTTATACAATGATATAACACAGTAGTCGTATGATAAAAAAATGAAGACAAAACACAACATGATAGTATTATACATAACAGTATTTGGATAATATATCAAAAACCTCACTGTACAGATGAGAAATTTTTCCATTTTTATAATATGTACACTAATTATTTTTCTTAAATCGCATGATAACTTTGAAACATTTTGTATCCAGTTTCACATGTCATTAGAAAATATATTTCTCAGAAAATTATTCAGTACTTGAAATATTATTTTAGATGTCATACAGAATGAACAATTTTGACTTATCATTCATTATAATTTGTGACATTCTGATTGGACTGGACTTTGATTGTGACATCATAATAGAATCAGCTGTATGACATCATGATGTCTAGTGAGAAGCCAGGACACAATTTTTAGATTGGTTATCAACCTGTTTTAGAATATTTACCAAATGTAGAATTCTAAAGCAGGAATCTAGGGGTCTTTTATTGATTCACTTGTTTTGTCTTTTTTTCTGCCATGAAAACCATCTTGGTGTAGGAAAAAGTCTTCAGGTGTGGACATACCAAGAATTGCTAGCAATTGAAATGTGTCAAAATCCCATCAAAGGAAATTATGGTGCTGTCTCTATACTCCCAACCTGCCACAGGCTAAACTACCATTCTGGTTCTTCTGCTAGTCAAGCAGTTCCCTTCGCATCAATAAGGGACAGCATTCCAGCAAGGCCTTGTGCAGAACTGGAAGATGAAGAACAGAAGGAATGTCTAATACACACACATAACAATTCAAATACTACACACACTCAAAATAGTTGTGATTTACAAACATATAACAATGCTGCCGAAAAAGATCACACAGGTATCATTGGGGGTGAAAATCACAGTATTCATGATCTTGTATCTATGATCATAGAACTTAAAGCTGATGTCAAAAAACTACATTCAAAGTTAGATGAAATGAGAAACTTACCAAAAGAAAAACTACAAACGGTGGACTGTGGTACACAAACTGGCCAATCAAAATGCTGTGGGAAAGGTGAAACAGAACACAGTGAGAAGCTTTACAGGGAATATGGCGAGAAAGGACAAATAGAATGTAGTGAGAAAGGTTATACAGAATCTGATGTGAACAGCCAAACAGAACTTGGTGAGAAACTTGTTATGACTTATGCTGAAGTTGTGTCACAGCGTTCAGTTACAGTGAGACAAAAACAGCAAAAGTAGCCTTCCATTTAAATCATCAGGGAACTATACCGCATCTTCAGTTCCACCATCAGTGGTGAGAAAGAGAATCATTTCATCGTCGCCCACACAATTGAACATGGAGAGTCCCTGTGAGGATATTGGAGTGGAAGGTAGAAGTAGCCCATATTGTACACTACTTGTTGGATCCTCTATTCTCAGATTGGTAGAGAGAAAGAAACTTCAGTTTAATATGGATGTCAGGACATACCGTGGTGCTAAGATTAACACTGTCAGGGAGAGATTGCTAACAATGACACTGTCGAACTATCGGCGTTTGATCATTCATGTAGGTGGAGATGACATCTCTAGTGGTCGTAGTGAACAGGACATACAGAGCGACTTTACTCATCTAACATCTTCCATTCATTCTACAAGCCCAGACATACAGATAGTATACGTGGCAATCACCCCACGGACAGACTGTGATGTTATTCCCACAAACAGAAATCTCCAGGAAATGTGCAATAAACAACACTTGGATTTCATTCCAAGCTACAGAGTATTTGTTGACAATGATAACTTTCAGAGAAATGGACTCTACAGTAGAGATGGTATTCATCTCACTAAATATGGAACGGCATTGTTTCTGAAAAACATTGATCGATCCTTATCTCACAGTATACTGAGAAGAAATCCTTCTGAGTCTTCAAATCATGAAAATGTATCTTAATTTCTCACAGACTTTGGGTAGAAATCAAAGCGAATGTGTCAATGTTTTTACATGTATTAAAGACAATCAGAACCAGATTTCCTAAATCATTGTTTATGTTTTAATGAAGCATTTGGGAAACTGAATTCAGTTTATTCTTGCAAAGTTAAACATATTTCATGTCAAAGATGAATTAAGACACCAGCAAAGACCATAAAGAGACCTAGCCATAGAACATTGGTCAGTAAAACAGTATGATGCTTTTATACAACATGATTCATGTAAATCAGATTTCTTACAATGAAGAGAGACAGAGAAAGCTATGTATACACCCAATGTTCCAGGTACACCTAATATTCCAGATATTGTTTATTTGTTTCTATGACTATGGCCAAGGGTCACTTTGATTTTAAAATACAATGTATTAACATGTTAGTAACAGATACTGGGTATGAGGGTGGAAGTGACACAGTTGGTCCTAACTTGGTTAGGAGATAAGATATTGAGAAAGAGGAAATGTCAGGTATTAAGGACATGTAGACAAATCAAAGTTTATAAGAATCAGCATGGTTTAGAGATGGAGAAAATCAGGGTTGTTGAAGCATGGTTTAGAGATAAATCAAATCAAAGGTAGTGAAATTTCACATTTTTAGAAGATATGAGGAAAATGAGTGGTGAGATACAGAATGGTTAGGAGATAAAGACAAAGACATAGTGGTGAGATACAGAATGGTTAGGAGATAAAGACAAAGACAGAGTGGTGAGATACAGAATGGTTAGGAGATAAAGACAAAGACAGAGTGGTGAGATACAGAATGGTTAGGAGATAAAGACAAAGACATAGTGGTGAGATACAGAATGGTTAGGAGATAAAGACAAAGACAGAGTGGTGAGATACAGAATGGTTAGGAGATAAAGTCAAAGACAGAATGGTGAGATACAGCATGGTTAGGAGATAAAGACAAAGACATAGTGGTGAGATACAGAATGGTTAGGAGATAAAGACAAAGACAGAGTGGTGAGATACAGAATGGTTAGGAGATAAAGACAAAGACAGAGTGGTGAGATACAGAATGGTTAGGAGATAAAGACAAAGACAGAGTGGTGAGATACAGAATGGTTAGGAGATAAAGACAAAGACAGAGTGGTGAGATACAGAATGGTTAGGAGATAAAGACAAAGACAGAGTGGTAAGATTAGCATTGTTAAGGCTGATTATAATGAATTGTGATCACAAGGAAATAATAAGACACTACTGTATTGATGGGAAGTAACACAAAACCCTGAGAAACAAGGAAGGATAGCTTGTGTAATGCAACAGAGGATAAAACATTGTGGTCTTTAATGCATGGATGGATGCCTCTGTGATAGGGCACAGGATTCCGTGCCAAATGCTCTTTGCTTCAAGGAAACCAATGGACAAAGCTAGAATCAGGATAAGAAATCGGGATCAATGTCACATTGTACCCATTAAATAATATTTTATTGAAATGACACCATGAAAATGGTGAACATGTTGGCCTCATTCATATAGGAACCATTCTTTTGAATTACCTTGGTGTGTTGTTGTGAATAGTTGGAGTAATCCTGGAAGGCTTGGTTCATTTAATTCTCATTTGGTAATGGTGTCATAAAAGTGTTACATGATAAGCTAATGTCACCTTTGGTGACCATTTGACTTATCAAGAATATTAACCAACTGATTACCGTAATATTGTGATTTTATAAGGTACACGTATAAGGTCAACAAATTCCAATGTATTTTACTTCATGATTGAATATAATGAACATCTTGTCAGTATTTAGAGAAATTCAATTTTAGATAATGCTACCAGTTTATAAGATGCATCAAATGGCATATAACAAATTCCTTTATATTCTGGATTTATACATCTGTTACTGATCCTCTGATAATAGTTTCTACATTCAAGTAGTGAAGTATTAACAACATAGTACACAAATACATTGTAACTAAAGCTAGTGTACTATATAAACATCATTTAATATTAATCCTTCATGGCTTCCAAGTAACTGTATATACATCAAATTACTCTAAAGTTATTTTATTTTGTAATTTACAGAGAGTAGCCAGGTTATACATATATAACAGTGTACATGATGTACACCTAGCCATTGTCACTATCAGATAAAGGCTTGTTGTTTAACATACAGTATTTTGTTTTCCAGATTTAGAAAATGGCTTTCAGAAAGATATGAAAACACCACTGCCTCCTCCACTGGTAAGTCTGCCCCCTCCTATGATATTGATGCAGTCTGTCATTTCACCTTCAAATACTGAGACTCTTTGCAAAATCAGAATATTATTGAATTTGACCTATACATTAATAACTTATGGAAAATATATTCCATAAAAAAACACAAAAAAGTTTGTTTTTCCTTTTAATAGACTCAGTATAAATCATAGTTATAAGTACAGGAATAGGTCTAGTCTGGAGATGCTAAAAATAGAAATTTCCAAGTCATTATCAGTTTTAGGTTCTGTTGAAAGGTCACAATTTTTTTCATACTAGGTATCAATATAATATTAACTTCAATGTTTGTCAGTGTTTGTAGCCACATTAGTAAGAGTTGGTAAGACTGGTTACAAAATAAAACAGCTCTAGTTTACAGTTATGTTCTCACTAATAAACAAATGTTTATTTAACATTGAAGACGGAAACCATGGAGATATCCCCTGGAGTTACAGTACGTGAGGGCGGCAGAGTAAGGAGAGGGCCAGCACGAGTGAGTTCATTCATTATTCTTTTCCTGTGTTAATTAGCCTTCATTGTTGGAACATGTGTTAAAGGAATCTTATGATGCCTGTGACTGCTAAAGTTAAAAAGATAATTGAATGTTCATTTGATGACAATGAATACCATCAAAATGTGAAGTTATAGATATTTAGTAGAAAACAACATTGCCAGTGTTATGTTGTATTCCAATATATCGTTCAATAATCTTTTTTAGGTTGGTGATGTACAAGTATTGAGTTAGTCATAATCCATTTGTTATGAATCTATAAAGAATGACAACAACAGAAGAGGGAAATTTCTAGATTCCTGTGGAAAGTAATGAACATCACACTGAAGTAATTTCTTGTTTCTTGTTTTTCAGTATGTACGAAAGGTTGATAAATTCACAGAGAGCCAACAATCCTTACGGCCAGTGGCTACCCGAACCACTGCTCCTTCTCTGGAGGTGGCTGACCTGTTAGATCGACAAACACCAATTCTTCGTGTGATGCGGGACTCGCCACCACTCCCACCCATTGTACCACACCCACCAGCACAATCAAGAATCCCAACGTAGTGTGCAGCCTTAAAACATCAACATAGAAATACAGAACTGATCATACAAAATAATTAAATGGAATGGCATGTAAGAAAATGTTATCATAGCTTTGTGTAGCAGCAGTATCATAGTCGATGGTGATTTTCAGAGACTTTGTTATTGCTAGATATATCTATCAGACATTTTCTCTTATAACTTCCAAAAATCTGGTGATCAGTCATTTAGATAAAAGTATATATAAGTAATGATATGAAATTGTATGGAAAAATGTACATATTTGTAAATAAAATACTTGTAAGATAAAGCTGTTGTCATGCAGTTAATTATACGGCTCATTATACTGTACATTGTATTTTATATATAAAGTCCAGTACACTTACATAATTATGTTCAGAATGTTAACTACATTGTATTCTTGCAGATGTGCTATATTTACATAGCAGATAATTCTTTACAACTATTAATAGTTTATATTACCTCTCTGTGATATTTTAATACCTTATCAAGTTGAATGTGCTGATATTAGCTGCAAGTGTCATGTTATTTTATGTTTTGATAATGTCAGAAGTTTTTTTTTTTATTTATAAGGGCCTATTCGGCTTTGTTTCTTTTAGAAGTTCTAATGTGAACCAAAGTAAGGCCTTTCTCTCTCAGAAAATCATTTCTACTTCCTGATTTATCATTCTAAACTTTCAAATTAAATGGACATATATTACATATTGATTTTTCTTTTCTTTTTTTTGGCTAATAAAGATTGAAGTAATTAATGTAGGCTATAATTCATGCAAATTTTACATGTTCTGCGAAATATTCTCAACTGATGCAACGGTTTGTTTAGATAATAAAACATGTGAGAAAATATCCAGTATCTTATTTATTTTTTGCTAGACACTGGGCCAAGTATTCCTAGTGTTTTATACCAGATTACAGAGGCAATCCCTCCAGGTCACCATTGATGTATGTAGGTTTGTAATGACTTGACAGACACATCAGATATACGTTACCTAAACTGTACAGTAATATTACTATTGAAAAAACATGGAAGATTACACAGTGTATGTTGAATATTACTCAAGTATCTGGGTCTCGAGAAGCTTGTTGAAGTTCAAGTGATTTTACTCATTTTGAGTCCCTTCCCTCCGAGTTCCTGGGAGCAAAGACCATATTATTAACAACTTTTGTGCATTTTTGACCAAGAATAATTCCAACAAAATTCTATTAAGAAATTTCTGAGATGTGGAAAATGTAAATTTCTTCAGATGCACGACCGACAAACCATAATGGAATGGTCACTTGAGACGTCTCCAGCAACCTTTTTATACGCCACCGGAGGCGGTCGTATACTGGCGTCATCTTCTCTATTCGTCCATTTCTTGTGAACGCAACTTCTCCTAAACTAATCATCAGATTTTAATGAAACTTGCTCAATGTCACTACTACAATGGGTAGATGTGCATAAAGGGGCGATTTTTTGGTTCGTTGATTTTTATAAGATTTATGCCATTTTCAACCTTGTATCTGTAGCTAGCTCATAGTGGAGCCTTGTGAATGCAACTCCTAAACTAATCCTCAGATTTTCACGAAACTTGCCCAATGTCACTACTACAATGGGTAGATGTGCATGAAGGGGTGATTTTTCGGTTATTTGATTTTTGGAAGATTTATGCCATTTTATTTTGATCTTTATATTTTGTGGCAGCGTATATTGTGTCCATGGCACTCTTGTTAATGGAATGACAGAATGCGCTAAATATAATTCGAAATACAATTATCACTTGCAAATTTATTACCAACAAACATGACAAAAATTCAAATAAATCAATATTTCAAATCTATACTTCAACTTTATTCCGAAATGTTTTAGTCAGAATTTCAAAGTTAAAAAAATTCTCAAAAGCTTCTCTATTATATTATATAATAATCTTTGATTTAAAACATTAAAGTGTAGTATCATCAGACCCACATGTTCGATTTCAAATCAGTGGGAGTCAATAAAATCCTGCATCTGATTCACAAATATCACATGTGTGAAGCCATTCAATAATGTTATGAAAACAAAGATATAGGAATGAATATTTAACTGAACTAGCCAGAGAATATCCAGACTTAAACCTGGTCAGGAACTATGTGAATAATGTATGTACCGGTACATAAAGGTATCATTTCTGAAGTTATTATAGTACAAGAAGGTCTTTCTGCAGGCCTTAGCTTTAAATCATGTCATACAGCAGGAAACAGAATGTGTTTGTACACATACTCAAGAAACAATGTTAATGTGAATTTTTCCAAACTATAGTGTAACGACATGAACATTTGCACACAAATAAAATGTCCATTTTATAACAGTTATAAAATGGCATATCTATACTAAAATTACAAATCATATTTATACAACCAATTGCTTGCTCACATGTCAAAACATCCACACACATCAACACCTTACATCTCATTAATCATTGTTTAACCATATGGTCCATACAACATTCTATCTACATTTACACACACGTGCACCACTCTCTCTCTCTCTCATTCTTACACTTCATTCAAATGTGTGATCTAATACATTTCTGACATACACACCCATTTCCTTATACATTGTATCAAAAATGTACTGAAAGGCATACATTGGGGATGATTTCTCACATAACATCCTCAACTGGCAATATGTTGCCTTCATATCTGAAGTAATATACATTAATTGATTGGTAATATCTCCTTTTTTAATATGACTAAGGTATAATGATAAGTTAAAAATAGGAAATGACTTATCCATGTGTTGTTTAACAGATTGGGCTTTCCTACTGTATTTTCAAGTCATTTTCAAAATTAAATTCAAATAGGAACTATAAGTGGAAGTGCTAAACTGCAGTTTAGTCTTCAGGGCATATCTTTACTGCAGAAATATATCAATCACAGAAGTTGTTCCATAAATAATAAACTAGAACCTGGGCAGTTTCTATCACACCAAATGCTAAAATGATATTGAATATTTGTCCATTTCAGTGTTGTGCACTCATCCATCCAGCATATAGCGTATTTTGTCAGTATTTTTCCATAAACAGAAAAGAGAAGCAAGTCCAAATCCAATAGCACCTCCCCTTAGCAGTTTTTTATGACCATCTGTGATTGAAAAAAAATATATTATCACTGATAAAAGTATGGTGTATAAACAAATTACCAAAGTACAGTAAAACCTTGTAGTTGGTGAGAAAACAAATTATTTACATCCAATGAAACCTCCTTGTTTGAATGTCATTATTTCAATAACTTAATTAATTATTGCTGACAGTTTTCAAATATTCATTTTCCTCAATTTTTAACAATGATATTAGCATATTTTTAACCTCAATTTTTAACCTGAAGTATAATACAGACATTTAATCCACATAAACATTGTTCAGTTATTGTTCTGGTTTCTGTTTTCCCATTATAAAATTGGATAAACTTAAACCAGGGCTGTTGTTTAAAGATTCAAATAGTGAAGCTCAGGCACAACATTTAAGATCTATCTTTGGAATGGAACTTACCAGCCATTCTGTAGAGAGCCCCTGTGGCGGTGGCAGATGTAAGGATATTCACCTCTCCTTCTACTCCTGTGGATTTAGCCACCACTATTCCAATTATACTGTATAGTACAGCTGTAACACATCAATACTTTTATTATCAAATGGACCTAATATAGTGTAAAAGTTAGTTTTTTAGTTACTTTCCAAACACTGTCTGTTTTACATTCCATATATTGTCTGTTTTACATTCATACACTGTCTGTTTTACAATCCTTATACTGTCTGTTTCACACTCCATAAATTATATTGTCTTGTTTTATACTCCATATATTGTCTATGTTACACTACATATACTGTCTGATTTACACTTCATATACTGCCTGTTTTACAGTCCATATACTGACTGTCTTACACTATAAATATTGTCTATTTTACACTCCATATACTGTCTGATTATTTCAGGTCAAACAACGCCGTTCTAGATAAGATATGAGGAGAAATATAGGATTTTTATGTACATGTATACAATTTAATTGATCTTTCACTGCTATATTTTGCCTAGCAAGTTACTTTAAAATGTCATACCAAAATTGTATCAATGATTCTATGTTATATAATGAGTTTTTATACCAAAATATTATATCAATGATTCTTTTTACACCAAAATGAATTATTAATGATTCCATGCAATATATTGAGCTTTAACCTATAATTCTAGTACAATGCCATATATTGAGCTTTTACACCTATAATTCTAGTACAATCTTTTCATAGAACTGTTATGACCAGACTGCTGCATCTTACATAAATACATAGAGGTGCCTTACCAATTGTTCCCAAGGCCTGTCCATGGAATGCTGCCCTCTTGCCAACTGTGTTTGCCCAGCTGTATATAAGAAGAATCAGATTTCAGTATGTTGTGAATCTCACAAATGAAATCCTTATATTGTTTCAGCAAGATATTTTTCTGAGCAAATAATCAAGTAAATAAACATTTATTGTAATTAATTCACTATATCCAGGCAATAAAGGAATCTGTTTGACTTTGAAAGTTTTTGAAGTAGAAAGTTTTATCTAGTTGATGACAGTTTTGATGTGATATTACAAATAAAAATCCACACAATTATGTCTTGACTTGAATGAGCAATCACTTACTCTGTATATCTAATCCTAGCTGTCACATCAGTCTGTCCATGTTTCTTCCACAGGTATGTTGCGTTCAAAGTTCCATATAAACCACCTGCACATTAAAAATCTCTTTCAATATACAAGATATTTTAAAATGATCAGGCAATTCATAAATACTGTTTTTCATTATAATGTTAAATTGATGATTTTCCTCCAAAAGAATACAATGATTTTACTCTATGTCGCTGTTTGAGGATATTGGTATCTTAAAAACAAGTGCTGAATAAACCACATCATTTTATCACTATTTTGCATGTGATATGGTATTTATTCTTTGTTACATGATGAGCCAAAGTTTTCTGAACATGATGAGTTAAATAAGATGTATTACCAGCGAGAACTGCACCACCTATTTGTGAAAAAGCTACTTCAAATCGGCCTCTCTGCTTATCAGCTCCTTCAGGAAATATGAATTCAGCTTCCCCCTGCAATATTGTTGATTAATTTTGAAAACATTACTTAAAAGAAAGCACTGTATATTAGTCCCAATGTGAGCATTGAAGTAAATAGAATGTGAATTCTCGTTTTACTGAAATATTGAAAATGTTTCACCTCAAAAGGCATGCTGCTTTTTTATGTTCATTTTCTTTATCTATAATTTAATTTCTGAACAGTCACTTCAGTTTTGTGATTACTATCTTATCAGTTAATACATCAAACTGATTCTGAAAGATATCATTTTTTAGCATGGAATATCAAGGTAGAAATGTGAATATTAGTGGTTACTGTTAAAGATTTATATTTAGAAATGCTTCATCTTAATGTAATTTTAGTTTAAACGATAACACAGGGGGTTTTCATTGAGATGTTTTGAATAAATACATAAATACTTACCGTTTTAATGTAATTGGGGTCAAAGTTCATATAAGGGGACATAACCCCAGCTTGGCCTGCAGTAACTGAAATAAAACATCAGAATACAATTTTTACACTAAAATTTTTTATGCCTTAGCTATAACTATATGATGCAGCAAGTCTCTATCCTGAACAAAATGAGCCTGTCCTTAACTAACAGACTGTCTAAAAAATCTCCATCTTTCTATTAATTTTGCAAGAAAACATTTGACTTAACAAGATGTTTGTAATTAGTATTTGAAATAAGTTCCTATAAGTTGTGCATCTCCTCCAAAAAATACTTTAGTCCTGCGTGGACATCAATGCTCATTTGAGTCATGTGGAACATCTGCTATAGGTAAAGAGTAAATTTACATTTTCTAGTCTGTGATCAAAAACAGTTACATTCATCCAACCCTTGTTGAGATAAATAACCGTTGTGTTGTCCTACATTGACTACCTAATCAAAATTAGACCTGAATAGCCCAAATTAAAATCTGATGAAATGATTATAAAACAATTACATTTACGTTGAACTTGGTGACATTGCTCAAAGACGGAGTTCTAACAGAAAGTCAGAATGTTGATTTGAACTTTGCCAAGTACATTTCTTATCAAAAATTACCTGGCACATTTAAAGTTGGGTCTCCTGATGAATATGGGGTGAAAAACCCTGGCCTGTTCGCTTTGCTTCGTTCTTGATCCATTTTAATTTACGTAAAACCACTCTTAGTGACAAGCATGTGGGCACTTACACCGGAAGCTAGCTTATTACGGAATCACTCGGATGTTTTCTAATAAATGAATCTACACAACCGATCAATACCGAATAACCTAAATATAATTTGGGATTTTTTTCGAATAAAATAAACTAATATGTCCTTAAAGCAGGCTACTTTATATTATATAAAGTAATTTCCGAACTTAAAATTAAAGTTAGAAAAAATATAACATTTCAAGTAATTTCTTGTTTGTAAGGTCAAGGGTTAAGGGTTCAAGGTTGACAAATCTCCACATGGTTCCGGTGAATGTTGTGTACAGCGTGATGCTTCAGGTAAAAATAACTTCTTTTACACCGAATGTCAAAAGCAAATACATTGTGAAAAATTAACAGTCATTTAAAAAAAATTCTATGCAGAATATTATTACTCTTATAATCTCAAAAACTGATGTACAAAGGTAGTCAGGCAGTTGTAAACATTATATGTTGACATACAGTCAGTGTTCAGATTTGGAAAACTGTTCATATGGACACTCTAATTTAGGCTAATTATACAAGTTGTTCAAGTGGACACCCTTCTTATAAGTTTCTGGTTACCATTTATTCAATAACGAATCTAATACATAAAGAATATCACATGTCTTCGTTTCTTTACTCATTTTCATGTCCTTCTCATAATTCAGTTTTATAAATCTTACAGGTAATAAGTAAATAAAAACGGGTGATGGAAAATGGTAAATGAAAAGTATCTAATCCCTTTTGTGAAAAATGTTCTGCCTCAGGAGCTCGCGGAGCTCACATTATTAACATCTAGGTCTCTAGCCATACGCTCTACCGCTCATCAAAATGCTAATAAGGCGACATGTGCTCTCAGCTTTTACACAATTTTCCTTAACATGTCTTTGCCATGTCAGTTTCAGATCCCATGTCAATAAGAATTATGTCTACTTAATGAGTGCCCTGGGAGGAATGAGTGTCCAGTGAGATTCAGATTGCAGGGGCCAATGTGTTTAAATTGTTTACCAACATTTTTATAGCCAGGAGACAGGATCATGATATATAGCCACAAACGTGCTATGCCAGCTTTATTAGAAATGAATGTCCATGATCTACCTTCACAGGAGTCAGACTTGGAAAAAAGCAAACTTGTAAACTACTTCACCCTGGTTATTAGACACAGCTAGAGTCATGATATTGTGTTCAAGATTGCAGATGGTATACACTGCTGGTGGACTATTATAGTCCCAGAGGTTTGCCATAACCTGTATACCACATTTTAATTCATACATATAATGGCATGGTTCAGAATATACACATTTAGTAGATTTTGACATTTCTTTAAATCACTTTGAATTTCCTCAGTCGCCTCCCAGTTTTAAAATTTAGGCCCTTAGCATCACTGATGAGTCCTAGAAGGACAAAGCAGCTGTATGATGCAATTTCAGGGTTTTCCATAAGAGCCGGCTACTTCGATCATTTGGCCGCCTACACCAATCCAGTTCCCTAATAATGGCTACACGTACACGACAGGCCAGCCTCCTACTTTCACTACACAGCCTACTACTAATAAAATTATGGAAAACCCTGAATTTAATTCATTGTTTGGCTCAGCTCTATCTTATCTGATCAAAATTTGTATTCAAAGGTACTATTTACTTGTGTCTTTTGTACAGTCTTCGTAGCATGTTGAAATGCAAGGTCACAGAGCTCAAATGTTTTAAAATAGAGTCATGATACTGAACTGGTAGCATGTTGGGATGAGGCAAAGGACTAACATGTTTGTTCAAGTAAATGACCTAGACCTACAAATTGTACTTTTAAGATCACATTAGCAAAATGTGCTAAAGTCTTCAGATGAATTGTTTTTAATAACCAAGAGTGAAAAAAAAGGCCTCTGGATTAGTAGCCAGTAGTATGCTTGTAGAAATGGCTATCTGTTTTGTTAACATCCAAATTCAAGGTTACAATAGTCATATATGTAAAAGTCTTCGAATGATCTCTCTTTGATACCAAGAGTTTATTTCACCTGCAACATGGTCGACTTGGTAGCACATGTACAAAATGTATGTTACTAATAGTAAAAATATCGATATCAGTGCACAAAATGTTTTCACCAGTCAAAAATTTTGTTTTTAATTTCTCTTTCAGATTTATGCTTAACCAAATGCACTGAGATACAAGTATACTGAGGTTAACTAATGCGAAACACTATTTAGACAACATTTTTTCACAATATGGAAGTGGTTGATGCCAAAGGAAACATTGGTGAAGATGCTGATGAAATGAACTGCAAAAACACCATTACCAATCACTCACCTTGTTCCATTCCTACTACAGACATTAGTGAAGTACTTACAGAAGGTGATGACAGCCAGATGATTGCAGAGGATACAAAACAAAACAAAGATATCTCTTCTGCTATGGAAAACAAGCTTGATGAGAAATCTGAAGGAGACAACCACAACACCCATGTCTGTGTAGATAGTACAGAATCTGGCATTGAAACAGCAGTAAATAACACAGAGAAAATTATGACTGAAAACCAGAATTCTGGGACAGTACAAGTGGACACAACATCGGGAACGCCAGTGGAAGGAGGGATGCCCCAATTGAATGGGGACAATGAAGCAAACAGGGTAGAAAATTTGGAAACCGCAGAAAATTTAGATAAAAAGGTTGAGACAATAGATGTGGAAATGCAAAATGAAATTGGGAAGTCATCAATGAATGAAGACATTACAGCAGAAACAGTAGAAAGCCTGGTAACTGCTAGTACTGAAAATGAAAATACAGAGACATCTACAGTGACGAGTTTAAAAGATGATTTCTTAGTAAATGGGCAGCACAGCAAAGAGACCACAAAACTAGCAGATGATGTATTGATGAATAAAGAGACAGATTACAGAGAACAGGAGAGTTCTGACAGTGACTCTGACAGCAGTAGTAGCAGTTCTAGCAGCAGCAGCAGTAGTGATGAAGAAGAACAAAACATATCTTCTCCAAAGAGGTATTCGAATGTTCTTGTGTTTTGATTGAGGTGTATTTCATTATACATACCACACAAAGTACATCTATACATATATGTGTGTATGGGGTTTCAGAATCAAACTTGTTTCTGTGCATGTTTTTCAACTCTTGCTTAGAACAGTAAAAAAACTTTAAGCTAATTGATAATGAGAAAGCAAGCATTGATGAAGTTATCTATATACATTGATTGATTCTAACCTGATCGTTATTTCAGACCAAATTCTGTAACAGAAAAGGGAAACAATAAATTCCTCTTTGAAGATCTCAAAACTGAAGGAGAAATCAGTCTAGAGGTAAGTTAACCATTGTTAGTTTACTAGTGTTAACTTGGGATCAATCTAGAGGTATGTTTACTAGTGTTAATTTGAATCAGTCTAGATATATGTTTACTAGTGTTAACTAAGGATCATCAGTTTACTAGTGTTAATTTGAATCAGTCTAGATATATGTTTACTAGTGTTAATTTGAATCAGTCTAGATATATGTTTACTAGTGTTAACTAAGGATTAGTCTAGAGGTATGTTTACTAGTGTTAACTAAGGATCAGTCTAGAGGTAAGTTTACTAGTGTTAACTTAGGATCAGTCTAGAGATATGTTTACTAGTGTTAATTTGAATCAGTCTAGATATATGTTTACTAGTGTTAACTAAGGATCAGTCTAGAGGTATGTTTACTAGTGTTAACTAAGGATCAGTCTAGAGGTAAGTTTACTAGTGTTAACTTAGGATCAGTCTAGAGATATGTTTACTAGTGTTAACTTAGGATCAGTATAGATGTATGTTTACTAGTGTTAACTTAGGATCAGTCTAGAGATATATATACTGGTGTTAACTTAGGATCAGTCTAGAGATATATATACTAGTGTTAACTTAGGATCAGTATAGATGTATGTTTACTGGTGATAACATAGGATCAGTCGAGATGTATGTTTACTGGTGATAACATAGGATCAGTATAGAGGTATGTTTACTGGTGATAACATAGGATCAGTCTAGAGGTATATATACTGGTGATAACATAGGATCAGTATAGATGTATGTTTACTGGTGATAACATAGGATCAGTATAGATGTATGTTTACTGGTGATAACTAAGGATCAGTCTAGAGGTATATATACTAGTGTCAACTTAAGATGTTTCTGTTGTCTATATGTTTGTGAATAGATACAACTTATTATGGATTACCTTAATCATACTATTTACATTTATTTGCAAATAGCTTGGTTGATTGAATGCATGCATTATTTATACTTTTTAATTGGTTTGCCAAGGCTAACATCTTTTGTTGACATTTTTCTGACCAGAACCTGCCACCTATAGAGGAGTTGTCCCTGGATATTGAGGAAGGACTGGAAATGGTGCCAGTGGGAACTGTATCAAGCGTACTTGGGGTTCTTGGTAAGTATTGTGATGCCATTTTTATGTCACATTTTATGGTATGATACAGAGATAATTTTAAAAAGACTAGGGTTCATTTCTTGTATTGCATGTTCACCCAGGGAAACTCCATTACTTCTGAGATCTGTACTCCAATTTTAAAAAGAAGGCTGGGTTTAGTATTAATTATCTCTTTGTAGTACTGCCATTCATCAATTTGTTCAAATCTTCACTACCATATTTCTTTTAACATCTCTGGAAGACAATGTCTTGTTAAGAAGTATTTTACTGGGACCTTTATTTTGGTAGCTTGTCAGCAATTTTCTTTTCCTGACCAGTCCCAAAATCAAAAGAGCACAACTATGGATCAAGGGTAACCAGCATATTAAATATGGGAAAGTTCCATGCTGTACTTCTTAAGAAATAGGATGATAAACTTTCATTGACAAAATCCAAGATGTCTGCCCAGCAACCGTTTTGTTTCCCAAAATTAAAACATCGCGAAAAAGGACCAACAGGAACATGTGAGGAGAAAAATCCATCCAGTGCTTCTGAAGAAATAGCAATAACAAGAGTTGTTAAAGGATGACAAAGGATGCAAGTCAATTTTAACAGCCCACCATCTGATGATATTGGGCTATTAAAAGCACATATAGAAAATTACTCGCAAAACTTGGGCCTCAAACTGGTTTCAAAGTGAATGTCCCACCTCTAGTCTAAAAGATTATTTGTACCAGACTAGCTGGTAAGATGAGTCAATCTTTCAACTTTTGTAGATGAAAAAGTTACAGTGCAATGTATATGTTTACCTTTATTTTTTGTTGTACACTTCAGCCATAATTCAGTCTGCAGTTGGAGTGCCTCCTCTTAATGATGACACCATTTTGTTCACTGAAGGGCCAAAGGTTTTAGGCAGGGTAGGTTCTTACTAACAGTTGTCAGTATATTATACTGGAGAACCTGGAGAGACCATACATTTATACCTGACATTAAATCATAGAATTCAAAATAGAAATAGTCTCAAGAATGACATAAAAAAAATCACATGGTACAAAAATAATCATTTGACCATTTTGAATAATAAGATTTCTTTTTGAAGAGGCAATTATCCAACCACTTTTTTTGATAAATTCATGATATTTAATATTTGATGTACTGTAAATACACGGATTCATGCTGTGTTTTCCAGATTATAAGTGACAACATTCTATTCTCTTGATAGTTGATTCTGTATGCTGCCATGTTATTTTCAGGTATTTGAAGTTTTTGGTCCTGTTAGTACCCCATGGTACTCTGTGAGATTTAACACCAAGGCCGATATCGAAGCAAAAGGAATTAAAACAGGGATGTCGGTATTCTATGCACCACAGAAAGAGGATTACACTAAATATGTGTTTGTCAGTTATCTGAAAAGGTAAGAGAAAATTTCAGTATCATCATAAGAAATTAGTGGATGCTTTGCATTGTTTCAGTCATATAAAACATTGTGTTTCTAGTGCTGCTAGTAACATCCATTCAGTTTGTAGTGACTTTTTATAAATTTCTTGTAGTTTCATTAGTTGAGGTTTTCTTATTTTTAGAGAAATACAATTTCAAAAGTGTGGCATGAAGAAGCCTGATACCAACTACAATAATCACTACTGTCAAATGATGTCATTAAAAAGCCACAATTAAACCATCATTATTGTTTATCATGAATTAAGAACATTATCCCTGGCAAAATGAAAACATTGATAATCAATGATATTTAATTTATTGACCATTAAATATGTTCTCTGAGAAGTAAAAAAAATCAAGTATTAAACTTTTGTACTGGTGATGATTTTTTTTTTTTTTTTGAAAGGTTATATTTGAGTAAGTCGGTTAAAATTTTCAAGGATATTTTCCTGAGTAAAGAGGGGTCGTGTGCTCCAATTTTTGTAATTTTCACCCAAGCAGAGATTTTTCAAGATCAAGAACAAGTATTTGTTTTTGTGTCCTGAAAACATAATACAATAATAATTAAAGTATTACTTTTTAGGTCATCTGACCCGAAGGGTCCGATGACCTATAGTCATCATGCTTCGTCCGTCGTCGTCCGCCGTGCGCCGTCCGCCGTGCGCCGTCCGTAAACTTTTCATTCAAACGACTTCTTCTCAAATACTAGAAGGTCTAGGGGGCTAATACTTGGCACAGAGGATACTGGCATGGAGCTCTACCAAGTTTGTTCAAATGAATGACCTTGACCCACTTTAAAGGTCACAGGGGTCAAATATGTTAAAATCTTTAAACAACTTCTTCTCATTAACCAAAAGGCTCAGAGTGTAGATATTGGGCCTGTGACATGCTGGGATGAAGGACTACCAAGTTTGTTCAAATGAATGACCTTGAACAACTTTCAAGGTCACAGGGGTCAAATATGTCAAAATCTTTAAATAACTTCTTCTCAAATACTAGAAGGCCTAGGGGGCTAATACTTGGCCCATAGCATGCTGGCATGGAGCCCTACAAAGTTTGTTCAAATGAATGACCTTGGCCCACTTTCAAGGTCACAGGGGTCAAATATGTTAAAATATACAAAGGACTTCATCTCAATAAGCAAAAGTCTATGAGTGCCGATATTGGGTCTGTAGCATGCTGGGAGGAAAGGCTACCAAGTTTATTTAAATGAATGACCTTGAACAACTTTCAAGGTCGCAGGGGTCAAATATGTCAAAATCTTTAAATAACTTCTTCTCAAATACTAGAAGGCCTAGGGGGCTAATACTTGGCCCATAGCATGCTGGCATGGAGCCCTACAAAGTTTGTTCAAATGAATGACCTTGGCCCACTTTCAAGGTCACAGGGGTCAAATATGTTAAAATATACAAAGGACTTCATCTCAATAAGCAAAAGTCTATGAGTGTAGATATTGGGTCTGTAGCATGCTGGGAGGAAAGGCTACCAAGTTTATTCAAAAGAATGACCTCAACCCACTTTCAAGGTCACAGGGGTCAAATATGTTAAAATATTTAAACAACTTCTTCTCATTAACCAAAAGGCTCAGAGTGTAGATATTGGGCCTGTGACATGCTGGGATGAAGGACTACCAAGTTTGTTCAAATGAATAACCTTGACCCACTTTAAAGGTCACAGGGGTCAAATATGTTAAAATCTTTAAACAACTTCTTCTCAATAACCAAAAGGCTCAGATTGCTGATATTGTGCCTGTGGCATGCTGGGATGAAGGGCTATCAAGTTTGTTTAAATGAATGACCTTGAACAACTTTCGAGGTCACAGGGGTCAAATATGTCAAAATCTTTAAATAACTTCTTCTCAAATACTAGAAGGCCTAGGGGGCTAATACTTGGCCCATAGCATGCTGGCATGGAGCCCTACAAAGTTTGTTCAAATGAATGACCTTGGCCCACTTTCAAGGTCACAGGGGTCAAATATGTTAAAATATACAAAGGACTTCATCTCAATAAGCATCTATGAGTGCCGATATTGGGTCTGTGGCATGCTGGGAGGAAAGGCTACCAAGTTTATTCAAATGAATGACCTCAACCCACTTTCAAGGTCACAGGGGTCAAATATGTTAAAATCTTTAAACAACTTCTTCTCATTAACCAAAAGGCTCAGAGTGTAGATATTGGGCCTGTGACATGCTGGGATGAAGGACTACCAAGTTTGTTCAAATGAATGACCTTGACCCACTTTAAAGGTCACAGGGGTCAAATATGTTAAAATCTTTAAACAACTTCTTCTCAATAACCAAAAGGCTCAGATTGCTGATATTGTGCCTGTGGCATGCTGGGATGAAGGGCTATCAAGTTTGTTTAAATGAATGACCTTGAACAACTTTCAAGGTCACAGGGGTCAAATATGTCAAAATCTTTAAATAACTTCTTCTCAAATACTAGAAGGCCTAGGGGGCTAATACTTGGCCCATAGCATGCTGGCATGGAGCCCTACAAAGTTTGTTCAAATGAATGACCTTGGCCCACTTTCAAGGTCACAGGGGTCAAATATGTTAAAATATACAAAGGACTTCATCTCAATAAGCAAAAGTCTATGAGTGCCGATATTGGGTCTGTAGCATGCTGGGAGGAAAGGCTACCAAGTTTATTCAAATGAATGACCTCAACCCACTTTCAAGGTCACAGGGGTCAAATATGTTAAAATATACAAACGACTTCTTCTCAACAAGCAAAAGTCCATGAGTGCTGATATTGGGCCTGTAAGATGCTTGGAGGAGAGGCTACCAAGTTTGTTCAAATGAATGACCTCAACCCACTTTCTAGGTTTGGCTTGCTTTTTGTCAGATGACCGTTAAGGCCCATGGGCCTCTTGTTAATGAATGTTACAACGGCTCGTTATTGATAATTAAAATATTTTTATTAATGAATAACAATATTATTAATGAACATTCATGATTTCATGAACTTCGTCTTATAGCGGATCATTTTGATGGTCATCATTTCCAGGACTGGCATTATGTGTGGTCAAATTGTGTATCATATCAAATTTTGATGGTTATTAATAATCTACCATTTTGTTGGTCATTATTTTAAGGACATATCATTTTGATTGCCATTATTATCATAAAGATATTGATATATATGTTGTAACATTGTAATTATTGTCATATTTTTCACTTCACAGTCTGAAGGCATTGTTTCATGATTGTTGATTTTAATGGAAATTACATGAAAAATGATAAGTACTTAATAAAATAATGGTGGATTTTAATGATGAATTTAATGGCTTTATTCAGTTCACTTTCACAAAAACAGATTAAATATTTTTAAAATATCTCAAATTTATGTAGCCTGATGAAAAAACTATTTGTATTTTCTAGCCTGAAAGGATCGGATGCGTCATGGAAAGATGACAATGAACCCCCAGAGAAGGTCATTACTCATTATTACATATAGTGTATATTCTTGTATTACCTGATCCAATGTAGGATGATATAAAGTTTTCTTATCACCTATACAAAGACAGATGTAATGTTGTTAATGTTGATATTAAAAACCATAATCACATTCACAGAATTTTGAGGTTTGTATAATCATATGAATATTAATGTAAAATATTATTTTAGTTGGTACATTAGCCAATACATAAGGGTATTCATAATGTTTTCAGTGAAGCTGTACTAAAGGTGACTAAAAAAACATTTTATTAGTACAATGGAGATGGCCAAACTTTTTATAATGATAATATGATAAACATTTATCAAAATGTCTTCAACATTTTAGAATGGTAGATATTTCTGAACAAGGTTAATATTTTTAAGTCAACTCTCAAGCATTTGACATTATTTCTTTAGTTTAAAATCATTTTTTTCAAGAAATTCAATCAAAACAAGTATTCTAACAGTATCTGCACTAATAGCAGAAGTTTTTTGATAATCTTAGAAAGCCATTGTACCATAGTCTCATAAATGCAGAATATTTTGCCATAATATGATAAACATATTATTATATTTTATTTGGGTAAATGTTTTTTCAATTATGTAACATAATGCAATTGATATTTGTTTTATCTTCAGTATATGGAATATTCTGATGACGAGGAGGAGAGAGCATCAAAGTCCAAATCAAGAGCTAAAGATCGATCCAAATTTAAAGATGAGGCTGATGGCAATGAAGGGGATCAGTTACCTGGTGCTAAGATAAGAAGGACCTCAGTGAGGGGAACTGGCAAGCCACAAAAATACTGGTAATTTCACTCTTCTTGAAAATATAGGACCTAGAAAACTATTTATATTTTTTCATTGTGATTCTACGTTTTCTAGCGGCCAGTAAGGATATATGTGTTAAAGTATAAAAGTTGTTTAGCATGCGACAAAAACATTGTAAACCTGGTGGTACAAGTTAGGTCAGATACAAGTGACAAATGATTACTGGCTTACTGTATGTTCATATCTATTAATGATTTGATATTGTTTCATTTCAGGAGAGACACTGAACAGCATGGGCAAACTGACAAAATGCAAAATAGCTGGAATAATGCAGGTTGGTTTGTGATACACATGCAACACTTCTCTAAGTGTCAAAAACTTAATCTTTTTTAATGCTTGGTAGTAAAAAATTTGTCCTGGACTCTGTATTCCTAATTTCCTGTTTTTACCAGGTGACAACAGGAGAGGTGCACACATTGGTTACAGTAACCAGCCAGTCCGAGGAACAGGCCCCAGATATGCTGGTCAAACATACAGCAGAGGAGGAGGTGGAACATCCCAACGCTTCCATTTCCCCAGACCTAGAGGTCAAGGGCCTTTTGGTGGACCAGCCAACTTCCATTCGGAGTCTCCCTATACCAGGAAAACAGGCCCTGGCCAATTTTATGAAAGCAGTAACAGAATTATCTCTCCTGGTAGATTTGGTTCTCCCAACACACAGAGAGTGCAAAACCCACCTGTTGGAAACACAAACTTTGGATCAAATTTCACAACTGGTGTTAATGCCTGGAACAACTCAGAGAGTTACAAACCGTTCCCATTGCCTGCACAAATCATTACTGACAACAGGCTAGTTAGAAACGAAGATAGTCAAATATCGAACTTTTCAACCCCTCCACCAGTTCACCACTCCAGTTACAACCAAAGTTGTGGGTTTGATATGAATCAGACACGTTTTCCACCACCACCACCACCACAATCTACACAACACATCACATTTCAACCACCTCCCCCTTCTTTAAATACTAACCCAAACCAAATTAATATACCACCTCCATTTTTACCTTCTTCCAATAATACGAAGAACAACACTTTTATTCACAATCCTTCAGTTCCTCCACCACCCCTACATCCAATACCCATGGGTAACCAGCAGTATATGAGACCCCCCTATCCCCAACAACCTCCAGTGTTTGGAGGACAGCCTCACTTTACCCAAGGTCCAAGTGGAAGACAATAGATAGGAAGTCTAGGTTTAATATTAATACACAGGTATGTTTAGTAGATACACATATTACGAACCTGGTTTAATTTGGATTATATTTTTCAGAAGATATATTATCCAAATGTAAGACGCTTTCTCAGTATAATGTGATGTTAATAGATGCACATAGACTTTATCAGCTGCTGGAAATGATCAGATTTATAAAGATAATGAAATAAAGTGAAATTGGGCTAGTGCACCTCCACATCTAGGATTTGACATTTCTTTTGATCACTTCTGATTTTCCTCATTCAATTTCAAGATTTAGGCCATACCATCACTGACGAGTCCTAGAAGGATGAAAAGCTACATGATGCCGTTTCATTTCTTATTCAACGCCACTGTATGGTATTCTTAATGAGTACAAGGATTGAGGTGCTATTCATATGTATGTCTTTTGTACAATCTTCTAATTCATTATTTTTTAAACAGCACATTTATTCATTTTATCCCACAGACCGACATGTAGTTTTTGACACCATTTAAAGAGCCAGACCCACTCCTTGACCGATATTGTTTTATATAAAAAAAAATCATGATTTTCTATTTTTCTTGGGTAGCAAAAGTTCTGACTAACCCTGTAATACCGCAATTTTAAAGTAAATTGCTACCAATCTAACGTAATAAATAGTTTTAAGAAACAATTCGAAATGACTCATTGCTAATTCATAATTATGCGGAAAGTCCTGCCCTCTGACACATGCGCAAAGAACTGTAAATAAATCTGCCGTCTTCCAACATGGCAGAAAGCGTGCGAGGGAAGCGGGGAAGAAAACGTGTTTTGACAGACTCTGAGGCGAAAAGAAGGAAGATGGCTAGTTCATAATCTGTGTCGCTCTCTGTTTAGCTCTCTCGTGTAGTATCACTCAAAAATCATATTCATAAATACAATTATCATCGAATATTCGCTTTAGATAGATCCATTTCGCGATGTTCTATATGTTTGATACCATATTGTAGCCCCCATTTGAGGGCCTCTTTGCAATTAATTGTAGTTTTTCTCGTATTCTGCACATTTTTGTGTCATATCTAAGCATTGAAAGATGTGATCAATACACATCTATTTACAAGTGATATAACATTGACGTACTACTCATCTCCTCCTCCAATTTTTGTTTTGGTTCTGCACATATCACGTGACTTTTCCTCATCAATATTCATATCCTGGTGTTGATTAAGGAGACTAATTCCAGCACCGATATCTCTGGTACCCTTTCAATTTCAAGTTCGAAACTTTATATATTATCTAATAGTATACAACAACATTTCCAGTTAGTAAAATATGATAAAATATCTATAACGAAGTGGGTCTGGCTCTTTAATAACTGTACATTGTACATCATTTTTGTCTCCATAGTTTACCAGTTGATGGCTCTAATGACCTTTTTATGTGTTGACGGGCCGTTAAGAATGTCATAATAATAATTGTCTCCATAGATTTTCATTTACCTGTTGTATAATTTGATAACCTCCAATAAAAGTCTATATCAAATCATTTTAATTTTTTTCATCTATTCAGATTAGTTCACCCCTGCTATGCAAACTTAACTAATTCTACAGCACTGCACTATGCCACACCACGCTTTGCCTCGCCATGTAAACCAACATAATTGTAAGGTACTACGCTACACTACACTACACTACACTACACCAAGCAAACCAACTTATTTCTAAGTGACTATGTTATTCTATACCACAATGGATTATCAATACTGAGGATTCCATTAGAGAGAAGTTTTATTCAATTTTCATTTTTGTGACCAGCCTTCATTAGCATCCTGAAGAAAAAATAAGGAAAAATTCAACTAGCCTGTTTTAAGTAGATCTTTAGACAAGCTTGACAAGACTTATCCCTAGCACATTAATGCAATTTCATTAAAAGGGTGTGTATACATTGGACATTTTATCTGCAATTGAACATTTTATTGAAAGGAACATAGTTTATTTAGTATACATGTATATCATTAAAATCAGAATCTGCCACTATTTTCACGTTGAGAAAAAGGAAAAGGTCACTTTATCTTGAATAGAAGAAGTTGGTCACATCTATCAGTTGTTTTCGTTTCCTAAACTAGGAGTCAGGAACATCTGAAGTGCATTCTATGCTATTTAGTAAAAGCGAGAAGCCCTCAACACACACTTGACTGATTAATACTCACAATGCATTCTATTGCATCAGATATTTACTTGGCTATTGATATGCAGAGATTTTGTTTTACATAGTCAATTTAACATCGATCGGTATCAGGTATATCCAAGTTCAAATTAAGTGGGCTCAACTGTATGGCCAACAGAAATATTAAAACCTTTTTGATTTTTTCATACTAAATGAATAATGTTGGCCACTATATCTACTTTTGGAAGGGAGAACTGAAGTACTATTGAGATTAAGATTACCTAGATAACAGTTTACGGAATGAAGATAAATGTGATTTAGAATTATCAGTGACAAAAAAATAAGACATCACTTCAAAGAAGTTTTATGCAGTTTGTTTATTATTTTAAAAACATAGTATATATATATATGTATGTATGTATGTATATTTGCCAGAATCAATTAGCTTCAGTAACGCATTTCAGAAATTAACAATCTTTCACTTACTTTTCTCATAAGAACAGGCCTCAGTTTCATTCAGTACACTTGCATTCATAATCTCTCTTACAATTAACATGTTGCCATTTTGGTACATATTCAGATACTCAGTCTTTCTTCATGTTACACATACAACAAACAGAATATGCATTTGATTATTTAACTATCACCCTTTTAACTCAAATCAATAAACAGTAAATGGAACTAAATCATTAGACTTGTCAGTATACAAATGTAGATGTGAACCTAATCTACTGTTGACAGACAGCATTGATTTTGATGCTAAAATTTCACAAAACGTAACTCTAAGATGAGGAAAAACAATCGGATGTTAATTATTTCTTTCCCTAAAACCGTTTTAATTGTTTTCGGGAGTTCATTCTTTCTTTTTTTTTTGCACAGATGATTTAGTTTATGTAATTGTCAACAAGTCAACGGCAATGATAGTTAGTTCTCGTACTTCCCATATTTGTAAATATTGGTTATTGTGAAATCCTGTAAGAACATCTGCACCATAATTTCTTACTGCCTATTATAAATACTTGGTCGTTACAACTCTATTTGTTTAAAGTACATGTAGTTTGATACTTGATACATTTTTGGAGGTTTTTTTTCACGAGAGAAAAAAAAAATTACATCCAATGTACTGTCACAACTGTATAATTTCTGCTAAACCTTGATAACACAAATTAAAAAAAATATATATCATACATCTATATTTCAAACTTAAGTGATTTCAGTGGCACATACTTATTATACAGGAAAGTAATTTTGATGAAATTATACCCAGGACTAGAACACATGGGGTTACAATTAGTGAGGGGCGAGTATTGAGAAGTATTGCGAAGGAAGAGAAAGGTTGCAGTGATGTGGGTGGACAAGAGCATTATACATCAATTGAATTTTACTTCTGAGGGCCTTAGCAGATGTGTTAACTCTACCGTAACATTCTTCTCTCCCTATTAGGCCAAGAACACTACATTTAAGGGACATTTAGGTAACTATGGGTGGAAAAGCAAAAAAAATTTAAAAAAAAAAGAAGGAAAATTAGAAGCAAAACAGAGCTCCATATATATGTATTTGTTTCTACAACATGTTTCTTGTATATATATATATATATAACATGGTTACTACAGTAACACTAAACGAACACTCCAGGTACTGGATCAGAGGTGGCAAAAAGAAAGGTATTTTGATCTTATGGTATTTTGCAACACTCTACAACAACAACTAAAGCACTTATTTATGATACATAATCATTTCTACAACATATTTGTCATAATCATTTCCTGGAGTGCACCACAAACCCACTGTCATGGTGGAATGACACATAACACCTGATGTTAGGTGTGATATCCGTTGCAAAGTATGACAAATGTCATGAGGTGGGACACCCGTCATGAAGTATGACATCTATCATGAGTTCTGACACCTGATACAAGGTTTGACTACTCCTGTCTCCTGTTGTGAGGTATGACATCTGTCATTAGGCTAGACATCTGCTTTGAGGTTTGACAAATACCTGGAGGTATGACACATGCCATGAGACATCGGAAATGCTGTGAGATAGTATACAACTGCTACGAGGTATGACACCGATCATGAGGTATGATTTTAACTGTGAGATATGAAACCTCTGGAGGGATGGGAGTTGTCTACTCTCCTGGACTTTTTACATTCTAATCTATTGTTAATATTGCCTCTAATGTCCATCATTTAACATGAATCAATGCTTGCTCATATTGTTTCAGAAATTCAATCATAACAGAGGGATGTTTTGGTTTTTATTAAATGGAGACAATTTAGAGGATTGATGACAATAATGTGAAAGAAACAGTTGTAAAAGTTCTGTAAACCACCATGATGATGGCGAGGTAAAGGTGATCATATCAATATAGACATGATGACCACATTGCTGTTACTTATTGCATTACCATCAAGCTTTTACCATCTAAGGAATAGGTCAATCATGGACTAATGTCTTGCTCAAACAAATGAAAACAGGTTTATATGTAGACCATGCACTCTGATTAACAATTCCTTATGATAGGAAAATGTGTTGCTTCACTGAAGCTGTGTCAGCTTCTATTTTTAAAGGTGTCTGAACTTACAGCAATCCTATGTATGTCGCACCTGATTCAGGGGATGTTACCCTTTCTACGAAAATTCAACACAATTTGCCATGCCATCTCGTGGCATGAATTAGTCACTGGCATAAAATCCATGCTATTTAGGATATCTTTGTCAAATAACAGTTATCTCCATCTCAAAATGTATTTTAAACTTTTCTTGTGAAGGAATTAAGCAATAATGAATTTTCATGTAAAATAATTTGGCTTTCACTGAAGTGATGAAAAAAACATCAGTTCTTAGATTAACAGAGCAGTAGATAATAACAAGGATCCTAGGAGTTTAAAAGTTTGTCACCAGGTATATTTAAAAAATGGAACAGTTTTTCATCAGAAACATATCTTCAGTTCTTTCATAAATTGTTGGATTGTCCAATTATATGCATTTGTGTTATAACATACTCTGGCCATTCTCACATTAATTTCTATGTTCATTAATATTCTAATTCATTGCATTATCAAGAACATATGCTACAAATAAATGAGCTATGTGGCTGGCCCACAGTATATAATAAACACAAACCTCACTATGTAAGTACAGTGAAGTCCTGACATAGAAAATCATTATACTTATAAGTTAAGCTTTGTTTCAAATTTTTCTAACATTACAACAGTATAAAATTTTACAACATGCAAATGCAAAAGAAAATGAAAATGATAATTAAATCTGCATTAACAATGCATGCATCCAATAACAGCTCTCTGGATAGAAGCAACAGTGTCACAAAGGAAAAAACAGGTCATTTATGGAAAATAAAGTTCAAATGAGAAAAAAATTAAAAAAAAAGGTAAAAGCCAAAAAAAAAAAAAAAAAAAACATGCACATTTGTCAGAAAAGTTCTCTGATTACTGGGGATATATAAAATGGGTGAAGCTGGTAATCTTAACATGGACATGCTACTTATGGAAATAATTCACATGCCAATGACTACTCACAAGGGATGGACTTATGTCTGACTAGCCAGTTTGTGTATTGATACAGGAGGGTGAGTGGAACTGATTCCATTACTCCTGTTACTATCATCATGTCATAATTATATCTATAGAGATGGTGTCAGTGCACTGACAATACAAAAGTCAGTAGTAACCAACTGATTTTAGTTAAAATTGTCCTAGGATGTACAAAACTGCGAAAAAGTACAGGAAATATAAAGTAAGCAATTACTGATCTGTCTTGATACGGCATTTATATCCCTTCTAAATGCTCTGCAGGTAAACTTACCATTTTGTTTTACCAAACAGTTTGCCTGTTAAGCATAATCATTCACAAAAAAAAAAAAAAGCTTTTATCAAGACAGTTCAATGCTTTAATGGTAGACCATGGGTCGATAATGGGCTGAGCTAGTGACAGTCTGTAGTGTCAGGTTTTCTACTGTACATACATTATGTATAATGGTAACCCTGGCCAGCCCGATAATCCCTACTGACCACGCTCCATCAACTGAGTTTATTAAATCTCATCTTAACAAGGCAGCAGAGACATATGTAATGTTTTAAACAGAATGAGGACATAACATCAATGACCTGTAGGGATCACATTGAGACATTAGGCTTAACACATCGTTTGTCTTTTCACACACAGACACCATCACTTCTGTTCATTACTAAGGATGGATTTGAAATGGAGTTGTAAGATCACAGTGATCCAGGGTGACCTTGAGAGATGTAGGGGCTCGGTATTGCTTGGCTGGATACACTGCCCCCTCATAATTTGATACAGTCTAGGAAACATTTCACACAAGTATTGCTTGTTTTCATAAGGTAATGCCTGCGTGGTTGTTGTTTAATGGTGTACCAACTGGAGAAGTCCGTGAGGATATTTCTTTGCCTATAACATTCTCTATGATAGGTCGAATCTCATTCCATACTCTGCTGAGCTGTAAGACATCAAACAAAAGCTAGTAATGTATGGCTTGGTCAATCAAAGTTATGGTCTGTACATTTTCTGAAGAAATGAATTTTACCATCTTCATTCAATATCCAATAAATTTTACTACAGAACATTTTTTCACTCCTACTTGAAATTTGGTTTTTCGATATACTGCGTACTTTTATACAAAACTCTACATCAAATCACCATATCTTGTAGAAGATATAGAAAACAGTTCAACAAATAAGGATGGGGTATGAAAGTTGAGTCTACCTCTGTGTGTGATTTTGCCTGTGTTTCAGCCATTGCACCAAGAACATCATAGAGTATCTCCACGTTTGCATAAATTAGCTGAGTCTCCATTTGCAGACAATGTAGACTGTAATAGTTCCTATTTTCCATGTTGGCAATCTGACTTTCTTGCTGAAAGTAAAATAATTGTCACTGATAGGAAATGAGCATTGAATACTGGTAGTTGTAACACTGAAGGTGTACTTTGTATAAAGTGAGCTGAAAATAACGACTACCCTCCATGGTAAGTGGTAACCTTCTACATCCATTGATAGCCATCAAAATCAAAAACCTTGATCAATGACCACCAGAATCTTAAATAGATATAGAATATGATTAAAAGCTTCACCAATGACCACTGCAATCGGATATAGATTGTGATTTAATAAGTCTATAAGGCGAAAATAAATCAAACTAGAAAATATCAGCAAGACATGAATGCCCAGCCCTAATGCATTTAAGTTATCAATGTGTGATGAATTTGCTGTGTGATGATCATCATAATATTTTGCGGTGTGACCTCGCTGCCATAAAAGCTTTTTAAATATCTTTTTCTGAATGAAAATTTCATTTAAACTGCATACAAAAGAAAGATATATTTACCTCAAACTTTTAATTACAACTACATAGTTGTCAAAGTAGTAGTTTGCGTAAATACATATATCTACAGGGGTTGCTGAATTAGAGAAAGCAAGATCTAGCTTGGAGCCATAAACAGTGACTGCTTGATGAATTGTGGTCTTTCTTTGTACGAAGTTTCATTAAAATCTTCCGAAGGGTTTATGAGGAATTGCTAAGACAAAATATTTGGCATAGAAAAATCTGAGTTCAAGGGCCATAAGTCATTTAAAAAAATTGAACAACATTCCCCTTGCAATATGCATATCTACACACTGTGACTTTTCTTTGTACTAAGTTTTATTAAAATCTCAAGAGGGTTCAGGATGAGTCACGAAGACAAAGTAACAGGGGACAGACCAAATGACCAGGATGACGGAAATGTGCCACACTATATGCCTTCGGCAGTGTATGACTTCATAATACTAGGGGGTAAATATGAACCAAATGTGATGAGACGTTCACAAAATATGACATTGATTTGAAATGAAACAGGTCACAATAGGGTAGAAAGACATGGTATGTTCCCCATAATATGGTAGGAGCATATTAAATTGTGTGGTTCACAAGATATTTTATACTGTTATGAAATATCACACACAATTTAGATATATACCATATTTACTAAGGAAGATATAAAGAAGATAGAGAAACTCAAACTCACTTGTAGTATTTTCTGCTCCAGCTGTTCAACTGCTCCTACCTACAAGGTAATACAGAAGATAGATACAGATTAATTTTATAAAGTCCTGCAAAATCTACCGTTATATATATTATTATTTATTACAAGAGAATCTGTTTATATAAATCAGCAAAGCCTTCAAGAGGAATCAAATATATCCAGATAAAATGGGAATCAGAGACATCCAGATAAAACAGGAATCAGGGATAGCCAGATAAAATGTGAATCAGAGACATCCAGATAAAACAGGAATCAGAGATGTCCAGATAAAATGTGAATCAGAGACATCCAGATAAAACAGGAATCAGAGATATCCAGATAAAATGTGAATCAGAGACATCCAGAAAAAACAGGATTCAGAGACATTCAGATAAAATGAGAATCAGAGACATCCAGATAAAACAGAAATCAGAGATATTCAGAAAAGATGGGAATCAGAGACATCCAGATAAAACAGGAATCAGAGATATTCAGATAAAATGGGAATCAGAGACATCCAGATAAAATGGGAATCAGAGACACCCAGATAAAACAGAAATCAGAGATATTCAGAAAAGATGGGAATCAGAGACATCCAGATAAAATGGGAATCAGAGATATTCAGATAAAATGGGAATCAGGGATAGCCAGATAAAATGTGAATCAGAGACATCCAGATAAAACAGGAATCAGAGATGTCCAGATAAAATGTGAATCAGAGACATCCAGATAAAACAGGAATCAGAGATATCCAGATAAAATGTGAATCAGAGACATCCAGAAAAAACAGGATTCAGAGACATTCAGATAAAATGAGAATCAGAGACATCCAGATAAAACAGAAATCAGAGATATTCAGAAAAGATGGGAATCAGAGACATCCAGATAAAATGGGAATCAGAGATATTCAGATAAAATGGGAATCAGAGACATCCAGATAAAATGGGAATCAGAGACATCCAGATAAAATGGGAATCAGAGACATCCAGATAAAATGGGAATCAGAGACATCCAGATAAAACAGAAATCAGAGATATTCAGAAAAGATGGGAATCAGAGACATCCAGATAAAATGGGAATCAGAGATATTCATATAAAATGGGAATCAGAGACATCCAGATAAAATGGGAATCAGAGACATCCAGATAAAATGGGAATCAGAGACACAAAAACAAAAGAAACAAAATAAAAAATATCAAGTTACACTGGGTATTTGAGATATCCACATAAAATGGGAGTCAGAGATATCAAGTTACACTGGGTATTTGAGATATCCACATAAAATGGGAGTCAGAGATATCAAGTTACACTGGGTATTTGAGATATCCACATAAAATGGGAGTCAGAGATATCAAGTTACACTGGGTATTTGAGATATCCACATAAAATGGGAGTCAGAGATATCAAGTAACACTGGGTATTTGAGATATCCACATAAAATGGGAGTCAGAGATATCAAGTTACACTGGGTATTTGAGATATCCACATAAAATGGGAGTCAGAGATATCAAGTTACACTGGGTATTTGAGATATCCACATAAAATGGGAGTCAGAGATATCAAGTAACACTGGGTATTTGAGATATCCACATAAAATGGGAGTCAGAGATATCAAGTTACACTGGGTATTTGAGATATCCACATAAAATGGGAGTCAGAGATATCAAGTTACACTGGGTATTTGAGATATCCACATAAATGGGAGTCAGAGATATCAAGTTACACTGGGTATTTGAGATATCCACATAAAATGGGAGTCAGAGATATCAAGTTACACTGGGTATTTGAGATATCCACATAAAATGGGAGTCCGAGATATCAAGTTACACTGGGTATTTGAGATATCCACATAAAATGGGAGTCAGAGATATCAAGTTACACTGGGTATTTGAGATATCCACATAAAATGGGAGTCAGAGATATCAAGTTACACTGGGTATTTGAGATATCCACATAAAATGGGAGTCAGAGATATCAAGTTACACTGGGTATTTGAGATATCCACATAAAATGGGAGTCAGAGATATCAAGTTACACTGGGTATTTGAGATATCCACATAAAATGGGAGTCAGAGATATCAAGTTACACTGGGTATTTGAGATATCCACATAAAATGGGAGTCAGAGATATCAAGTTACACTGGGTATTTGAGATATCCACATAAAATGGGAGTCAGAGATATCAAGTTACACTTGGTATTTGAGATTTCCTTATCAACTGGATTTTAAGACATCCAAATAAAGACATTTGAAATATTCAAATAAACTTGATATTTCTAAAATGAAATACAATTACTAATACTGAAATCATTACTTATCCCCAAACCTTACATAAATACATGATAAATTGTGAAAACCATCACAGTTTGAAACAAATTTTTGATTCGGCACTAAAATCCATCCTACCTCGGATGTTCCTACGGTGGCTGACATCTTCTTTTTCTTGTATTGACCCATCTTTTGGATGGCCCTCTGATGATCATGAAGTACACCTTTTTCATGTCTCTCACAGAGTTCCTACACATACAAAATACTCGTAAATTAAACTCAAAAATTTTAATACAAAACACTTGGTAGTAAATTAGTCACAAAACTTAGATACAAAATACTTGCAACAAAGGCTTACACAGAGCATGCTAAAAAATATTACTTGTGAAGCATAGGTTCTTGCTGTCATTTTAATAAAACTAAATATTATGTTTAATTTAATGTTGAATTTAAGTTTTAAAAAAAAAACCAGAAATATGTTATGATACATATTCCGCCCCCCATGCATGCACAAAAACCATTTTTAATCCACTGAACAAGAAGCAGTTATCTATGTAAAGATTAACCAAAGTGTGACAGAATTTCATACAGTCTAAGCACCTAGCCTTTTCTTATCATAGTTATCTATAGTAAAATTCCAGAGAAAAGGTTAATGGAATATCAATACATCAAGTAATACATAAATTAATTTTACTGCTAGAATATCACATGATATATTGTCAAAGTTAAGAATTACTTGAGATATCAGAAGAGTACACATGTACACAGAAGACAACTGCCAGACTGGGAAAATATTACCAAAATCCAGTAATATATACAACATATTTACAAACAACACTTACCTTGTATGACAAAAGTAAATCCTGAAAGAGCGCTAATTTTTCTACCACTCTCTCTGCTTCATCTGCAGCCTACAGTAAAATATAGAAAGTATTGATGTAGAAATTAATTCCCAATGAAATTTTGAAGCTGAATAAGATCAAAATATAACCAACATTTGTGGTATATAGCTTAATGACATTTATTGACAGTGAATGACTACAAAATGTCACAACGTGTAAAGGGAGATAACTCTCATGCAAAAAATGGTTAAACATGTATGGTTGTATATGACTTAATGTTGACATATTACTCTGCTAGCAGCTGCCTTTACCAACGAAAGGACTTGGTGTGTTTACCTCTTGAGAAGCTTTGTCTCCTAGACTGGCATACTCTACAGACAGGTGTTTAAACCCTTTCTTTAAACTTTCCCATGAGTCATTGGAACCTGTAGCCCATGTTGTCACAGATGTTGAGTCATTGCTCAATGAACTGAAACAGATTATTAACAAACCTTAAACATCCTCTGTGATCAATAACAGAAAAAAATGTTTTATTAATGTAGTATGGAAATGGATCCTAGTATGTGCTGTGTACAGATCCTTAGCCAATCAGTTCAAATGTAGTTCTAGATTGAAGCTTCAATACAAAAAATTCTCTATGTATGCCTTAAAACCTCATAAAAATTTCATCAACTGCAACCAATTAATGAGAATCTGAAATTTCATATCAATATTAGATAAATTTCAGGTCTACCTCTACAGAAATGATGGGAAACTTGGCCGATGGAAATTACCTTAATTCCTGTCCAAACTGTAACATATCACAAGCATAGCTGGTTGCTCTCATCACCATTCTCTCTGCGATGTCCTTCAGCTTAGAGACACTGTTACTCAGTATGCGTATATGCTCTTTACTGTTGCCAAGCTGGATCTGTGTATCCATAGGAACCAGGTCCTAACAATGAAAACATAATAAAATTGATCATTTCTAAAAAAAATTCATAATGAAATTCAGAATCTATTTTGTCAACCAGTTATCACAAGAAGTTATCAGGAGTTTTTTTTATTTACTTTCATGACTACAACAAAACTGAATAACAGACTACAACATGGAACAGATAAAATTCTATTTTTATTTTACATTCAAAAACATAATCAAAAAATTACAAACATTTTTTTACCAACTGAAATTCAAGAAAATAATTTTAGAAGTTTGTTAAACACATTGTATAGATATTTTGATATGAGAAGTCCTTATAAAAAAAATGTGATGCTCACCTTGGCCTGACTAGCTAAATTACTGGTCATAAATTCATCAGGGATTCCTCGGAAGGCTTCTTTTATCTTGTGTTGCATATCCTTAAAGTAAGCAAAAGAAACCAATTACAGCTTTAATCAACCAAAAACAGGACAAAACATTACTAAATCTCAGACGGACATTTGACAACAATTGTGATGTCTAACTATATCTACCATAAATAAAGAAAACAAGCGGTATTTGTCAGTTTACTTCTGCAGATATCACTGACACTTTCATAGCTGTATCCTGAGACATTCCAACCTTATAACTAGTATACAAACCACACATATGGGTCATACCTGTCCTCATAAGATGTTAACCACATCATAATTGATACATATTTTTCTCAAGTGAATGCTAAATATTTTGTATACACATTTATTCACATTGATAGTAATATTATTATTCCTAAAAATGAATAAAACCGGGTGGTTCTTGTTAGATGATAAAAGGAGAATGAATCTTGTTTTCATGAATGACAGATGAAGTGAGCATAGTCTAAAGGCTGGTAGATGAAAAGGGTACATGATTAAGGCTGACAGAAGAAATAGGTATAGTTTCAGGGCTTATAAATGAAATGGGTACAGGTTCAAGGCTGATAGATAAAATGGGTATGGGTTAACTACTTTTACTTACCGATCCATTGAAGGTAAAGAAGAACAAGACTAATTTGTCATCATAAATCTGTGGATGCCGGGCAATTAAGTTTAAAAATCTTCTCAGTGATTTTCTTCTTTGTTCAATAAACTCTCTGCTGGCTGTGAATGTAATTAATTTTATTAGTTGCCTGTACATACTGGGAAATTTTGGTATAAAGATCTGATCTCATCACACTTCAAATTAGAATAAAGCATCAGAACACATGGATAGATTTTTCTTTTGAAATGCAATGTGCATCAGAAATAACACAATTTGATTATGAGAGACAAATTACTTCATATTTTAAGTATGTACACTATTGTTTGTATTAAACTGATGTTATTTTAAATCCATTTTGGTTAAAAAGGTTCTGCATATTTTGTCTCTATCAACCATATGTATTCTTACCTCCCATCATTTTTTTAGGCGGAAGACTAGGGATCATTCTGTATGGGAATCGTGTCATTAACAGCTCATAAAAGGACACAAAGTCGTTGTATCTTCTGAGGACGGTTGCCTTACAATTCTGAGGGAAAGTTTTATATAGAATGAGGTCTAACACTTGTATCAAGAAATAAAATCAAATCACTTGTACAACTGTATTTATCAATCCCTCATTGCAGTGCTCATGAGTGAAAAACATTTTGCCCTTATTTGCATATCTGCTAAAGTTCTTAATATCTGATATTTCTTTATCTTCTGAAAAATACCAATTGAATTCATCTGATAATACTATACAGTTGTGGTAATGATAAGTCAGTGTTCTACTACAGACACGTACCTGGCTAGTTACTTCATATTCAACATGTTTTAAGATGAGGCCCTTTTTCTCTGGAACCAGTTCCACTTTCACAGTATCTAACTCACACAACTCTCGGAATGTAAATCCCAACACGGTGGGGGTTTTGGACCGTCTCATCTTTACACTAGTAGCTCGTAGGTCTCCTAGGTCTCCTAAACTAGGTTTTGGAAGCTCTGAAAGAAATGATGTCATGGTTGAAATACATTATATATACCACCAAGTTCCAGTGAGAATTCAAGAAACCTAAACAATATGAAAGTATGCCAGGCTGTCATATAATGAGTTCTCAGCAATCTGGTGTTTATCTGACAATTGGATGTGTAAGGATAAATCTCATTTAAGCTTGCTTTAGTCTTTGTAACTTCACAAATAAAAAATTAATGAATATGAATATAAAAGTAACCTTCTGATCAAGATAAACTTGTGACTGTCTGAATATGTCACAACACAATTGGATGCTGACAATCAATTCCGTAACCAAGCACTGGTCAAAAACAAGAAATATCTAAGATATGTATGTATTATGATTCTTAAACATAGTGCCACTGATGCAAGAGAGAATTCAAAATCACACCCATCCCACATCCCAAACATGTTTGTGACTGATGGGGGTGGGAGGGGGAGTGTCAGTTGAACACCATCTTTGCAAAAAGGTGTCAAGAGAATGATTTTGGTCTGTATTTGCAACAGGGTACTAGTACTTCTGGCAATTCTTTGCAATGAAAACATGAGTGCAATCATTATGGAGATGTTGGAGCATTTTTTCTTAGCTAAAACATTGGAAAAATGTTAGGTTCAGTAGCAAAAAATAAGGAAGGTCAGAGAAACAGAAACACTGATATTTCTTTAAATTCTTGGCCTAACCATTTTACAAATAGCTTAAAGGGACATTCCTTCACTCAAACTGCAGAAATTTGGTGTGCTATTATTTTATGCCTAAAAGAGTATCATATTGCCTATCAGCAATGATAATAGCATGGAACTGTAAATAGATGTATCATGTATCAACACTTCCTACGTAATCCAGTAATTATTATACTTCTGGCTGAAATAGAAATTTCACATGAATTTGTAATTTAATAACTTAGGTTATTTTGAGGCTTTGACTGCCATATTAAAGTTATTAACCTTCACTACTCCAGAAAAATCAATGTTTTCCATTAAATTTTACTTTGATAAACTAAAATAGCTTAAATGAAGGAGTGCCCCTTAAACATTGCAATTTATGACATGGGAATCTTCAAATAGCTTAGAATATCCATCAAATCTAAAAAGAGTAGGCCAAAAGCTGTAGGACTCAAAGTAAACACCAAATCTAAAGAGTAGGCCAAAAGCTGTAGGACTCATAGTAAACACCAAATCTAAAAAGAGTAGGCCAAAAGCTGTAGGACTCCTGGTATACATCAAATCTCAAATGAGTTGGCCAAAAGTTGTAGGATGAGGAAATGATATGGACAGACAGCATTGAAGCATGCCCTATCATGTTGAAACTTTTACATATCTATCAACAGCAATTACTTAAGATAAGAATGACATTATCAACACAGTGTTTTGTTTGTTATTATCATGCACTGATAACTATAATGTCAAACAACATTATATTATCTGAGAGTATCATATCACAGTCAAGCTAAACTGTTATGTATTCCTGGTGTCTGTAGAATATGTGTGTATATACTTATAAACCAATAGAGTTCCTCCAATGAAAAGAGCCTTGATATGCAAACTCTCCAGAATATCTGTGACCAAACTAGCATGTATCAAGCTTTTCTGAGTAGCATGCTTGTATCCAACTGATTCACAGGTAAAACTCTTCATGAGTACCAATTCTTGATAAAAGTTATTGGCATGGAAAAAAAACTTGGCTAGAATAGGTTGTTGTCCAGTAGTGTTTACTTCAAGTGATACAAATATTTTTCAGAGTACAATGTGCCAAAGTGATATGGATATTGAAAACTCTAAATTGAAAATGTTACTTAAGCTATTTAGAATGAAATGGGCTTAGTGATGCTCTGATCTACAAACCTTAGTTTTAGGGTGAAAATGGTACATGGAAGCTTTCAAGAAGACCGAGATCTGAGGTATTTTTGTTCACAGTAACGGAGACAAAGATGTTTTATATGCTTTTCATGGTGACAGTAATCTATATTGGTCTATTGCTCTTCAGAACATATAAGTTGACACTAAAAATGGGACAATATTAAGTTGGTTTGCATGGCCAACAATTATGGTAAAATGATCATACATTGTGTAAATCCTCTCTAGAATAAAACCCAGCTGAATCCACTTAACTAAATAAAGCAGTTTACAATAGTACTTCAAGTTACACACGAGAACTAAGGTACTTCAACTTTGTACCACAAACCTGTTTACTTCATGTAGGATAACTACTGTATACATTATACATAGATAATTCTTATATCCTTACCTACGGAGGCAGTTTATCAGTTAGTGGGCTGTCTTATGATCACCTCATATACACCATGACAGTGTTAACCTACTGAGGTGGTTATGTCAGTCAGAGGGATATCTTGTGATCACCTCACATACACCATGATGGTGTTTACGTACTGAGGTGGTTATGTCAGTCAGAGGGATATCTTGTGATCACCTCATATACACCATGACAGTGTTAACCTACTGAGGTGGTGATGTCAGTCAGAGGGATATCTTATGATCACCTCATATACACCATGATGGTGTTTACCTACTGAGGCAGTAATGTCAGTCAGAGGGATATCATATGATCACCTCGCATACACCATGATGGTGTTTACCTACTGAGGTGGTGATGTCAGTCGGAGGGATATCTTGTGATCACCTCACATACACCATGACAGTGTTAACCTACTGAGGTGGTGATGTCAGTCAGAGGGATATCTTGTGATCACCTCACATACACCATGATGGTGTTTACCTACTGAGGTGGTTATGTCAGTCGGAGGGATATCTTGTGATCACCTCATATACACCATGATGGTGTTACTTACTGAGGCAGTAATGTCAGTCAGAGGGATATCATATGATCACCTCGCATACACCATGATGGTGTTTACCTACTGAGGTGGTGATGTCAGTTTTATGACCATCTCAATCTTAAATTATATAATTTCCATATACTTAAAAATATACAAGGATATACACTGTATTTTGCAGTTTTATTGGAAGATCCTATATTGAATGGCATATGAAATATGAAAATGATAAACATTCTCTAATCTATCTTCTGATCTCACATCACAAATCACTAAATCACAAAATTAAAACATTGACAGGTCAGCAAGAGCTGTGTCATGTGGATATATATTCTCATAATCATCAAGAAGCTATTTCCTGATATCACTAAGGCTGGCATTAGACGTTTGGACTTCAAAAACAATCACAAGAAAAAAAAGGTAAAACCCTGTTCCTTGATCTTTAGTCAGGTGAGTTCTTGTCAAAGTTTAATTCTGACCAACTTTGACAGTTGACTTTTGATAGTGGTAGATTTCGACCTTTGATCAACTGATTCCTTGCTTAATTCTGACCAACAATGCTTCATAATGTTGTAACAAAATGTTCATCAGTAAAAATATATAAAATCTTACCTTGACCTTTGAACCCACTGACATAGACCTATGACCTTGTGACCTTGGCTTCTAGTCAACTGACATATTAATGCCAACCAACTTTTCTTACGGTGCCCTAATAAGTGTAGGACTATTTTAAGTGATCTCACTGAATATTTATAACTGGCTGTAAGTGTTTGTAAACAAACCCAGTTGTATACTACATGATGACTGATGAGTAGAATTGTATCTTTATCTGTACATATCTTATCACAGTCCAAACAACGCACTTGATAAGTATAGCCATGTCCATATACGTACACAGCATCTTATCTTAGTCATACACAGCTAGATATCATTGTACCGGTATGTATGAATGAGCAATTTTCCAATATATATACATGTACTACAAGAGTGCCATTCAAACTCCTTAACCATCACAGAATAAGTAGCTCATCAACCAATACACCAATGTTATCCACCACTGATCTATCTCAGTACCTGTGTAACATTCCTTTTGGCTTGTAATAAGTATTTCTACCTCTCTTGAACACAACGTATGTATAATAGACTTACATAACTTATCACAAACATCAGGTGGTTACAGGATACTATTACTAAAAATGTGAACTGCACAACCACCCTTTACCATGACATACCTGGTACATATATTAAAATCAGGTACATTAGTGTGACAATTCTTAATCTGATATCATGCACCTAGTTGCTATCTATGAGGATTTGTAATTCTGAATTTCAGAACACATAAAACCTCTCTCATTACATCAATATATTGTAAATGTTACTCTCAATCAGTTTCTAATTACAAATTTTAAGGAAACCTAAAACCTGTTTCTAGTTTTGTACAAAATCAAACAGTTAGCATTACCTCACCACTCCATCTCTAAACACAAACATGAATCTTTTTATAAAGCAGACTATCAACAAACATGTTTCATCAGTAATCTATCTTAGCACAATTCATGCTGAAAATATTGCTCAACTACATGACTATATGCTAATGGCACTTTCTTTATGCTCCTTATAAAGTAATTACTTGAAATGCACAAATTTATAATTGCACTAATTTAAATTTCACATGAAATTTAACTTTCAAGACAGATTTTATTTATGAAAAAGTTACCTAGACAAGTTAACTGAATACTGGAGGTATTTTTTTGAATATTACACACACAATGTCCCTTTTTGTCTTGTATTATCAAGATGTACCAGCAAATGTTAACAGATTTTTTCATCTTTAAACTTTAAACTGATATACATGTGTGTATGTACCATCTTGCCTAGCTAATAAGTGTTACTTTTGACCATTTTATCTAGACAAAAGACATCTAAAACCTAATCAAGTGTAGATAAACCATGATGGTGTCATCTTGTACTTATTTTTTAAATTTTAACTAGGTTTGCTTTATTGTTGCTTTATGTCCTATTTACATATCAATAGCCAGAGTCATTTACGGACAAACCAGGTCTGGGTGGTGGAGGAAAGCCAGAGTATGCGGAGAAAAACCAGCAACCTCCAACCAGTGCTTGGCAACTGCATTATGTTTACCTCAAACTCACAACCCAGAGGTGTAGGGTTAAAAACAGTCAGGCAACAAATCCATCATCGCAGCCCCTTTTTATTTCAAAATTTGTCAAATGAGACCTTTGACCTTAATCAATAACCCTTTCAACCTAATCAAGCAAGAAAAAGGATAGCAAAGATAGTATTTTTACTGAACTGTTTTACTGTGCTTGCCTTGTGATGTTCATATATATAAATAAATCTGGGGTCATAAGACAATTTATTTTTCAAAAATCACCTACAATAACAATGAAAATGATGGAGGTAACTCTACCACAGAGATAGGTTGATTTTAAACCATTTTTCATGTATAAAAAATTCAGTGCCTTTTTTAATAAAACCATTGCCATCCACTTGCTATTTCTGAATTAAGGGAGATAACTCATTTTATGCCCAATTGAGGGACTAAAACATGCAGGAATGCCTTACCCCTCTACCTATTCACCTCTGCTTTGAATCTTATTATTTTTTGGCTCATAATCATAAAATGAACATGTTATTTCTTGAACACCTTTTCCACTGAGAAGTATATCTTATATAGAGTCGACCACATGTAGTATATGGATGTGCCAACCAAATGTATAAAGTTAGTTTCAGAACCAAGACTTTCTCAAGGTTCTGAATCTAAATTCTACACCCGAGGTTAAAACATCCATTATCCCAAATATCAATATAGGCTTATTTTTCTCCCACCACATATGGGAATGTTGAGCAAGCAACAGCATTGCTGAATATAACACAATTTTTAGATTTCATACATATTTATGATTATTATTATTCATACTAAAAAAAAAGACCAGAAGAAAAGTATGGCATACCTAACATTATACATCAAATCTTAAGAGCAAGCTTGTGTAATAATTTCTATTGTTTGTGAAATTTAGTCAGTTGTTGATGGCAAGATTGTTGTGAGCAGGCAGGCAATGTAATGATGAGTTTTTGATTGTGACTTTACAAAGATGTCATCATCCCATTGTCATGTCATAATAGTAAGGATTATATATATGGAATCATGTAGGGTAGAATCATCCCACATGGGTGGGATAATTGTATACTTGTATAGGATAGAAATAGGTTATGATCAGACCTAGGAAGGTTCCTTGACATTCTAAATGGACAGCTAGCATGATGGATTCCTCAGATTGCCTGCAGTATATGAAGGCTATAGGGATGAAAATGTCACCAGACAACTGGATACCTGACTTTGTTCTTGGTCCATTCGCCAAATAGTGAACATTTTTCACATTCAGCCATTTGCACTCTTTGCTTGATAAAAGAAACAGGTGTTTTTGAAAACTTATAATTGCTCTTTGTGCTTCAGAAAATCAATGCCTTAAAACGTTACTATATACAAAAATGATTGATATCATTCCAAACATTTGCAGGTTTCTTTTACCTAGATGTTTAATAAGTAGCAATAAATTCTAAGGCTTACCTTGTCCTGAAAATGTTTCCAGAAGTTTTTCGTTGACTGATTTTCCTTGTTGGGCTAATGCTGTTAAAGCCAAAGCCTTGTATAGTCCTGTTCTAGACACTGATCCCTGTTTATTGTCCACTATATCCCAGATCTGCAATATTATCATTTTTTTCTAAGAAGTTCAGCTAAAAATGAGTCTGAATTTTCAAACATTTTTCTTTCTGATTTCACTTTGGAATCACAATATTTGACATAAAGAGTCTTTAATTTACAAAAAAAAAAAAAAAAACAATTATTTATTATTGATTATTCATTATGGAGAGAAATTATCCATGGTCAGTGCTACATTATAAAACTACCTGTATTGGGTTAATATTCTGGAAACATCTCTGATCATATAAAGGACAGGAAAGCACAAGAAAGAGAGAAAGTAATTCTTGAAAAAAGCAAAATAGGTGCAGTACATGTATATACGTTTTAGATAAAATGGTGAAAGGAAAATGATGACCTGTTTATAAACAGTCCATAAAAGCCTAGATTGAAGATGTGTTTTAATCAGAAAATGCATAAAAGATAGTGTTAAAATTCTTGTGATTCTTTTGACTGCTTATGGTCAGAGGCATTCCATGTTTGTCTTTGTTTACCCTCATCAAAACCTAGCTTATATTTTAAGACACTGGCCATGTATTATATTTTTCCTGTAACATTTTTTGGAAAATTCAGTCTATTGAAACTTCCAACAGTTTGTTGTTCAATCTTTGGTTACCAGTTCTGATTGTGTCCTTATCCTTTAAAAAGTTATTTATGTTTCTGATATTTCAGAAAGCAATTCTGTCGTATTAATGGACATGCTTTAAACAGTTGTTTTCCATCACTGCCAATACAGCATGAATATCTGTGACAGCTGTGTTCCAATAATGGCAACTTCAGTAGTATAAATACATATTATGACCATATGCCGTCAAGTACCTGTTAGTACTAAAAACATGCATTTCAAATCCATATCCACTTAATCCAAACAATAAAGAAATGTTATAGGGCACTTAAACACACGAATACACTTCCGGACGTGCTATAACCCTCACTAATTAGCTATCAGTGTGACACAGTTTTCTGTCACATCTCGTTAGAAACGACAGGGGCTCCGCCCACCACTTTCGCTTCAAGGCAAATAAGCCATGTGTCAGTCGACAGTTATTTGTATCACTGATGCATAAGAAACATTTAATTGATCAGTAAAGTTGAAATTAACTGAATTACCTGCGAAATAGTCTGTCTTGGCAAATTTGATTTTAACAAAAGTTGTACAAACAAGTCTTCGTTCACCTGTTCTCCATGCGGACACAATATTTCGTAAACTTCACGATAATAGGGCGGCACAGACCCTGCAAAGAAAAGAACGAGCAATTAAACATGTCATTAAATAAAGAAGGTTACCAATATATATTTATCAAATGTCATTTTGTGTCATTCCAAATATATCAGCGTAAATTTATGAAAACATCATTAAAATATAGCATCCTTACCGAACGACAGGTCGGCCGACATTTTGGCCTAATCATGTGACCAAAATGTTTTACTCTCTAAGCCATATTCGATATTATACATAAAACACTAAAAACTAAAACATTTTATACATACTTTAAACCTCCCCTTTGAATTTTGTTTTCTTATATAGCAAAGGTGTATACGTAGAAAAAAACTACGTTCTTTAAATGACAGGATATTGGTTTGAGATTATTTCTTATTTTCATTGGATGCAATGTTTACAAGGCAAATACCGCTCAACCTTGAACATGTACTCGTTTTCTATGGAATAATGTGATTATCAGAACAGTGGCATTGTTTTTGGCTAGTGTAACATCAAGTGATATTTTGGGAACATTTTAAAGTATATATGACTTGCGGATATGTCTTTTAATTGGAAAACCGGCTTGTTGGGAACTTGACATCAAGTTCAGGCACGAGGATTTCTGTCTGGCAACAGACCAATTGTGAAAGATTGTTATGGATAAGAAGAAATTAAAGGTATAATCAACAAATGCGTTGTATATATTAATGTTGCATATCATCAAATATATCATTGTCAGCGAAATGTTTCTTTTGTAAGGCAATTATTTCAAAATATACTTCTGATTTAGACCCCCCCCCGCCCGCCTTATTACGTCAACCATCGACTGCATGCTCTTCTCATCCTTGTATATCAGCAATAACGAATGTATCATTTATTGTATCACAGTTCATTTGAAAGGGGAATATCTTATTTACACAGAGTACCCCATCAGCGAATGAAACCTCCATTTGTAACTAAGTAAGTAAGTAGATGTATTTCATTAATGGGATCGTTCTGTATCTTTAGAATGGCATATTCATGAAAATAGTTGGCAACACTAGGATACTCAGTCCTTTGCAAATTTCACTTTTAAATTTAAGTTATAATTACTTTCTTTTGATAGAATTACTATGCAGATGAATATGATTCTGCAGATGATGATGAACTCCTTGAAACACTGGTAAATATATTTTATTGTATTTATACCACACAAATTAATTGATATGATAGTGTGTAATCATAAATGAATGACATGAAAAATTGATTTGCTTTTGGTAAATTTAATCATCGGTCCATTAATAAGCTTGGAAATTGATACTAAAGTTATCATTGTGGTTAACAATCTTTTCAATCGTAAGCAGTATAGATAACCTAACTCAACAGTGAGTTTGATTTCATAATGATAACTACTTTCATTATTAGATTGTAGATCACTTATATCTTATTTACATAAATACATTATACATGTGGAGATTGTTTAACCATAAGAATTTACTGTTTCAGATTGGAAGAAATCGCTCAAGTCCTAACAAGAAAAAACAAGGTAAATTTGTTTAAAACTCACTAAATATTTTCCAAGTAAATCTTGTTACATAAAAACATATCATATGGAAGCCTCTAGATTTTTAAATGCCACTCTTAAGGTTAACCTATTCGTAATTTGAGCACTTTTGGTCTTCTACCTATTAAATACAAGGTCAAAGATTAAGGTCTTTTATTATGAGTTGAAAATATACATATGATAACTTAAGCTTCACACACTTAAACTTTATACAGTGTTTTCTAAATGAAATGGAGGCTTATTATACATGTTAGTGTGTATGAAGTTAATGATCATCTGAGTGGAACTTTGCACAGTGCACCATAACTGAAACGAAAGTGACAACACTTACTTTACATAACATATTTAAGTCTTCAGCTAGTAAGTATCAAGGAACAAATCATGTTAATGTACTAAACAAAAGATGTGTTTTTCTTAAGTGAACATTTAGCTTTCCTTAATAAAAGTGTTCTTTAGTCATAGTTTTTCATGTCTTAAACATCACTGTCTCTTTGGTCAATCAAACATCACTAAATGCATTTTTTACAGAAACAAATATTGCTAGGGAATTTTATGTACAGCATCTGGAATTTTATATGACTGCCATTGACTTTGTTAGGTTTTGTCACCTGAAATGAATTCATTGCCATGATGACTGTTAAAGGGAATCCTGCTTTGACTTCAACAGGAAACTGCCTCAAAATATTAGATCATCGACTGATTACATTCAGAGTATGAGTTTAAGCTGGATCTGAATTCACTTTGATAACTATTTTTTTTTCAAAAACCGAAAGTGCATATGTCTCTTTATAATCCCTCTCTTCTCATGGCCATGGCATGTCCAGTTCTGTAGAATGCTTACAATATGATCTAGCATATGATATTGCAATGATGTAAAATTATATCATGAAGTATGGACATCCAGGAACTTAAGTCTGGAGAGACTATACTTACATGCATTTAGAAATTTGATTCAATGATTTCATAGTTTTCAAAACATTTTTTCTTTCAGCTCAAAATAAGAAAAATCTTAGGTCCCAGACACCAAAACCGAAGAAATCGGGTAAGTTTTGTACAATTTTAAGATTGATGAACTTTTTGTGATCGGTTTTCATGGTGAAGTGAATTTTTCATATATAAGTTGTAACCTGTATTCATTACCAGTGTTTCTGTTTACAGCTACTCCAAGAAACAATAAAAAAAAGACTAGAGATAGGGCACACAGTTGTCCTCCAGGTAAAACAGGGAGGGAACTCTGGTTATCTGCTATCAAAAACAGACATACTGGTAGGTACAAACATCAAGTGATATTACTTGTCAAAAGCAGAAATACTGCTTAAGTACAGTCATACTTCTACTTTTGAAATAAGCATTCAAATATATTATTGTATATGAATATAAGAACAATGTTTTTAAAAGAAAAATTTTTATCCTTTCACAGATTTTTTAAATAGCATATAAGTAACAAAATTTTAGACTTTTGTTCTAACTTTTGTCAGCTGGTCTTGTGAATTCCCGACACCCAGAAAGTCCTCGACACAAGACATCCACAGAATATTGGGTGGATACATTGCGTAAGACAGGCATTGGTGAGTACCATCATTAACAATTTTATGGCTACGCCCATAATTGATTATATTAGACCTCTGTTAATAGCTGATTACTCAAATTTAATGTGTCATTGTGCCGCCATTTTTAATCCTTTTTGGCTTGGAACTGAACTTAAAAAAAGTGTCAATCCAAAAAGTTTTTGAATGGGCTAAATGAATAGTCCAATTCTGTTGATAAAAAGAAATAATTGCAATCCATGAAACATGACAGACAATGGAATTCTTTATTACAAAATAAGTAAACAAAATAAATAAATAAAGAGGTCTGTGACTAATTTCTATTTAATCAGATACAACTTCATTGACAATTTGTTTTGGATAGGGCGCAGTACAGAGAGTACTGGTATGAACACATTCTCTGGCCTGAAAAAACCTAAAGAGAGAGACATGCCTTACCTTAGTACATCTTCCTATCTACGCCAGATTGTTGGTACAGAAAAGCCAAAGAAACATGATAACCCAACAAGTGAGTTCAAACGATTTCTGTAGTGTTGAGAAGCAACTCTTGAATTGATATTTATATTGTGGCTTGGTGGCTTATTTGTTGCACACATACCTTCTAAGGTTTAAGATTAAAGTTACTTTATATTTTCATAAAGTTATATGGAAGATATAGTGGAGACAAACTTCATATACGTTGAATTACATTTTTCTTCAAGACTAAGTTGTATCAATTAAGTCTCCTCCATTAGAAGGTCAATGCCTTTGTTCACACTAAACAACATACATGGAGGGAAGTTAATGCTACTAAGAAAGGAAGATTTTTTGATAATTATCTGAATACTTTTTGGTGTCTGTAAATTAATTTTCTTTTCCAGCAAAACCGCCTATAGGTACTCCTGCATATCGAACTCCTGAAGAATACTATGAGCAGATCCTTGAATTAAAGAAAGTAAGGTTTTTAAGGCCAAGAAAAAATTCAAAACATGTTTTCCATTGTGATATACCAGTGTGCATGTTCTGTTACAAATTACATATTGCTTTGCTATTTCATTTATTGGTATGCATATATACAGGCATGGCAGATATTTGCTGAGATAATAATTTATTGTATAAATGTTTTATGGATATTTAACTTCATGCCATCTTCATTCAATGACAACAGTAATTGCAAAATTAATTCTTCAACATATGAAATTGATATACAATATATCAATATTCATGAAATCCCTTGTGTATGTTACCATTTATATACAGTATACAAATGTATTCTTATAATAAAAAAAAAAAAATTTAAATTTCTGCAAAAAATGTTACACATTATTGTAATAAGTTAATATGTGAGAAAACTTACCTTTTTCCAGCAAATTCAAAATTTGACTCAGGACAATGGTACATTGAAGGCAAAAGCACGAAGGGCGGAAGAAGATAACATAAAAAAAGTAAGTGAACAATATGTTATCTGGAGATTTGATATCAATACACATAGCTAATTATCATTCTTCTTGGTAGAAGTGTGTTTGATTATAAAACAACAGAACACTCAGACCAGTCAATACACTTATTGTTTGAAGACATTTTATGCCAAAATTTCTTTCATTCAAGGTGAAAATACAATATTGATAAATATCTTACATGTTATCAGTGAATAGTGTGTGGGGTTTGAAAGCTTCATCATAATGCTTATCTGGTTGAATGTTTTGTGTGAGGATCTTTCAAGGAATTCATGCAATTTAAATGTGATTTTTTAATAGGAAAAAGAAATAGATGGTCTTCTTAACCCAACTAAGGTGAGATGAGTACTGCTTAATTGTTTGTACAGCAAATGTTGATATATTACTCCTTATTGTAACTGTTACCTTGCTAAGCTTCAACTTATCTCAACACAAATATTTCCTCTTTTTTGGTTTTTGGTATAATGAAATTGTTATATTGAAGTGTTGTAATCTGTTCTTGTATATGATATACAGCAACACAAAAGTCACTAAATCATGGTACAGAGTTACATTGATTTCTAGTAAAACAACAAAGGAATGTAAGAAGAGTATGATAAGTCTGATGATGTGATCATGAAATTGTGTTTGTGATAAACAGAGTGAAGAGATGAGACGAACATTGGGTGACAAGCGACCAGACTCTGGTGCGATGGTTCACAGCCTGAAACAGAAAATCTTAAAGCTGGAGACACAGCTCAGAGACAGAGAAGCAGCTTATACGTAAGATTACTGGAATGTGCTATCATTATTTTAAATGAATATGATCAAGAAAATGTTATCATTTTAAATAAAAAGAATCATAACAGACATTTTAGAATATCCTGCACTAATACTTATTAGTTAGAAAATACAACTTATTCAAATGGTTATTATACATATATCCTGATAAAGGCATTTCAATTATTTAACTACTACTGATTTTTTTGTTTTGTTTTTTTTTTGTTTTTTTTTTTTTTTTACAAAAATGTAGATTTGTTAGTACCAAAAATCTTATGAGATCTGGAAAAAACATAATGTAAGGAGATGCGTCACAATGCTTGAATTCACACTCTTTTGTGAAAGATTTCAGACTATAGAAATAACAGCTTACGGTTTGGGCTTAATGTATAATACTAAACATTTTCATATTTTTATTTCAGAAAACTGCAAGCTGATCTGAAAACTACTAAGATTGAGGAAATGAAAGTCCAGTTAGAAGCATGCTTTCATGAGATTGTTAGACTCCGACAGTCCAAGGATACAGGCTTAGAAAAATCAATCAAGTAATTCACATAGATACTTTTTGTATAACATTTTCTGATTTTAAATAAAGGTATTGGACAACAGACACTTTTTTTTTCTTTAGTACATGTATCTTACTTAAACTTTTGGAAATGATCAAAAACTAATTTTATCATACACTTTGAATTATTGAGTTTTGAAATCAATCCTAATATTTTAACTAAGCTATGAAAAAACAAAAATGAAGAGATGAAATTTCAAATTTTTGTATTTCTGTTTTATATAGACAAAAGACTGAAGGTGGAAAGATGGACAAAGCTGTGAAGGACACAATAATCCGACTAAATAAACAGATTGAGCAGCTTCGTTCTGAGAATAAAGGTCTGAAACAGGACCTGGAGCGGGACCTGGCTGGTACAACAGGTAGCATTTAGATGTAGTCATACATTCAACAAAACAAGTAGAGTGAGAGCAATTTTATAGGAAATAGTTCCAATTCTTATACATTTTAAACTTAGCAACTTCATTGGATAAGGCATGTATCATATGCACAAATATTATGTCATCATCATCTAGTTTGATAAACTTATACATGGAAATCATAACTCACACTGAAGTCTTATACATCCCTCAGTATGTGATACAAATATTCTGTCCTATAAGGAAATCATTAGAATCCCCTCTCATAGTTCTCAATGTAATAAGAATTGTTTGCAGTATTTTCCAATGGTCCTTAGAATCTCATGTCATATCTGAGCGTTTTTCCAATAAGTCTTCAGAATCTCCTATCACATCTCCAACAATTTGTTGACATCTTAATAATTCTTATGAATGGTTTATTTCAAGACAGTACATCTATAAAGCTTTTATAAATTAAATCACATCTTTGATATTATTTGTCCCATGATCCCTCTAATCATCATATCTCTGAATAGGCTTCCATTTAGAACAATATATGATCAGGACTTAATGATCATTTTAAATTGATTAAATACTGAAGTTTATGTTTTCATTGTTTCAGGTGATTTTGAAGACATGGACAGAAAGCAGCTCTTAAGTGCAATTAAAAAATTAGAAAAGGTAAAACAAATATGTGAATGTTTTAATTTTCAATGCATTTATAAATGTATTCAAACCTTTTGATGTACATGTATGTATAAAGCATATGTTACATTATTCATCTACAACAAAAAATTTCCGTCCTCAGAAATCAAAGAAAAGATATGATGATGATGACGACGATGATGATGAATCAATATACTCTACAGGCACAAGGAAAGTTGACATAAAGAAAGGTAAAGGTTACTTAGAAATCCATATTTGGCATGTTGTCATGTTCCTTTTTATGTCACCTCGTGACAAAATTTCAAGTGAAGTGTTGCGATCACCTTTGATTTGGTGTTGTGTTTAAATAAAATCCATTCGTCATCCCTGACCCTGAGATACTAGAATCAAACACTCCCATTTTATACCTGTAATCATTATATGCAATATATATTAGTTATATTGTGTCCAACTCTGGAATATATAAATGTGATCTTACACTAATGTCTGTTTCATGGCAAATATATATTTGCATTTCATGTTGTACTAGTAATCTTGCTTTGTTTATAAGGTTTTCATGTCACAAACACAACAATGAATATACTATATCCGATTTTTTAATGGCTATGAGGGTCAAATTTTTAACTGTTATAACGATATCTAATATTGCAGTTTTTTTTCCAAATAGAAACTTAGTATCTTAAATCTAGAGGATTATTTATAAAAAAAAAGTTAATAAAAAATCAATCGTTCAATACCTAATACAAAACACATTACTTTGAAAGTTTTGATATCTTCTGTGATAAATTGTGATTTGGTCCTTTTAGGGAAAATCACTCTAAAAGGAAATTTGGAGGAGCGACTAGACCAATTGGACAAGAGAGAAACCGAGTTATTAGATACTATCGGTAAACAGGCAGAGACCATCAAACGTCTCAAAATCTATCGCAAACGCTGTGAAGAAAAGGAGTAAGTTTTTGGCACTTTTTGGTTTTTATACTATTTAGATCATGTGGTTGTGTTGTTGTGACTGTTTTGCATTTAAAAGAAAAAAGATGATAATCTTCTGATAACACTGAATATGCAGATTTTTTTAATTGATTATTGTATTGTCATGTTAATTGATAAAAAAAAAAATCTCAACAGGCTACAGGTGGATTCTTCAAAATTTTATTACTTAGTCTGTCTACCTGTAGCCTCTAACCTGTTGAGATTGATTCTACTTGATTTAAGCTCACCCTTACTAATAAATCCCCTGCCTAACCTCAGGTATTGAAGTAAAAGGCAAAGGACCCTTTCATTCACCTTTCATAGTAACGACGGCATTGGCTCTAATTCTAATTAAAAATCATAATAGGAGATTCTCTTTTTAGGATTTTGTGTTTGTTTTATGATTGTTCGAGTATTGAAAGAATTGCTTAATGATATATTAATAGTTTTCTGGTGATGTCCTGAAGAAAAAAAACAATAGCAAAAAAAAACAAGAAAAGTTTTGAATTGTTATCATTTCTAGGTTATCATTTCACTGAATATCTTCATGGTTTTCCTGTTTTTTGTTTCCTTTAGCCCCACCGGATTATCATAGTTGATATGTACCCACATTCTCTACTCTTTTATAAACTTATATCCCATTTGTAGCTACCACCACTGAAATACTCCTGTTTGTTTTTCTTTTCAGCAAAGATATAAAGGCTCTTGAAGAAGAGCTCGGAGGTAGTGGTGGAATATCATCTCGACGGTCACCTACTCCTAGAACGTTTGTATTTTAGTTTCATACCATCTTTGTTCTAGATAAGATCAAAGTCATTTAAGGCTATAACCATAAAAGGAGGGGTAACAATTTGGTCAAAACTTCAGGAGTCAAAGCAGAAGGGTGTAAAATGAAAATTTCTTTGTTAAAATTCTTAAAAATTTGATATTAGAGTGAAAATTGTAGTTTTTGTATTTTCTGTGAAGAAAGTATAAATTCTTTAAAATCAACCTGATAGAAATTATCAGTTTCTGATAAAGTAAGTCACCATCTCATAATTTATGACATCTATTTTTCACATCAAATTGCTTTAAACTTATCTAAAAAAGTTCCATTATTGGTAACTAACCCTAAGATATCTTGACAACGATGAATACCACAAGAAGCGAACCATAATCTATACTGGACAAATTGCTGTCCCAACATGACCCAGGAGGGCCTGGTCAGAGCACCCAAAACATGTCACATTATGCATTTTCATTTTCAGTCAACTTTTTCTAGGCGACATGTGTGATTAAGAACAAATATACCAGAAGTGATCCCACTCAGTTTGGGATAAGAATGCGTTATGAAGATGTTAAGAAAATTTACATTATGGATTGGACAAGAACATTCTGACATCATAACTTTATAATGTTTTTCAATATTTAACTGATGACATATTTTATTGTGTAGTAGTCGTCCACCCTCTGGACGACGAGCGTCCATGGACAGCACAATGTCTGATGACCGTCGAAGCAGAAAGAAGAGTACTGATATTTCTCAGGACAATGCAGCACGCAAGATTCAACAAGGCTGGAAAAAGAAACAGGCTGATAGAGAAGAGGTAAAAACTTTTCCTAAAAAATACAACCTACTTAGATATCACGCTAAACCTTCATAATAGGGCCAATATTGTTGTGTTTTATTTAGATCTAGAGATAGTTTTACTGTAAATTGTTACTTAAAAGGAGAATAGACTCTTAAATATACAGTGCTTACTCAATGAAATAAAATACTGGTCTTAGTATTAACATCAAATCAAATGATAATACTGTTTGGTTGTCATACTGTTCATTGTGTGAATTTAGTTTATATATAATCATGTAAGTAAATTCTATGGTGTTAATCTTTTGTTTTGTCAATTTGCAATGTACCAAATTAAACTTCAGGTATGTTACAGGTCATCGATTTGTATTTTACCCATGTTATCTTTCTTTTGTTCTGTACAATTGAATTTGTCAAAGCTAACATCATAGGCATTTAGGATATCTAGAATGACTTGATCTGATTGCCATATACAGAGTACATTTTACACATTAAACAGCATATCTGTGAAATTTCTGTGACAGATATTATTCCTGTAGAATTGCATTTTTTAAATGAACTTTAATTTTCAAGAATTGAAACATCAAAATTATTTACTTGTTAATATATAGAGATTTAGAATAACTTAAGCCTGAATTCTATTCTGAGAGAAAACTGCATCCTGAACATTTGTTACACCTGTCTTTTTTTAGCAAGAGAAGGCAGATTACGAAAGGCGACTGAAGGCAGGTTTTATAATGCATTAAGTGTTTGGCTTAAAGGAACTTAACATTAAGTTCGATTGCAATGTTCTAACCCTGCATGTTCAGATAAGATGGTTTGTTCGCATGGTGTTATTTCTTGTGTGCAGCACTGGCATGTTTGTAATCACGTCTGATTGAAATGACAGGTTTAGTTTGTTTATAAAGTCTCTAAAGATGGTGGAGTAATAGACTAGGAAGTCCAAATGAAAAGTTTTAAGATATTTGTTTTGTGCATTGTAAATATATACATTTCATAAACGCGAAATCAAAACTCAAATGTATTTTAAGCAAAGATAATGATGTGATATTTAGTTAGAAATGATAAATCTGAATAACAGCATGTAATTAAACCTGTATATTCTATACTTAGTTGTGGATGTATGTGAAGATATTAGTGTTGTAACATACTACCTAGACAATAGATAAACTCCCAGTTTATATTAAATTGTTTTATGTGATAGAAGATTCTTTTACATTAGGACAGGACAGATAGCAGGGTCATTTCAGCTTTCCTTTAGACTGCCTGCTTACCTTCCAAAGCTTTATTTAGTATATCTTTCAGTTAGAATACTTTGTGCTGATATTTTACTCCAAGACATATGTATTTAGAAAAATTGCTAGCAATTAAAACTATTTGTCTGTGTTTCATTTGTATCTGTTACAGCAATTCAACAATGAGAATTACTTTCCTGTTAGAACTACTGTAAACATTCTTATTTTAGCACAGTCAAATTTTAACGTAACATCAATTTGAACATGTTAGTGCAATAAATCTTTACACTCACAAAATTTGCTGCATACATACATCACAGCAGTTAGTGCAGTATGTTAATGCAGAATCGTTAGTGAAGAAGTGGTAAATAAGATATCTGCCAAAATATGAATGTTTACAGTACTTTCTAACTTAGAAGACAGGTTTTGATATTAATCAGAAATGGCATTAATTTCTTAAAGCGACCAATATATGATATAAACTATAAGTTTTGGCTTGAAGGTTTGACAGGTTAATTTGTTTGTTATTGGTTGAAACCAGGTTTGTCACATCGGAAATGTATAAGGTACAGAGAGTAACTGCTACTGAAATTAGTGCAAAAAAGGGGCTTGTGTATGTACAGGCCAGTAATGTGTGCTATCACTTCATGACATTCAGTCTTCTTCTGTTTGATATCTAATTGAAACTGGAGTAGATAACTTCATGCTTTTCTTTGACATCAGTCGGTACCAGGCGTTTAAACAAATCTGTTCATACAGTTGTAGACTGTCTTTGATATAAAGCACCATACATGGTACCTCAGAGATGAAGAAAGTTATTCTACATCAGTAGTACACTTACATTTTTATTGTCTGAAATATTCACATTTGAATCACTCCAGTAACTTTTGGATTAAGAATTAGCACATTTGCTCAGTGAACTTTTGATACAATTCAGTACCTAACAGGTATAACTTGGTCAGTGGTGCTAAATACAGATGTTCTTCATTAAGTCACTTCAAAAAAGTCGGGAGTGGGGTGGGGGTCGGAATTATTTTTATTGTTCTGTTTATTACTTTCTATTTACATTGTTGTTCCTTTACATTGATACTTGTATTACATTATCGTACTATTTTGTGTTTGAAGTGGAGATTATAAAAAAAATTAAGGTATAGACAATTGTCTTGCATGCTTGAAATGTATGTTATGGTAATGTAGCTTGGTCTGCTGTTCTTTGTTGGAACCTTGTGTAAATTCCTCTGTGTGTTCATTTGTATCTTTCTGTATCTTTCTCCCATCATTAACAGAAAAATCATCAAATCCAACAGAGAATGGTTAGGAATATGATTCAAGAATGTTAACATTAACACTTTACTTAGAAAACAATCATTCTTATAACTCTCAGTCTGTGTTATTGTGCTGATTTGTGTGTGTGTGTAATATGACAAGGACTTTCATTGTTAATAAGAAAAAACATCATTTAGAGGGTAGATATGGGGAATTTATCCCATAAACATGTTTGTTGTAAAAAGAATTAAAAATGTCTTTTTTTTATTTTAGGCAGCTGAGCGACTACAAGAAAAACATGCAGTGCGCACCATAGAAAAGAACTGGACAAATTACAGAACTACAAAGAAAAGGAAAGATGAGGAGCAAGCAGTACGTTATGTTTTTTTCTACTTATAAAAATCTATCATAATATTGAAAGCATGTGAAACCAATGTTGACACTGACATTGAAATAAAAGTGAGTAAAGTACAGCACTACACTAGATAATAGTACTTTAGTGACTATTTTTAAGAAATGTACAGTGTTTCCCGTTTGTAAAGATCTGAGGTAATCCCCATTGCACTTTGACAATATTGAAAATACTGTTCTACAATATATACTTTGTTTATATTATGCATGAGTTACACAATTTTATATAACAAGAAGGAATTTCATTTCCTCTTTTATACGTTGCACTTTCTTTTCATTTAATTTGTTTGTCTATTTTTCAAACTAAATGAATAATGAGTTATTTTTTCCAAAAGAAGGATTATTAGGGAAGGTGTTATTGTGACATAAAAAAAATATTCGGTGATTTTACATGAAAGCTTGTCTTCAAAAATCTAGATAACAGGTATGCTTTGATACCAAAGTCTCCATTTCTTCATTTAATTAAAGCAGTTCTGATGGGTCTGACAAAATATTACAAACTTTGAATTCCAATAAGGATTAGTTGAAAAATTTGTATTCTAAATACCAACCAATGTTGTAATACATTCATTTCTTATTTACATTTTGTAATTTCTGGATTGCTGGACAATCAACATATTATTCTATCAGAAAATATGATCAAAAGACAGTTTTTGAGTTGTTGTTACATACTGGTTAGGTCCTTACAAAATGAGTGTATTTCTTGAGATACTCTAACTAAATGTTTCACAGTGTAATATGTGTACCACAAAATATGTTTGAAGCCAAACCATGCATGCTATGTATTTCTGAACCAGCACAATGATGTAAGTATTCTTAAAGCCTACTGTGGTTCTATCGCTTTGATTGTAAATTCCTCTCTCTCTATGCACTTGCAAATGCACACAGGTAAAAGTACAGAACTTCCGAGAAGAAAGAGCAGCAAAGAGAATCCAAAGAGAGTGGCTTGACCACAAAAAGCGTCAGTATGATGATGAACTGGAAAGTGTAGGTATCCAAAGAGTCATGTTACTATAGGGCAAGGGCAAAATGATACAATCTTGTTATAGATCTATAAAAACTATGTCAGAAGATGTATGCTTACATATTCATACCTATAAGATCTATGTCAGAAGATGTATGCTTACATATTCATACCTATAAGATCTATGTCAGAAGATGTATGCTTACATATTCATACCTATAAGATCTATGTCAGAAGATGAACGCTTACATATTCAGACCTATAAAATCTATGTAAGTATTTCTACTCTTACAAAGATCAACAAAACCTATGTGGGAAATTGAATCATTTTGCCAAAGTTTTGGTTATATAATTACACCTGCACCAACTCTACAATGATTGATTATGTTAATTACTTTTGCACATTGTCACAATAGATATTTCTAATTATTCATTTCACAGAAGAAAAAAATAATGCATGGTATATTGGTTGTTTTCAAATCACTTAGTGTTCAATTTGTCTTCACAGTCCTTATATTTTTCACTATAGTGTATAAGCAACTCTTGAATATTTCATAATATTCCACTGTAAAATATTATAAAAGTACTTCATGTTTTTCATTCTTGCAGCTGAGACTTAAGTCTTAATACTGAAAACTGGTTATTGACTTTAAAAAATATATGCATCGTTTTTTTAGTTATGTACAATAAGGCAACTGTTGTTTCTGTTTAGTCCTTATGAAAGAATGTAACAAGGTGTTATTTTTTCTATTTGCATCAACTTCAGCATCTGCATCATTATTGTATACCTACTTTTAAGGAAGTTGTGCTTTATGTGTGATAGATCAGGTTCTCAGAAAGTTTAAGTACTATACACTTAAGTCCACATCTGACCTGTAGTGAGATTATATGGTGTACATATTAATTCAAGATATCTTATTTTTGGATGAACAACATTAAAATTATTATTTCAACTTCTTCAGTAGTTCTGAAGTTGACTTACAACTGTGTATGTATCTTCAATGAAAAGTGCACAATTGATAAATAAAATAAAATAGGATTTAGTCTTATTCAGTCATAAATCTTTATACCCCAACTTCATCAAATTTTTGGATTCAATTTTGCTCCATCAATGAATCCACCCATCTGTCCAACAGTTTTGGTAACATATCTTAGCCAGCATTCAATGTATGGGCTTACAACTTGGTATGGACTCTGGTCAACAGTTTCCATAGCTTTTCTTGGTCAATGTTTACTGTCTAGATCCAAAACTTGGTATGGACTCCATCAGTCCAACAGTTTCCATAGCATGCATGAGCCAGCATTCATTGTATGGACTTAAGACGGTATGAATGTACATGACAAGAAGGCACTGCATTATGAACACTAAATGAAATTTCTATGACCTTGCATGATCATTGATCTCAGGCTGGACAGATCTCTGATTTTCACACTTTATGTATTTCAAAGACACTTAAGGGTCTATGTCATGTGTAAGAATGCAGGTATTTTGATGTCATTTTACCTTTTAATCCTTGATCCCATTTACAGATACAATATATTCCAAACTACTGTCAATTTTTATATTTAATTCATATCTTGACCATTATTTCATGCGTACATGATTTGGTATATAGGTACATTTGCAGAGCACTGTTACATACCAAACTGATGAATACCCTGACCTCTAATGAACTTTGACATTTGATCTGGAGTCTTTATGGCATTATCATCTTTGACCTTCATTAGTAGAAAAAAATTTTCAATATCGAAGGAAAGGATCTTAAAATTTATTTGATACATTAGTTATGTGTCATATACCAGATGTAGGCCACTGCAACCTATATAATGATAGCTGATGTTAATAAGGTAGACTTAGTTTCTGGGTCATATCTAAGGTAAACATTGTTTCTGGGTCATATCTAAGGTAAACATTGTTTTTGGGCCATATCTAAGGTAGACTTCATTTCTGGGTCATATATAAGGTAGACATTGTTTCTGGGTCATATATAAGGTAGACATTGTTTCTGGGTCATATCTAAGGTAAATAGTGTTTCTGAGTCATATATAAGGTAAATATTGTTTCTGGGTCATATCTAAGGTAAATATTGTTTCTGGGTCATATATAAGGTAAATATTGTTTCTGGGTCTTATCAAATGAAGACTTTGTTTCTGGGTCATATCTAAGGTAAACATGTTTCTGAGCCATATCTAAGGTAAACATTTTTTCTAGGTCATATCTGTTAAGCCTTATCATATAGAATCTCACAGATATGTATGGGAGTACATCTTGAGAAGTTAATGTGTTCTTGTTTGTCTGCTGGGTTTGTTACCCAATGAACAGGTAGGGCCATTTTGAGGCAGGTTGTGTCCCTCTCTTTAGACTTTTGATCCTCTGATAAGAAATGCTTCTGTAGTATTCTCGTGTGCTATTTTGCATTGGATAAAGATATGAGAGCATTTCATTGGATCCATCTAAACTATATAGAACATCTAGTTATCATCACAAGTAGAAAAACTCAACAAAATTTGCTGTGTATGAAATGTTAACTTTTTTTTAATTTTATATTTGCATATATTCATGATCTAGAAGACAAGGTTGCTTTCATTATCATTAAGCTACATTGATGTGGTCTTGATTTTCATGTATAGATTGTGAGGGGATAGGGGTTCTTGACAAGTAGATATTTGTAAAGCGAGTTTATTGAAGCAGGGACACTCAAGACAGAGAATATATAACAAAAGAATCAGAGTATCTATTGAGTTTTTTAAAATTATTTCTACTTTTCTGATTTTTCATGTCTTTTGGGACTTAGTCAAAGTAATAATGGCAAAATGAACATTTTCCTGGAATTCGCATAATTATTTTCTATATGACAATCTCCCCAGGCTACAGAGTTGATACAGGCATCCATGCGCGGTCATAAAGCCAGGAAGGGACGTATGCGACAGATGCGAGAATATGATGATGAGTACTCCGATGAATATGATGATGCTGTGAACTTGATTCAGTCCAGTTTTAAAGGTCATCTGGGTCGGAAGAAGAAACTGAAGAGGTAAAAGTTTGCCTTTATTGTTTGTTTGTTGGCAGTTATTTGCTTTTTTACAAGGCAAAATATTAAGATGGCTATTCTTGTTTGATCTTGTTTACAACAAAGTCATTGAATCAACTTGTGTTTAGTCTCATTTTGTTTTTTAAATTTTAAACTTGATTATGATGAACTTTTTTGTGATATCAATAAAACAAGAAACAACACTTATTAGATGTACTTTGTGATATGTTAACTGAAATGTTTTGCCTTACAGGTACGAGTATGATGATGACACCGGTGATGACTATGAACAGCTGTATTCAGGACGTCCAAGCTCAGCAAGTTACAAAAACCATTCCAGCTCCATGGACAGAGTTCGACCAGGTTCAGGGGAAAGGATTCGACCAGGTTCAGGGGAAAGGATTCGACCAGGTTCAGGAAGTCGCCCAAGCTCAGGTATAAAAGCTAATAAAACTTGTTGGATGTTACAGTAATCACAGCTCTCTGATGTAACTGAATTTTGCCAAATCAGAGAATTAGGTATTTCTGTATTCCCAGCACTGTGTAATGTGCAATATGTGTAGTATATTCTGTTTTATTAAGGAAAATAATATGTAACAAATTTAGTTTAAACACAATATACTAGATTTAAATCATTTTTATACATATATATTTTTAGAATTTTTAAAATTTATATAGTATTTAATTAACTGGTACATCTTTTTCTATTTCCAGCAATGTCAAGAGGAAGTATTTCCTCCAAGGTAAGCATAGAAGCAACATTTTTTTTTTTTTTATCTCATATCAATTTTTTAATAATTCATTGTTTAGATGAAAGATAGTATAATATATGTTAATTAGGACTGTTCATTAACTATTAAATTCATAATGCTGTTCTATGGATATAAATTACAGTTTTAATTGCTGATCGTTATTTTGAATGTTCGTTGTTTTGTTGTAGCGGAGTTTTACTGGAAGTGTTGGGAGAACAACAACAGCAAGCTATCATCAGAGAATGCCTGACCACAGTTCTGGTAGGACCACACCTACCGGTAGACTGCCATACCAACGAGCATCAGATTATGATGATGATGATGACATAGAATTTTAGTAGAATGATACTTCCTGATATGACATTTTACGGGCCTTTCAAAAGAGATGCCATCAGTGACATGTGAGAATGTAGGTCTGTAGAGGCCTTCATCAGGGTGATGGTTTTCTCTGTCTCATCTTATCATCCGTCCCAATCTTCTGCATATTCCATTTCCCAGTCTGTGATATTTCAATATATTGTACTTGTCCTCTTTATAGTGTAACAATGAATTTATGTTTATTTTAATGTTGTGACCATTTTGTATACAAAATAAATCTTGTGTAGGTAGTCAAATAGTCAGAATCATAAGAATGCTTGTTTAAACTTAAATAGATCTTTGTATTTCGTCACTTTAATTATGGACGTTTCTTAGAAAAGTGCTTCAACATACAATTTGTTAATTTAACAGTTGTAGACATTTTGTGGGACTTATTGTACTGAAATTATTGAAATTAACTACATGTATTACGATATTATCTGTCATGTTTTCTTGCTGTCATAGGTTCTCACAAAGGTACCTGGTATGTACTAAGATATATATGATATGTCATAGGTCCTTACAAAGGTTTCTTTATACAGAATTTTGCATTCCTATCAATGTTGTTTAACTTTATTATGAAAGAAGAATATGACAGATCTGTAGTTGCAGTGAGACAAGGGCATTCTGATAGAGACTGATACCTTTAAAATGTTTGTAGAAGTGTAGTGTTAACAATTAGCCTCATCTCCTTGGTTTATGTGACTCACTGGATCTAATGGAATAAGCACAAATTTTACTATACTAGTTGCATATATATAGTTAGAAATATTTCTTTAATAATGGTCTCATATTGAGAGTTCTACATATAAGTAGAAAGAACGATGAACCATACAGTGTTTGTTTCTACCTGCTGTTTGAGTAGGGATTTGGCTGTAGCTGTTTAGCAGGTTGTGATTCTTTTGTAGATCTATCTTGAATTTTAGCAATTGTTTCTATTGAAGTAAAAAGAAGAAAAAATAGCTTTATGTACAACTTCCTTAACCCTAGTGTGACCTCATATTCAGTAATTAAAAATAGAGATATTCCCAGGAATGAAATTTTTTCGGTTATGTCCTATTTTACTTTGAAAGTTACTGTATTTGTAAGTATCTTACAAGTATATTGACAGGTACCAGTTATATAAACAGAGAAGTTAAGTTGCCAAGTTCTGCGTTTTGTGAAGTTCCTTTTCTGCTTTCTCCACAACAATTTTCCCAGGTATTGCTTTAATAGGCTTTTTATCTCAATATTTCACTTATATATATATCACCTTAGTCAGAAACTTTGAAACTGTTTGCAGATTTTTGATATTTTTGACTATTTAAATATTCACTGCAATGAAAGAAATGTAGTCATGGTATTCATAAACATTTATACACTGACAACCAATACATTTATACACTGACAACCAATACATTTATACACTGACAACCAATACATTTATACACTGACAACCAATACATTTATACACTGACAACCAATACATTTATACACTGACAACCAATACATTTATACACTGACAACCAATACATTTATACACTGACAACCAATACATTTATACACTGACAACCAATACATTTATACACTGACAACCAATACATTTATACACTGACAACCAATACATTTATACACTGACAACCAATACATTTATACACTGACAACCAATACATTTATACACTGACAACCAATACATTTATACACTGACAACCAATACATTTATACACTGACAACCAATACATTTATACACTGACAACCAATACATTTATACACTGACAGTTGTTTGTATGAACCAATACATTTATACACTGACAACCAATACATTTATACACTGACAACCAATACATTTATACACTGACAACCAATACATTTATACACTGACAACCAATACATTTATACACTGACAACCAATACATTTATACACTGACAACCAATACATTTATACACTGACAACCAATACATTTATACACTGACAACCAATACATTTATACACTGACAACCAATACATTTAAATTCTGTCAACCAATCAAACAATTTAATTAATTTTATACAGAAATTGATATGGTTATGCTATTGTTAGTAATTCATCAGACAATATCAGGGTGCCTGAAAGGTTGGAACCATGATTCATCATTAACATGACTTTCACTTGTTTAGCAAGCAATTCATCATGAATTTACTATAGAATTTATTAAGGTATTTATTAATGTATAGACATTTTTGCATTAAGCTCAACCGTCCAGCTCATTCCTTCTGTATAACATAGACAAAATCCATAAGTAGTTTTAAGGATTAGCAATAAGTAGCAAAGTACTGAATATTCAGTTTGATGTGGTCAGTTTTGATTCATTTAGGTTAATCAAAACAGCAATTCCTATTTACAACAATACAAGTAGGATTTGATTGGTATTTAGATTTGAATGAGTATGCTGGTATACACTGGAGCTAAATAAGGGTAAGAAAGTATTACTTACTGTTAGATCTTGTATCTTTAAATATATTTATGACATTTTCTAAACAAATATTTTCTGAATGTTACAGAAAACTTCTAATAAAACAACTTTTTTACATCAACAGTTGTTTGTATTATTGAGCATTATTGTGTAATGTTTGGTTGACCTTGGCATGTCTACTGAAATATCATCTCTGTAGCATTGGCACAGAAGGTGAGGGAACTTAAACTCAGTAGAAGTCAGTGTTAAATTGAGCCAATATGAATCAGTATCACTGCTTAGTCGAACTGAAGATGTTTCTCAAATGACAGTTTTACTGAACAGTTTAAATACAGGAATCCATGTATTGTCATACTTGTAAATTGGTGACTTCTATGCTTTCAACATACACATATACATGTTACAACAAATGTAGTATGCAACTGATATTTATCATCAGCTTTTGACAGTTTATTATAGGTACACCAGTTAAATATATTTTGGCTGTTGTCAGGAGTTTGATGTACAAAAACCACCCGTAGAAAATTCCTCCACAAGAGAACATACTGGTTTTACTATGTATAAAGGAGTACAGATACCATCCTTAGAAAATTCTTTCACAAGACAACATCCTTAGAAAATTCCTTCATAAGACAACATCCTTAGAAAATTCCTTCATAATCGAACATATTGGTTTTACTATGTATAAAGGAGTACCAGTTTTACTTTGTATAAATTAGTACATACCACATGAAAAAGGAAAGTACATTATAAAACAAGTAACATGTATGGACCATGTGGTTATTCTGGACTGTGTGACTGAACTACACAGTGGTTGACTTGATGTGTGTGGCTATACTGAACTGTGTGCTATACTAGACTGTGTGGCTGTCCTGCAATGTGGCTGCTCTTGTCTCTGGCTATATATGGTAGTACTGGACTGTGTGGCAATACTGCATTGTGGATATACTAGGCTGTATCACTGCACTGAACTGTGTGACTGTACTAGACTGCGTGACTGTACTAGACTGCATGACTGTACTGGACTGTGTGGCTGTATTGGACTGAGTGACTGTATTGGACTGTGTGGCTGTACTTGTCTGCGTGACTGTATTGGACTGAGTGACTGTATTGGACTGAGTGACTGTATTGGACTGTGTGGCTGTACTAGTCTGCGTGACTGTATTGGACTGAGTGACTCTACTGGACTGAGTGACTCTACTGGACTGAGTGACTGTACTGGATAGAGTGACTGTATTGAACTGAGTGACTGTTTTGGACTGAAGGACTGTACTGGACTGAGTGACTGTATTGGACTGAGTGACTGAACTGAACTGTGTGGCAGTACTAGACTGCGTGACTGTACTGGACTGAGTGACTCTAATGGGCCGAGTGACTGTACTAGACTGTGTGGCTGTACTGAACTGTGGCTGTACTGGACTGTGTGACTGTACTAGACTGCGTGACTGTACTGAACTGTGTGGCTGTATTGAACTGAGTGACTGTATTGGAATGTGTGGCTATACTAGACTGTGTGGCTGTATTGGACTGTGTTGCTGTACTGAACTGTATGGCTGTATTGGACTGTGTTGCTGTACAGGACTGTGCGGCTGTATTGGACTGTGTGGCAGTACTAGACTGTGGCTGTATTGGACTGTCTGGCTGTACTAGACTGTCACTAGACTGTCTGGCTGTACTAGACTGTGTGGCTGATTTTGGACTGTGTGGCTGTACTAGACTGTGTGGCTGGACTGGACTGTTTCACTGTATTGGACTGTGTGGCTGTACTAGACTGTGTGGCTGTATTGGATTGTGTGGCTGTACTGGACTGTGTGGCAGTACTTGACTGTATAACTGTAGTGAACTGTGTGGCTGTACTGGATTGTGTGGCTATCAAGGACTGAGTCACAGTATTGGACTGAGCGACTGTACTGGACAGAGTGACTATTGAACTGAGTGACTGTACTAGACTGTGTGGCTGTATTGGACTGTGTGGCTGTACTAGATTGTGTGGCTGTATTGGACTGTGTTGCTGTACTGGACTGTGCGGCTGTATTGGACTGTGTGGCTGTACTAGACTGTGGCTGTATTGGACTGTGTGGCTGTACTGGACTGTGTGACTGTATTGGATTGTGTGGCTATACTGGACTGTGTGGCTGTACTGGACTGTGTAGCTGTACTAGACTGTGTGGCTGTATTGGACTGTGTTGCTGTACTGGACTGTGCGGCTGTATTGGACTGTGTGGCTGTACTTGTCTGCGTGACTGTATTGGACTGAGTGACTGTACTGGACTGTGTGGCTTTATTGGACTGAGTGACTGTATTGGACTGTGTGGCTGTACTAGTCTGCGTGACTGTATTGGACTGAGTGACTCTACTGGACTGAGTGACTCTACTGGACTGAGTGACTGTACTGGATAGAGTGACTGTATTGAACTGAGTGACTGTTTTGGACTGAAGGACTGTACTGGACTGAGTGACTGTATTGGACTGAGTGACTGAACTGAACTGTGTGGCAGTACTAGACTGCGTGACTGTACTGAAATGCATGACTGTAATGGACTGAGTGACTGTACTAGACTGTGTGGCTGTACTGAACTGTGGCTGTACTGGACTGTGTGACTGTACTAGACTGCGTGACTGTACTGAACTGTGTGGCTGTATTGAACTGAGTGACTGTATTGGAATGTGTGGCTATACTAGACTGTGTGGCTGTATTGGACTGTGTTACTGTACTGGACTGTACGGCTGTATTGGACTGTGTTGCTGTACTGAATTGTGTGGCTGTATTGGACTGTGTGGCTGTACTAGACTGTGTGGCTGTACTGGACTGTGTGACTGTACTGGACTGTGTGGCTCTACTGGACTGTATGGCTGTACTGGACTGTGTGACTGTATTGAACTGTGTGGTTGTACTAGACTGTGTGGCTGTATTGGACTGTGTGACTACTGGACTGTGTGGCTGTATTGGACTGAGTGACTGTATTGGACTGTGTGGCTGTACTGGACTGGGTAACTGTACTGAACTGGGTGACTGTACTAGACTGCGTGACTGAACTGAACTGTGTGGCTGTACTAGACTGTGTCGCTGTATTGGACTGTGTGGCTGTATTGGACTGAGTGACTATATTGGACTGTGTGACTGTCCTAGACTGTGTGGCTGTATTGGACTGTGTTGCTGTACTGGACTGTGCGGCTGTATTGGACTGTGTTGCTGTACTGGACTGTGCGGCTGTATTGGACTGTTTGACTGTACTAGACTGTGTGGCTGTATTGGACTGTTTGGCTGTACTAGACTGTGTGGCTGTATTGGACTGTGTTGCTGTACTGGACTGTGCGGCTGTACTAGACTGTGTGGCTGTATTGGACTGTCTGGCTGTACTGAATTGTGTGGCTGTATTGGACTGTATGGCTGTACTAGACTGTGTGGCTGTACTGGACTGTGTGGCTGTATTGGACTGAGTGACTGTATTGGCCTGTGTGACTGCACTAGACTTTGTGGTTGTATTGGACTGTGTGGCTGTACTAGATTGTGTGGCTGTACTGGACTGTGTGGGTGTACTGGACTGTGTGGCTGTATTGGACTGTGTGGCTGTACTGGACAGTGTGGCTGTACTAGACTGTGTGACTGTATTGGAATGTGTGGCTGTACTAGACTGTGTGACTGTACTAGACTGTGTGGCTGTATTGGACTGTGTTGCTGTATTGGACTGAGTGACTGTATTGGAATGTGCGGCTGTATTGGACTGTGTGGCTATACTAGACTGTGTGGCTGTATTGGACTGTCTGGCTGTACTGAATTGTGTGGCTGTATTGGACTGTGTGGCTGTACTAGACTGTGTGGCTGTACTGGACTGTGTGACTGTATTGGACTGTGTTGCTGTACTGGACTGTGCGGCTGTACTAGACTGTGTGGCTGTATTGGACTGTCTGGCTGTACTGAATTGTGTGGCTGTATTGGACTGTATGGCTGTACTAGACTGTGTGGCTGTACTGGACTGTGTGGCTGTACTAGACTGCGTGACTATACTGGACTGTGTGGCTGTATTGGACTGAGTGACTCTATTGGCCTGTGTGACTGCACTAGACTTTGTGGCTGTATTGGACTGTGTGGCTGTACTAGATTGTGTGGCTGTACTGGACTGTGTGGCTGTACTGGACTGTGTGGCTGTATTGGATTGTGTGGCTGTATTGGACTGTGTGGCTGTACTAGACTGTGTGGCTGTATTGGACTGTGTGGCTGTACTGGACTGTGTGGCTGTACTAGACTGTGTGACTGTATTGGAATGTGTGGCTGTACTAGACTGTGTGACTGTACTGGACTGTGTGACTGTATTGGAATGTGTGACTGTACTAGACTGTGTGACTGTACTAGACTGTGTGGCTGTATTGGACTGTGTGGCTGTATTGGAATGTGCGGCTGTATTGGACTGTGTGACTGTATTGGCCTGTGTGACTGTACTAGACTGTGTGGCTGTATTGGACTGAGTGACTCTACTGGACTGAGTGACTCTAATGGGCTGAGTGACTGTACTGGACTGAGTGACTATACTGGACTGAGTGACTGTACTGGATAGAGTGACTGTATTGAACTGAGTGACTGTTTTGGACTGAAGGACTGTACTGGACTGAGTGACTGTATTGGACTGAGTGACTGTATTGGACTGAGTGACTGTACTGGACTGGGTAACTGTACTGAACTGTGTGACTGTACTAGATTGTGTGACTGAACTGAACTGTGTGGCTGTACTAGACTGTGTCGCTGTATTGGACTGTGTGGCTGTATTGGACTGAGTGACTATATTGGACTGTGTGACTGTCCTAGACTATGTGGCTGTATTGGACTGTGTTGCTGTACTGGACTGTGCGGCTGTATTGGACTGTGTTGCTGTACTGGACTGTGCGGCTGTATTGGACTGTTTGACTGTACTAGACTGTGTGACTGTACTAGACTGTGTGGCTGTATTGGACTGTGTGACTGTACTGGACTGTGCGGCTGTATTGGACTGTGTTGCTGTACTGGACTGTGCGGCTGTATTGGACTGTTTGACTGTACTAGACTGTGTGACTGTACTAGACTGTGTGGCTGTATTGGACTGTGTTGCTGTACTAGACTGTGTGACTGTACTAGACTGTGTGGCTGTATTGGAATGTGTGACTGTACTAGACTGTGTGACTGTACTAGACTGTGTGGCTGTATTGGAATGTGTGACTGTACTAGACTGTGTGACTGTACTAGACTGTGTGGCTGTATTGGACTGTGTTGCTGTACTAGACTGTGTGACTGTACTAGACTGTGTGGCTGTATTGGACTGTGTTGCTGTACTAGACTGTGTGACTGTACTAGACTGTGTGGCTGTATTGGACTGTGTTGCTGTATTGGACTGTGTGGCTGTACTGAACTGAGTGACTCACAAACCTTAGTTTGTTGTAACCTGGTCAAAACAAGTATAGGTAATGTATGAAAATACATATTGTGCTACCTAAATCTGCAGAGTTACTCATGGATCATGGAAAACACTGAACAATATAAAACCTTTCTAAAATGATTTGTTTTATTCCTTTTTTCTAACATATTTCATGTACACTAATCTTCATGTTTTTTCAACTCTTAACAAAATATGTCCTTCTAAATTTTAATTTTTATAAGTATACCTACCATTTCTTGTGGATAAAAGTAAGCTGCTTCATTATAACTGTTAATCATCATGCACATAACATTGTATTATGCACATCCAGTTATGTCCAGTCTTTTTATACAGACAATCATTTGATGTAATTCACCCGACGTTTGATTATATCCTTGAACAAAACCAGATGATGTGCTATAATTATCTCTCACTGTCATATTTATTGCAATTATTGCAAATAGTAATTAAAACCAAATTACTTAGAATTATTGAAATCAGTTTCCGTTTGGAAATATTAGGAGCTTCCACTGCCAAGGATATTGGTATATCCAACACAACATTTTTATGACACCAATTTCAATGTAATACACATGAATGATCATCAATGACAAATTGTGAAATATCTTTTGTGTCCAGTGGAACGTCATTAATCTAGGCCTGAAAAGGCCAATAATTTCACTGCCTTCTGACATACGTGCAGAAATCTCACTTTCAGGCATACGTACAGTGATGCAAAAATCCTCAGCTCTAATCATTTGAAAAGAAATCTCGACACATAAACATATATGGAAATTACACTATCCAGACCTGTGCAGAAATCTCATTTTTAGAGTGCTGAAATTTAACTGCCTGTACTCATGTGCAGAAATATCACTGCCTGGAAAGATGATATGCAGAATTATCCTTTTCTAGGCAACCAGACTAACAAGGATCCACTGTTAAATTGATCAAGGTGTTGGATGGAGCCTGTCCGGAATAATGCACTTTAAGATAAGCTGACCACTGCGGTCACCCAGTTCCTACTGATGTCTGCAGATCAGGTTTTTGGTGTTCCTTCACAGGTTCGCCCTCTGTTACAAGTCCAAATGATTTGAGAACCTTATGTTGGCGTGTATTTCTCAGCTTTTTTAAGTCCTCAGAATACTGTTGTTCACGCAGTAATTGTTTCCTTTGCTCCTCCAGCTCACGTTTGTGCTCCTGATAGGCTCGAGTTGTCTTGATTAATTCTAGTAACTCCCTCCGTAGATTGCGGTTTTCCAGTTTGATTGCATTTGTATGGTCTGTGAGACACTGTATGGCCTCCTGAAATAGATTCCATTAAAGTATATATAAGTACTATTAGATAATACATACACATCTTATTAGCCTCTGATAATAATAGTTTTAATTTTCTGAAGAAGTTCTATGTTATTACCAGTATACTAGAGTTCGGGCAAGACTCTCCAAAGAAATAAAAACAGCACTGTCAACAGACTGCAGAAAGTATGGAAGAAAAGCTACCTGTCTCAAAAGTAACAAAACAGAATGGGAAAGGAAATGAAAAATATTAACTTACCTTGTTGGCCTTTTTCTGAAGAGTGGCAATTCTATTTTCAGAATCATTTTGGAATTCCTTTTTGTCTCTAAGGAAAGTGGACTTGAGTGACTGTATGGTTTCTGAGTGTTTTGTCCTCATCTGCATCACCTCTTTCTCCAGCTCCTTGATCTTGTTAAGTTGTTCTGTTTGTAAGGTCTGATGAAGAAATAGGCAAAGCGTCATAGAAAAACAGATGGTACATTTATACCAGTTAAAACAAATATCAATGTCTGCACTTGCTGGTGTCTTACCCAAATTCTGCATTGAACTGACTAAGCATCAGCTCTACACTGTAAAATGAGTCTCATCTGTAATTTCATCCAGGATCATTTTAAAATAATTTCAAGTTGTTACCGCCAAAGATTTGCCTTTTGGAGTCCTTGTTGTCATATGTACATGGCAAATATGTTGGCAACTATAAGACTTCCTGTTTATTCTTTTCTATATATAGTACTTTTTTTGTGTGAAATTGTAATTCCTGCACACTTTGTTTGATGAAATCAATTTAGGACTGGCTGACTGACCATTCACAAGTGTTTAACATTAGGTACTGATTGCCCTTGGAAAATAAGGAAACAGATGAAGTTTCCACAATTAGTAAAAGACACATACCTTAAGTGGTGTAAGGTCTGCTAATTCATCCTTTGTCTTTTTTAAAGAATTCTCTTTTTCCAGCAGCAAGAGTTGGAGAGCTGTCCAAGAGATTAAAGGTACTCTTAGTTGACACAAATGTATTCCTAAAGCCATGTCATTATTGTAAAGAAAATGAAAGAAAAGTAACATAAGTTAATTCTCTATACTGATGATCACAAAAAATGCTTCAATCCAGAATCTTAGTATACTGTTCCTATATTATGATAAAAATAAGACAAATCTTACCTTGTTTTTTCTCATCAAATTCCTTTTCCATGATTTCTTTTTCTAGAAGGATATTGCGGATTTGGTGTTTGTTATGATCACTTAGTGTGATGATGGTCGTCTGCCTCTTACTGGTCTTCTTCTCCATGTAACTCATGTATTCATGCTGTAATTAAAAGAATGGAATGGGGAATACTACAAAATGTACATACAGTGAAACCTCACCTAACGACCACCTCAAAATTACGACCACCCCGCTATTACGGGTACTTTTTATCAGTCCCTTTTTTTTCACTATATATCTTTGTATTGGTCGCTTCAGTATTACGACCACCCATGCTATTCCATACTACAACCACTTCTTACAGTCCCAACGACCACTAATTAACAATAATTGACCTCACAATAACAACCAAGTTCTGACCAGTGATTAAAGTTTATTATATATTAGATATATCTGAAACTAATTTACAAATTTCTGTGTATGCTGGTAAATTGTGCTGAGGGAGAAATAGATATAGACATTTTTTATAAGAATTCTTAGTACCATCCAATTCTTCTCAGCAAAAAGATTTGCAATGAAGAGTTGATGTGTTTTACTTACACTCTCATTGCGGACTCTGTTAGCTTCTTGCTGTAACCAATCATTCTCCTTTCGTCTGGATGTTTTGTTAAGGATCAGACAGTTCATTTATTTCAAATTCTAACTGCAGGTTAGAACTCTAAGCATATAAAAATTTACATTACTGATTAAAGTCAACCCATTATCACCAGAAAATAATTGATTATGCCAGTAATTTTACATATTACCTTTAATATCCCCGTTAAATTATAACTAGTTAGTATGCTCCTGACTGAAATCAGATTTTAAATCATATTTTATTCAAAACCTGATTCTTGGATTTTAGTATCCTATATTGATATATGTCCACCACATGGAAAGGGTCCCTGGTGAATAACATTGAGTATCTTCCCAGGAACATTACTCCATTCAGACACTTCAAGAGTATTGGTTCTCTCATTATAGACCTAATTATGAATAAAAAGGATACAGATCTTCTACTTTTTTTCGTGCATTTTCCAAATCTGATGTCACCTTGACCAACCTGAAAGTAAATAATGTATGCATGTAAACGATAAAAAATATAAAAAGGATAAGAAAGACCATCCAATTTCCCATTCCATGCACAATAGATGGATAAACAACTACATATTCACTATGATTGTTTGATGGGTGTAACCATAGTCTTCTTGCAGTAGTTTGTGGCTACTTGAACAACACAGGTGAGGTCTGTCAAATGCCATCCAGAACAAGTGGGGTGAAATATCCTACCAAAGGAAACAATTACAACAGCACAGACCAGTCAACTTCTCAGCTTACTGAGACACACAAACCACCATGGCTAAGGACTTTCCATCAACACTCTTATGATCTTCACCTGAGATTTTATATGCCAACTCTGTGTTACCCGAGCTATCACAGAGTTATAACATATAAACAATATCTAAAGGTAAGTTTTATTGAGCAATATTATGCACGCTGGATATCAAGTGATCAACAAAGTAAACTTTCAGAATAATCTAAAGCCATGTTTCGGTAGTAATATGACACGATCTGATGAAAAAGCTGTGGGTTGACATGACTTATGACCTAGAATAGATCTACTGCAGTAAGCCTGGCTTTAAAAATACCCACCCCTAAAAAGGGTTTCAAGTCAGAATAAGAATATTTCATCGTGATTGCTTAGACTAATTATAAATGCATATATGTCATGTCATTTTAGCCGTCTTACACGTGAATGCGGAAAAATCTCCACCATCCATACTACAGTATAAGTAGATTCGAGCTCAGATGACGGATGGTGCATAGAATGAACCAGGAAATCGCATCTTTAATACCATACTCACTCTTGTTGAAGAATAAGTTCTTTCTCAGTAGGTTCTGGGGTTGCTGGCTTTTGTTTCGGTTCATCGCCATCGTCATCTTTGCCACCCTTTCCTTTCTTCCCTTTCTTCCCACCTTTTTTCTTTGGAGGCATTTTAAAACCAACTACAAGAAATGGCGTCCTTGGTGACTACGGCAACAGGTGCTAGCTTTCGTTTTAGTTTCGTAATTCTCGTTTTCTTTTTTAATCATGAAAATATTTTGACTTATTTTATCTTCAATCCGTTAGATTATATTCGTTAGCAATAGTAACTATATAAATAATATGACAGATCAACTCAGAAAAATAAGTAATACGAAACCAAATGGTAAACTGTTCATTTTTAAAACATGGCGGCGCCCATGGACGAAAAACCGTCAAGAAGTAAACCCACTAAATTACCACCAGAAATTGATCTAACGTCTCCTCATTTTGATGCAGCGAAAGCCCTATTCTCAAGTCATGTACTTTTGCCATTTTCATCTGCAAAACCACTTGACAATTTAGCAAAATTTGAGAGTTGGTCTAAACAGTCTTCGAAAAAAGAGGCCTCTTTCAGTCATGGAAATCCACCAAGTCCACGCAAGCCGATACGAGCTGTGCCGGTGAGTCGGAAACCCCAGCAGCAACCAGCTTCCACTGAATTATCCAAACATTCTGGAAGACACAGGAATAAACTCAACAGAAATGTGATTACACGAATGAATGGTAAGCACGTGGTTGGGAACATCCACCTATTTAAAAAATAGTTGAAGATAGACTAGAACTCAATGCATGAAATTACGGGTTAAATCTGCTCTCGAGTAAAACATATGTTTGAATGTATAAAATAACTCCGAAGTCAAGTAATGTTACTCTCATGTCCATAGACCATGATTCATGTAAATATATATACACATTCAATATTTTTCAACTCTATTTGTGAATAAATATTTCCTACACTTTTCCCTGCAAAATAAAGGCAGCTTAATTTTTAATCTAAAAAGAATAGGCCTACGTATTATTTGCATATTGTCAACTTTATAAAAATATTGAATATAATGATGTATGTTTTAGTAAAGTTTTGTGCAATTGTATCCAATCATACAGAAACACGGTAACGGCTGGAACAAATTTCAAATTGTTATTGATCTTACTTTGAAAGATATTCTGTAAGTTAAAAGCAACACAGGATATATGAATGATTAATTTAGGTGTCAAGTTTCATGGATTTATCTTAAAAATTGGTAATAACTGTTCACTGTAAGTTCTATTATTCTTTCACTATAGCTGCTCAGAAGGATACACATATTTTTTTTCCTTGAAGCATATCAAAAGGGACCTTTAAATTTCCTGAGGGAGTGTGTGGAAAAGCGACATGTTGTGAAAGTTTGGACAAGAGGTGCATGTGAACTTAGAGGTTTCTGCACTGGTTATCTTGTGGCATTTGACAAATACTTCAACCTGGTAAAACATGTTCAAGTTTTGTATATAAAAATTAATTAATTTGAAAAGATATTATAATATAAAGAAATGGGTGTCATATTAACAACCTTTTTTCAATATAAAATGAAAACCACAATTTTGTTTACATAAAAAGTCACCAATAATCATTTGCTTACACAACAATGTAACAAGGGTTATCTCCCTTCAGTCCAATATTGATTTTTATATACATTAACTGATTGGGATGATAAAAGCTTTTCAGCTGAATTATTCAATATCATATACTTACAAAGAATAATTGCAAACCAAACAAAGAATATGATGGATGGAACTAGGCATCAGGAATCCCTTCTTATTGGAAAATCATGCATACAGATTTTTTTTCCAGGCATTGATGGATGTGGACGAAACCTACAGAAAACCAGTGAGTCGTGATAATCGCATACAAAAACATACAGAGGTAGGTAATTTGACAAATTAAAGATAAATGTACTTTATATATTGTATATAGAAATATGTGCTCAGATTAATAAAAACTAGTCAACATGTTACTAAATGCTATTTCTTATTTTGTTCTTAGCAAAATGCCCCAGCACTTGAAATGATATAAGACCTGGTAACAATGTCAGGTATAGTCAGTTATATGTATGTATCTGTATGATATATGTGTATTTTAACTTTAAATAACCCTTTTATTATTTCTGTATTGGTAGAAAGTACAACTGCTGGATGTTCCTGATCCTCAGAAGGGAAAGCTGCTTGCTTACACCGAGGAACCAAGTATTACACAGATTACCTTCACCTCTCAGCAACAATCAGTCAGTGATTCCGTAGACAGTAATGTGAATGCTATGGAAAATCTGAAAATCACAAATAAGGGAAAGTCACAAAAAACTCCCAACTCATCAGAAGAAAAGGACAGTATATCTTCTGTCAGCCATTGTGTAGCTAGTACCACAACTGATCGTGAAAAGTTAATGCAGACCAAGTGTTCTCAGGACATGCACCAAGAAAACGAAGAAAACAAAAAAGTTCCTGGGCATTTAGATAAGCTCTCTACCGATTTAAGTGAGAGACAAAATGATGAAAGTAGGTCAGATAAACAGACAAAGAAAGAAAATAAATTTTGTAAGAAAACAGAAATCCAGAGTAAAGATAAGGACAAGATATTATCATCATTTGATGCTGCCAAGGTGGCAAAGGTGTGGCAGGACACAGTGGCTAGAGATAAATCAAAACCTCCACTCAAACTCAAGTTCAGACATGTTAATCAGGTGTTTATCAGAGGAGATAATGTAGTGTCTGTTAGCCTTGTGTACAAATAATTCTTCCTGTTAATAAATTGTTATGTTTACACACATGCTTGTTGATGTGATAATTTTTCATCCTTAAGGGCAGGGAGTTGATGCAACTGCAATATACAGAACAGAATCATTGTTTCCTGTTGTCTATTCATTGCTTCAAGACCACATGACCAAATGCACTTCAGTCTGAAAACTGAATTCATGAAAACATCCAAACAGAGACAGCTACTGATTTATTTGTCCCCGACTGGGGGTTTACACTTTTGCATTGTGTCCTTGTGTCTATCTGTCCTTGTGCTGGCTTTTCTGTGCTCTATCTCCTACATTACTTGTCACTTCAACTTCATACTAAAAGTATGGGTTCACCTAGTCATGGCAGTGTGTCTTGTGTCAAAGGTAGGTTATTCTGACCTACAATTTGAGCTTTGACCTACATAATAGAAAAGGATTGTCTGAGCTCTATGCCATGTACATTGTTCTTTTTCATTTCAGGTGTGACATGATAATGTGGACAATGAAGGGTTCATGGTACAGTATCATCCAATAAACACTCATGTTTGGTCTTATGGATAATTACATTTATCGCTCGTCTTTTCACATTTGTTTTTTAGAAGGAGAAAAATTTTCAACACTTAAGCCATGAATATGAAAATGTAGCTGAAATCATAATGTTTAGAACAAGAGATCCAGCCATGATTTCTTTCTACCATCTCTGAACTAGACCTCGAAATTCAAGAAAAATTCTTTCTTTAAAAATATGGTCACTTTCTTGAAAACTCAACACCTATAATGTAAATCAGATTAAAGACCGAAGTTTCTCTTACTCTGGACAGGTGAATCAACACAGGATTGATTTCTGACCCCAAATAATGATGAAAACTGATTTTGATATGTAACAAAAATGGACTGTTTGCTATATATGAATGGAAGTTAGCAGATTTCATGCACTTATAAAAGGAGACATGCTAGAATAAGTTTGATTCAATGTCATGTCTCTGAAATGACTGACCTGATGTTATAACAGCTATAAATTATATGACTCCAAATGTCCTTGACAATCAACCCTGCTGATATTGGTCTACATTGAAGTGATTTCTTATATGATCGTAATAACTGACTTTTGATTCACATGGCTCATAGTGAACTTGATTTCTGACTCCTGTCTCTGAAAATCAGTAGGATTTATCATGTACTGAAGTAGAACTAACAATGTTAAGTTTGATTCTGATTTTTCATTCAGTTTTCTGGTACTTTGCCAATTTGCTGTCCAAAAAACTAAATCATGATATAGCATGTATTGATCTTAACCTTTGACCTTATGTCTTAGAAAATCAGTATAGTTCCTCACCTCTTGAAATGTTTCCATTTTGTAAATGTTTTTTTGGTTAATCATGAGAACATGTTCTACCAAAAATCACACAGACTACCCAACAGACAAATGACTACAATGTCATGTAACTGCAATTTATTACATAAAGATAACAAAGATAGATGTGTATCTGTTTAGAATAAAGAATGACCTTTCAACTGCAATGATCAGTAATTCCACCATCTAAAAAAATGTTTCGTAAATTATCCACCAGTAAATGGATAGAAAATCTGAGACCTTGACCTTTGACCAAGTACTTACCAGTATTCATTTTGTTCTGGTCACTTTTTGAAATCTCAAAACAAAATATTTACCCGTAAGAATAATTGAAATCTTACCTTTAACCCATTGGTCTATAGTAGCGTTAGTCAAGTGACTGTTGATAAACTTTGCCACATAATGCTATAACAAAGTTAATTTCAGAAATATATCTAAACCTTGACCTCTGACCTGGTGACCTTGGGCAGTTTCAGGTGTCTTTCCATTACTGTTTATTTTTTTTATTTATATCTAAATAAAATATTTATCAGGAGAAATATTTGATGAAAATCTACTTTTCGTGATGGCGATCATCGGCTGACAGCCGCAGTTTCTTTATTACATTACAATAAACAACGCAAGTTGGTGGTGTTTCAGTAAGATAACTTTCTGCAAAAGCTGTAGGTTTGGAAGAAGAAGTTGTATTGTAAATTGTGCCTTTACGTAATCTTTGATCTTGAGGTGAAAGTCACAGCGACCTACTTTCAGGGCACTTCACATTGCTGACGATGAACAGTTTTTACTGTCATTAGAACTTTTTACACAGTTCATAAGTTATTGACCGGACAGGTATGTTCTGAAAATTGTGCACTTTCTCCTTCTTGACCTTTGACTGACCTAATTTCAGTTAAAACAATATAGCCTGTGAGAGATGAAGATGCAGTTGTATAAAATTTCATCAAAATATATTTTGACGGTTCAAAAATGATGACCCAGACAAAAGTGTTCGGAAAAAATTGCACTTATGTGACTTTGAGATGAAGAATTTCAATTCACTGCACATCTGGTGTGTGGGCGTTAATTTGTGTTTCAATTTTTATCAAAATAATGTGTCTATATCATTAGTGAATGTAACCAGTCATGATATATGACACGAGAACACAGGACTCATATCTTGTATTCAAGTTCAATCTCGAAATAGATGCGATGAAATAATGATTTAATAAATAAATAGAGACAATAAGTCAAGGATGATAAAACCAGGAGTTCCGGAAGGTGGTAGCCTCTCATTTGCTCGATATAGAGACAGCAATGCATTATCATTCACCTATTGTCCCAATCATTCTAACCCCAGATATTCAACCCGGGAGATCCATGCCCAAATTGTTTTTTCTGAATGTTACTCTGCCTACTTCTGGCAATTATGATCCATCACCTCAAACAAAATAATTTTATTGTCTGAAGTAGATAAGTCTATTGCTAGTTTCTAATAGATTATGATATTTAATTACTCAATTACAAGTGTATGTGTTTGTCGTCATCTCTTAACAATACACATAAATATGCTATACATTTTATTATGAATAAACAATCAACAAAGTGTTTATACACATTACAGAGGGAAAAAACTCCGCACATCCCATATTCAAAATTCTATTATATAATTTGCAATTGAACATTGCTGAAGTGTAAAATATTGAAACATCATATCAGAGGTCAAATAATATTAATGAGACACAGTTGTATTACGTATCTGTGTAAAAGAAATGTACAGAAAATGGGAAAGCGAAATTTTTCCTGAAAGCATAACGGTGAAAAGAAAGATTTTTAAGTTATAAACTGAAAAGTTTCCTTAATAGGCATAAAAATTATGTTAGGCTAAAAAAAAGTCCATAAAAAAAACATCGTTCTTGTCGTCGCTTTCCATGTAATCATATTTTATTTGAGACTGGTCGGAGATAATTTAAAGCTGGGTTCGCTTCTCCAGTCAATATCATAAACGTTTAAATGTTCTTCCGTGAAATGCAGCGGAAAATAGTGATAATTCGTATGAACTCGTTTGAATTTTATAAATTCGTCCCGAATTCAATGTACACGACTGGTGTCTTTGTGATATTGATGCACCCCTCAGTCCGAAGTTCAGTAGCCTATGAAAGTTTATAAAATAGAATGAAGAAAGTCACTATTAAAAGAGTTTGTGACAATTGGAATTCAATGTAAAACAATGTTCCATAAACCATGCCTGTCAAGTAAAGCAACACAAAACAATTAAAAATTAAAATGTAATAACAAACTGATAAAGGTGAAAATTGAAAGGACATTTTAGAATTTTTACCGGAACTTAAACAGTATACGAGTCTGAAAAAAACTAAAATTCATCTGTTGCACTTAAGTTTGCTGTCACTGTATTATGTTTTTGTGTGAAAATTCGATTCGAAATCCTCCACGAGATTTTTACTAAGTTTTGTCTCACGGTAATATTAACGGCGAAAATGTAGGTAGGTGTGTATGTGTTCGGGTGACAACGAAAGTAGAGACGTTGAAATGAGATGAAAAATTAAAAAGATAAGGTTTAATTTATGGCTCCTGACAATGGAGCAACGGCGGGAAAGTAGTGGTTTTTAACACAAAATTTCACGAAATCTAGATTAGTGTTGTAATAGAAAAATCGCAATGAATATCGTTATATTCTTTTAATAAACGCAAACAAAATCCATTCATCACTGGTTACAATAAAGAATGTCCTTTATCTCAAAGCATACAGTAAAAGTATGCCAACGTGGACTAACTTTATTGCTGTACAATCTCTTGGGCATTGTCAGTAATTATGTGACGTGACAATAGTCGTCCTGATTTCCACTTTGTTACGAGTGCAATTAATATTGCCTTGTGAAGTTCATTTCTGTGTTGAATTCTAACTCACTTCATTAGTTTGTTTAATTTCATTACACTGTCCAACTCTAAACAATCGCGCTATTAATCCCCTGCGGTTATCGGTCACGCCTAATTAATAACTGCGTTTGATTACTGTAGGATAATTTATTATGTATAGACTAAGTCTTAAAAAGCTTAATACAAAATATGACAAAGAAAAAGGAAAATATCGACATGTTACTGAAACTAATCCAAACTCAGATGTGATGAAAATAACGTAAAATTCGAGGAAAAAAATTACATGGAGGCTCCTGAAAATGTACAAACGGGCTAAAACTAGGACGTTAAGCATCGTATGCTTCATTGACGACACCCACTTACGAGGATATTTATTCAAAAGTAATGAAAAACGTAAGAGATAGATGACTTCTTCATAAACAACATTGGTCTTATTCGACGTTATTTTCGTTCGATCTTGCTAATCGTAAAGTGATAAATGAAAGAACGCGCAAATATCTTTTGAATGGTTTCACAAAGAGGCACTGTACCAAATGCAATGACAAAAATTTAAATGCTCTAATGCTCGACTTCTTATCTTTAAAAAGCCCCGCGAAGATTTTCCCTTGAGGAGGTTCACTTTGACATACCGCGGGAAAACCCTCGCGGCCTTACAGACTACTACGCACATGGTAAACTGTTATGTGTGTCTTGGTTCCCGACTACAAAGCTTTGAAAAACAACACCCAAACAATACCTTCATATGCAAATTGTTATCGATTTGTATGTAAATTTTCTGAGATTGACCCATTTACTAAATTGTTAGTCCAATCAGTAGTATGATTAATGGCTTTGGCGTGGTAAGCTTGGCCAATCAAATAAAACGATAGATCGGAGCAGAACGTGTTTATTCCCGCTACCATAGCCGAATACACAACAATGCTGTAAGCCAATCAAAAACGAGATAATATTTACAAGCGTTTACCATGTTGCTACGATGTTTTGATTCATCCATCGAGTGCACAGGTAAAATCTTCATTCTGCAATGTGTACTGCCCGGGCACAGTAGCAGGTATCGGGGTAGAGACAAGCAGGGTAGCAATGGATATATGTAATTAGGCACATTGTGGATGTATGCAGTGTTACGTCCTTTGAAAGAATCGGCTCTTTTCATTTATGATCAGATTTAGCGGTTCTTCAACTGACAAGCTTGGACCTATCACCTTCATCACAGCACAGGTGAAAACGGTTTAGCGGGAAATAGCTACTCGTGAGCTGTTTTATCGGGCTCAAAAGTCACCCAGAGGTAAGTTTTAAGTGACCAATCATTTTTTTTTCAAGAAGTGAAAACAATGAGTGTAATATAAACAATTCCTTGTCGGAAGCAGAGCGTCTATATATCCCGTTTACCTGCCGTTAGGCGGTAACGGTACCGGTATTTAATAACACGTGTCATTACGTCTATAAATAGAGGTAAACACACAGGTACATGGCCATTCATATGTTAATACCATAGGTTGACGCTCTTTTCCAAGCATGTTCGTTCGCATTATCGGTTGTCCAAACTTGCTCTCGAGGTGACATTCTCATTAATGTCAGAGCTGGCCATACTTCAGTCACAGGGAATCATAGCAGTAGGCCAGTCTGAAATTTGTTTATTTTTATTTTTTTTTGGGGATATCTCTTAAATTGGAGTTACCGGAGCAATATTTACAAACAGGTAAGGTAATATTGATATGATAATATACTGATTATTTTTTCACATGAAAAAGTAAAGTAATGGTTAAATATATATTTTTCACAACATTCCAAACATTTTTAATTTGATGATTTTAATCTTTTATTTTTCTAAACAATTAAACACTGACAGTAAACTATTTTTTCTGTTATTATATTTTCAAAATATTTAAGATGAAACAAATTTCTAGTGTGCTTCATTCAATATAAATAAAGTAGATTTTTATATGACAAGAGACATGCAAGATATTTTTAATGCAGAAAAGCTGACATACAAGAAGAGATGGGAAAAGAAACTAAGTGCCTATTGATTTTTCATATAAGTATCATCAACAAGCAGGCTTGATATTTCACTCCTTCAGATGTGTTTATCATGTTAAGACTTGGCACTTTCCCATCAATTATGAATATTCAATCACAAATTAAAGATAAAACTCTTAAGAATGAAATAATGAGAATGCTATATTGTACCGGTCTAGTTTTCCTCACTTCTACCAACTTCAATTTTCGCAAAACAAAATAAATTGTAGTTACGGTATGTGAAGGTCAGGCAAAGATTTTGAAGTGTATTCAGCATTTAGAAATGAAATGAAAGGACTTTTCTTTCTTATGATGTTATATGATAATAAAATTTACAGAATTGTCAAATTCTACCAACAATCATCTCTAAATTACAAAAATGCCAGGGTTGACATATGTACCAACAAAATAAAAAAAAATTCATCTAAATTTTTATAAAGTTTTCGTGTATGAAATTGAGCAAAATAATACAATTCCATTTATTCATAAAGGAATTATTGTGACCTGAACAATTTTGTTTAAAATGGGCCTCTTTGTCAGAAAAGACCTTGATCCAGAGAATGCTGGAGTGTAAAGTACTACTAAAATGTACTTTGTGTTGTAAGAGTGCTCCTCATGTTATTGGGTGTTGTTTGTATTGTAGCTAATTATCTCATCAACTTGCGTACATGTTATGTTATACAAATTATTATATGTGCATGTAAAATGCCAAAGTAGATTTGAAATGATTTGTTTTCCAATGTATTTATAGTATGTTAAATTTTGTTTTTGTAGGTTTTAAACCTAAAATTGCTATAAGAAACGTCACACCCCCACCGCCAAGACGAAGTACCCACAAGCTTACACAGTCCAGCGGCACCAGCAGCTGACTGTCAAGATGCCGGCCAACAAGCGGGACACTCTGGCTGTCAAGTTCAGACAAAACTGGATGAACAAGTACCCATTGGATACATGCAGCAATGGGGGACTTAATCTGGACGATAGCCTCACTAGTCTTAACTGGTTGCAGAATCTCAACATCATGAAAATCACGACACCCACCCCACCCCCAAGTCCTGGTCCAGCACCTATATTGATGACAGAGAGCAACAACAACAATAACTTCAAAAATCTAAAAGTGAATCCCAATGCAGTGCTCAATGTATCCTGTGCACCACCGCAATGCAAATTAGAGACCAAGTTTCACCTTACAGACTCCGCCCCATCCACACCCACTTCCCTGGGTGGGGACACAATTGACTACAAAACAAATCCGTATGTAAAACCACCATACTCCTATGCTACTCTCATTTGTATGGCCATGAAGGAGACCAAGAAAAGCAAAATCACACTGTCAGCAATTTACAACTGGATCACAGACAACTTCATGTACTACAGATTAGCAGATCCAAGCTGGCAGGTAAGCTAGTTGTATTACCTATGTGTGTGCCTTTATATCGAAGACAATGGAATCACAGTCAACCCTCAGTGGCCTTAGGCATTTATGGTATTATGCATTTAAGTTGGAGATATGTGAAATCATCATTAATCTTACGGTTGACTTAGCTTTAAAAATTAGATCAGGTACAAATCTTTGTAATCGTATAAAACCGTTCAAACAATAGCATACTTAGAGATACTATTCATGATCCAGCTTAGTACCTGTTCAGATTACCACACAGTCAGTCAATCTAAATGGTGACTACTGATGCATCAGATCCTTAAATCAATGCTCAAATTAAACTTTTAAAATTTTTTCATGCTTAGGCCAGTTATTAATCAATGTGACAATTCTCTTACAGAATTCCATCCGACACAATTTGTCCTTGAATAAATGTTTCCAAAAAGTGCCACGAAGAAAGGATGAGCCTGGAAAGGGAGGTTTCTGGAGAATCAACCCAGATTACAATGACATGATTGAAAATGGCATTTTCAAAAAGCGAAGGAACAGTCGGGATGCTGCCTGTCCTCCCCCTCTCAAAAAAGTGAAGCGAGAGGATGATGATAGCTTGTCTAGCTGTAACAGTCTTGTCAACTTCAGTAAAGCTTCTAGAAAAGGTGGACAAAATGGACTCAGTATTCTGTTTCCGGGTCAGGAGGATGATTCCCTCAAAGGAGATTTCAACTGGACTTCTATATTAAATCAAGATATAGAGATTGGTGGTGTACGAGTGAAAACTGAGGATTTATTAGACAATACAAGTGAACAGGATCTTAGTCCATCTGCAGCAATGAGTCCTCCATCATCAGAGGCTAACTCTGATGACTTTAGTATAGAAGACTTGTTTGGTCAAGCTGACCTAAGTTCAGATGTTCCACTTGATTTCACTACAGAAAACCCATTAGATCTCACAGTTACAGGACAACCTATTAAAGCTCCTCAGTGGTGGGAGGAGAGTTTTAACCTCAGTGACCATCAAGGTGCATTAAAAGCAGCAGCTGAAGCCAGTAGTGGTCTTCATACACCTATCCACAATACCCCCTCGCCAGTTTCAATCAAGGATGACTTGGATGATGACCTAGCACATCCATGGGCAGAATCAGGGGGTTTTGCAGACATTGGCGAGGCCTTTGATGTAGACAATTTGTTTGACATTGGAAACATCCCTAGTCCACGTGTAAATTATCAGGAATGATGTTTGATTAAACTGGCCAGATTTGGGACATTTTAGTGCATATTTGCCCACAGTCTCCTCATTATGGGAAAAATGGAGTTAAATATGACATGTAATAAATTGTTTGACCTGAGGAACAGAATGTCTGTCAGGTCACACTGAGGCAGTACTGTGATATAGCTGTGTTTCACGAGTTGAGTGAGCTAGATTTAACCTTGAAAAGGGCTTTGTCACCCATGTGTTTGTAGCCGGCCAAGTGTGAACATAACGGGGTGTTTAAAATGATATTCTTCAAAATGGGAAGGTCTTTAAAAATGATTTAATACAAACAGTTTTCATTTTTATTGGTACAGATGAAGACTGCCTTTGTTCTGGGGGCTATTTACTAGTATACGGGGGAATTGATCAGTACTTAAATTTCTTTGAAGTAAAGAATGTTTGTTTCAAATTACTGATAGAGCTGTCCCAGGTACTTGGTGCTGTACATTCATAATGCATAATCGTTTCACATACGGATGAGTGTTGGGTAGTGAGGAAACTGGATGTGAGGATGGATGTTTGTGTATTTATTAAACGTGTGGCTAGTGTGAACGTGTGTGTTCTCTTTCACCCTCACGGTAGAATGCTTGTGTGTGGTTAATTTATTTCTTTATCAATGCATCTAAACATGTTTTATTCACCTGCCTCCTCTGAAAGTGCTATATATATACATATATATGTGGAACATTGGTTTGTATTTGTTTTGAAAGCATTTTCACCAGTACAAACTTGTATCGATAAATCAAGGAAAAAAAAAACGTTATTAAAGAAATTTTAAAAATGTGATATTCAAGAATATAAACTAGAACAGAAAAAAAATTCCTGAAGTTTTGAAATAACAGATGAAGTTTGAGGTAGTAATCACATCCATGTTGCCAGTATTACTATTGTCACAGTATTGATCGTGAAATACATCTTGTTTTTTGTTATCTGTAATCATGATCTGTAAAGTTTACAGGAAAAAAGTCTTTGATTCCGTCCCATTGTTATGTTAAAACTATAAATTGACATTTATGTTTACTTTTGGAAGTCAAATTTTATCTGAATTTGTCCAAATTGCCCTTGTCAGGAATCCGTCCAAGTATTTTTTCCTTTGACAGGACAAATATGGTGAATTCATATTTTTCTAAGAATATATTTTTAACATATGTTTACATAAATTTGTGTACATTTTTGAGAATGGAATACCTTTATAAATATTATTCCATCTTCTTTCATCTTTGTCAATTGATTGACTCAAGTCACATCCAATTTGGCTTGGTGAAATGAGCTATATTTTAAGGACTGATTTTTAATTGACTGAAGAAAATAATCTGATTACACTGCCAGATATAATACTTAACGTTGTAAATTTTGTGTGAGTTATATTTCAGTCAGAAGAAATTCCTTGTGTACATAAATGTATATTAAGTTGCCAAGCTTTATTTATCTGGTGTGAACACCTACTAAATGATCATCTGTGATACTGTTGCACATTCATTGTCCTACATTAGTCTCATGTTTGAAATATAGCTCTTGTCTGTGGTCTTAGGATGACAGAAACAGAATTAATGATCAGTCAGTCAAAAAAATATTCAATTACCTCTTTTTTTTTTTAATCACTATATTTCATTTCGAAGTTTTTTTTCAGGCAGAATTTAACGAAAAAAAAAAACTAATAAAATACAAACAAAGATTGCAATTTTAACTCCATATACCACTTGTATTCACCTCCTAGACTGACAGACAAGAGGTTGCTGGACGTTCCAGAATACCCTCAGTATTCCAACATTTATCAGTCATGTCACCTGTGATCATCCATACATCTGTGTTTACGTGTTGGTCTCTGCACTTCAGGGTTGTATTGAACTATTCATATTTATTGAAAATTAACAAAAAATAAAATGTTTTGTAAAAACAATACAATAGCTTTGTTGTTGATTTGCCTTGTTGACCTTCCATAGAATGACAAAGGAACAGAAATATGACCAGTCTTCAGTATTTTTCATTACAGTGCAGCCATAAAAAACTAATTTTATGACCATTTTTTTGTGATCAGGATTACCAAATTTCATCACTCATTTATATATGTTGCAGTTTCAAGAAAACATGAAGCACAAAATTGAAGTCAATGCACAAAATTTGGTTCCAATGAGAAAGTGTCCTATGATTACATTTGATAAGCATGTAACGGGCACATCTATATACATTTATACAGCAAAAATTTGACATACTTTGTAATAAGATCCTGTGGAACATGAAGAAAAATGATATCACTACAATGGGTTGTGTCATGACACTGGTTTATAATATCATGATGCCACACTATCACCTTACTGCAGTGGATGACTATGCCACATTGATGCGATATTATCACCTTATGCAGTGGATGATGTTGCAACATGATAATATATATAAACTTAATTTATTTTACAACAATTGCAAAAAAAGTATTTCCACATAGACTAATCACTCTTGCTGTCATGAATGCAAGCAAGTAAGGGTTCTTACAGTAATAAAAATTATATGATGGAGTCTCAATGACGATATTCCTATTGTGAAATACTTCCTTACTGTGGAAATTTTTTATTATTTTCTTACTGTCATTTGTATTTTCATATTTTGGTTTAAGGAACATTTTGGACAATATTGCAGTGCAAAAAAAGCCTTTAAAATCAACATGACCTTGGGGAACACAACACATAGTTTATTTTCTTTCTTTATTCATTATAAAGAAAAGATGACATTCAATATTTCCAGAGTTGAAAAACATTCATGTTGGACTCGTAAGAACATGATGAGAACCTACACCATTACATGATTGTGTTCATTTAACCCAGAGTACTAAGCATAATTCCACATCACCCTATGTTGGCAGTGTGTTGATCATATTAAGACTTATAGTCATAAATACATATAATCCTATTTACACTAATACCAGCTCTACCCACACCGGACACTACCCGATAAACATCTACAAGTTCACCTTGATATGGTCTGTTAGACACTGCAACAACGGAACACATGCCAAGACCTGCTTCATATTTTAATTACTAGTCGGTAAACAATGAAAAAACATAGATGTATATACATGTGACCTTTTTATACACTAAATATGCAATATATAAGTGGGTCATGTTTTGTCAACCATGTAGGACCATGTCCTGTTATTCAGTATTCCATTCAGTAGACAAACTGGTGTGTGAAAATTGATCTATAGATATCATGACACCACTACAAAAAGTGCAGGCATGTCCCACTCAGTGTAATAGATCAAGCCAAAATTGTCAGACCTCATGTAACCAATATCTACAGGATATTCAATACCATCCTGTAAATATTGATTCAAACAATGTGTAGGAATACATTTTTCATTATTACATTTGAAATAGCAGTGACTTGTTCACAGACATGATATAAACAAAGATATCACCAAACAGATTAATGTGTTTTACACAGGTGTCACTGAATAGAAAAGTGTGCATTTCTCATGCATCACCTAACAGAAAAGTGTGCATTTCTCATGCATCACCTAACAGAAAAGTGTGCATTTCTCATGCATCACCTAATAGAAAAGTGAGCTTTACCTGCACATGTGTCTCACAAACATGTGGAGCAGATATAATACATTGCTATGAATCGATGAAAAAAGATCACATTGATTCACTCAATTCACCAGTATGTTAATGAAATATGTGTCACACAACTGACTGATGAGTTAATGAAATATGTGTCACACAACTGACTGATGAGTTAATGAAATATGTGTCACACAACTGACTGATGAGTTAATGAAATATGTGTCACACAACTGACTGATGAGTTAATGAAATTTGTGTCACACAACTGGCTGATGAGTTTATGAAATTTGTGTCACACAACTGACTGATGAGTTTATGAAATTTGTGTCACAACTGACTGATGAGTTAAGGAAATATGTGTCACACAACTGACTGATGAGTTAATGAAATATGTGTCACACAACTGACTGATGAGTTAATGAAATATGTGTCACACAACTGACTGATGAGTTAATGAAATATGTGTCACACAACTGACTGATGAGTTAATGAAATATGTGTCACACAACTGACTGATGAGTTAATGAAATTTGTGTCACACAACTGACTGATGAGTTAATGAAATTTGTGTCACTTAATTCACTGGTGAGATTTTGGGATATGTATCACATAACATGCCATTATTTATCACTGATTTAAAGGATCAGGGTCTTTTTTTATGAGCGTGCCATTACAAAGGGTGATACAATGCCAATCAAATGCCATATTGATTACATTGGTGAAACCTGATACCTAGGTAGGTCAAATGTGTGCCCCCCCACTAAATATGCACATTATGCCTACATTCTTCTACATTTTTAATTAGTTAGCAAAAACCACTGGGATAGAACCATTAACAGTTAGTCTCATAAAACTATAAATTAATACATGATGCATGAAGTACCTGTATATATATATTTTGTTTCTGAGTATAGTTTAATGTGTTGGTGTTCAGGCAACTCGTAACTGCCTGGTGTGGATGCCATGTCCTTCAAACAATCCTTTTTTTACACGGCTGATTTTGTACAACGCAGTATTTATTCCTAGACAGATAAAAAACAACAGATGCAGGAAATTATCGTAAAGTACAATGTCATTGTTCAAAGCCAGGTTCTCTTGTTAATTAAATTCACAATTCACAAGACCATCAGTTAATACACAGGAAACACTATCTCCTGTTACATCTCTAATGAAGATACAAGAGAATATTGACTTGTGATGCTCATTTAGAAAATAGAATGGTACTGATAACAAGCAGCTAACAAATACCTGTCTATACTGAACACTGCCGAATCAGCAGAAGATCGCTACTTGCCATTAATTATGGATAGTCTACACTGCTCTGTGATTTTATCCCTAGTCAATCCTTACAAAGGACTAACTAGAGATAATCACCGCATTCAACCCTTGATACATCCTGCAGTCATGGGCTTGTTTACTGCTGAAGTTTTCTTCACTACCTGTAAAAAAAATAACTTTTCAAAATAAACCATAAAGGTATGTTTATAGCACTCATGAAGCAAATCAAAATTTACATCTGCAGACGAGGCAATTTGTACCTGTCTTAAAAGTTGATACAAAAACCATCCCTGAA